CGAGAAATGGTGTCCTGGGTCGGTAACATCCTAAAAGTGCAGTTTGGCGCCATTTGGCGGAATTTGTTGAAATCCGAATGGGTTTTGACAGGAAGTAACTATTTACCCAAATTATTCACCTTTAGGGAACCCTATGTTTACGAATGGCATTGATAGAGCAGTGACTGTTATTTTGCATGGCAACGGTTTTACCAAAATTGAGACGCACCAAAATGGCCGCTGCCGAACAAAAAACAAACGACTTCTTTCTCCCTCATTGCTGATTAAAGGTGGTCGGAATTACCACTGCTGTGATGCTTCTAGTGGAGTTCGTGCTGCCTTGGAGAGTTGGCAACTAAAGAAAATGTAAGGAATTAGGAGGGAGTTGAACAAATATACTTGTTCGCCTACCTATTCGTTGGTCCATTCATCTCTCAACATTCAGTAAGAGCTACTTTCAATTTCCTGACACTCGAGAATGCCACATTTGAGAGGCTTTTCTACATTTATTTCCTGCAAGATTTCGTCATTTCTCTCTTTAGATCAGACAACGAATAAACGCCGTTGTCTTTGGATAGTTGAATACAAAATTACCCAGGCATTATCTCTACTTAGATGGACTTGGGTGCTCAAAATGTGGTGCTGCATACAAAATGCAAGCATTGGAATGGATCCGAGGTTCGCAAAATCGTATTTACACTTTCCCAACTATACCTTTGGATGAGTGGCAAACGTGTTCTTAGAAGGGATTTCTCTTAGAGCGCATTGTGTTGGAGATCTTGTGAAGTACATGCACTATTTCGATTAAAATGGTCCCTTCAAACTGCTTTTGCTAAATTGAAGGGGCGCGCAGAGACAGTCATTTTAAAGTGCAATGAGGAGTCCTTCAATGCGATCACGCGGTCCTAAATTCCAACTTCAAGCAACAACCATAGTAATTCCAATTTTGGCGACCTTTTCATCGCCTAACATCAACTTCATGAAATAACCATTTGCAAAGACGCTATGCATTCAAAAGTTCTTTTTTTAACTGAGAAACAAAAATATTAGTCCCTCTGTGAATGATAATACTGCATCTCACAGGTTAAAATTGTTCTAGAAGTTAAGTTGTTGAAGTAGTCAGAGGAAAAGTCTCATTTTGTGGAAGGCAGGCCCCTAAAGCATATCAACAAACGTGGCCTGAACAATCGACTGTTAAGCGCAGGTAGAGGTCAAAGGAACAGGGAGCACCCTCCTCAAGTAGCTAAGGTACTGAGACAAGGCTGACCGTAAGAAGGGTGAAAATGCTGACCTTAGGTGACCTGTGCTTACGGTTGCTGGGGTGACCACTGGGTTGATGCGTGTGCCGCTGATGGAGAAGCTGCACAACGGCATCAGTCACCAGGATGTGGATGAGAATATTTATTGTGGTGACCAATGCCTTGACCACGAAGATTTTCACAGAGAGTGATAGATGACAGGCACGGTCTTTTTAGATGAGAAAGGAAAAAGGCTTGATTTCGTGCCCCGACATCCCGTACTGTCAATGCCAGTCAAAAGGGGAAGTGGCTCCGTGATCAGCTCTCTGTTAAGAGAACGTGTCACCGCTTGCGCATGGTAGACCATTGATGTTCCTGTTGGTACCAATCCGGTAAAAACACATTAGGCAGGTAAACAGCAGTGTCTCCGGCGATACCGCTGCGGACCTTTCACACTTGGGGATGAAGTTTTTGAAGGGTGGTCTTGATTCTTGTACTATACGTTGCGTCCTAAATCTCTCACGATTTAGCTCCCATGCTGATGTCACTTAGTGCAGCCCCTGTTGGGTATGTAACCAGTTTTTCAAACCCTCTGTACGTGCTTGGACATTTCCCGGCCATGGTGAAAATCAGCCTAGAGCCTCGATGCTTCGAACAATCATCTAAGCGGCTGGAATGCCTGCCTCATTTTGGACGCCTCAACGATAGCCTGTCGTGACAAAACTGCACAAGAGGCGGGCCAGTCTGTTGAAGCATTGAGCATAATCATTCACAAACATGCAATTCCGAAAGAATAGACAGCAAGGCACCTTCTCCAAGCAACCTGTCCTAAAGTGGTTCAGCAGCACTAGCGATAAAAGTAATAAAGTACTATTTGAAAGAAATAAATTCAGTACCAACTCCTTGAAATGCATTCGTTTTTTTCTTTTCTGCACCCTAAAAAACCCAGTTTATTTTCAGACATCGGCTACTTGAACAGTCTGGTACGGGAACATCATTTAGAAGGTAAAGCTAGGCTGGACTCGCTATTGGGATGAACGCACTTTACTGTTCCGGTGCGATACTACCTAGCGCAGAAACCCGAAGAAAGTCTCGTATGTGACTTCCAGTTATTTTTTGAGTAGACGATTAGAATGGGTATATAAGACCTTCTACGGGTTCTTCTAACTCATTACGTTAAGAGTACTCTCTCGAACAATTCTTATTTGTGTCAATCAGCTCCTAAACTAATACCTAGGTCACAAAAGCATCTTCTAGTGCCAATTTAAGGTCTGGAAAATCGTTTTCTTTACCTAAACGATACCTTACTTAAGTAAGTTGCGGCTTTCGAAAAACGTAGCATAGGTTTCGCCTCTGATTAGACTTGCTGCTACTGTGAGATGGCCGGAAAAATTAACATGCTGTATATCACCGCGGATCGTGTGTTTATCATTCGCAAAAAACTATAAAAAAAGTTTACTCTTCTTAGATCACGGAGATCTCACACCTAGTTTGATGTTTCCGACCTAACCACCCTGTTTGCGACACCCAATATGACGCGATCAGCTACCATGATCTGATTAGGCGTACGTGCCACACCCACGTAGCCCTGGGCAGCAATTTCGTTAGATTAGGATGATGGCTGCCGTGGATTACTACCTCAGGTCGTGAAATACTCAGTTGTCTAATGAGGAAAAGCCATTAAAAACGTGGAAGAACAGCAAATATCATATTGCCTACTTAAATAACCACTGAAGCGTCGCTTTTGACACGATACAACTCTGTGATCGAAAATCCAGCATTTTAAGCATCCTTGAAGAGCATGAGCTGCTACCTGCGCTTAATTAGGTAGTAATTATGATGATTGAACTATTTGTTGTTACTGATACCTCTTGACATGATTTTTTACCTTCATTCACCAATGATTTGGACTGCTATGCAGCTCTAATCACAGATGAGTGGTGGGGTAAGTCAAATTACAGGCAGGTTCAAACCTGCAGTTATGTCTAAGCATTCTTTGCAAGTCAGTGAAAGAGCTTTGAATACAAACTTTGGTCTTGCGTAAATCAACGGGATGGGCTTGCACAATCATACGCAATGCTGACGATAGCTTGGTGACGGAAATAACTGAAGGTCTGCATGGACGAATCTGAACGATGGCCATCATTGACAGGTAATCCAAACATTCAAGTGGAATGCAGCTAGAAAAACAAGTACCGATACTAAAGACCATCCTCCAATGATAATATCATCCGTAAGCACGCTGCTATGCTACTCTTAAAGACCGAACAGGCAACCGCAGCGTAAAAGTCCAAAACTCTAAGAGCTAGCTGACACAGCCTTGAGCCACAAGCTCAGACTTGTGCCTCCACGTGCAAGCGGGGCGAAACAGTTGAAGGCCAAGGAGAGCCAGTTAAGAACGCAACTATCAAAACTGGTTTCAGTGGAAGCTGAGTCATACCAACTGCGAGGGTGAACCCATGTGTGCAACTGCCTTAGAATGCTCGGATCAACACCAGTTCTAAAGCGATTTGTCTGAGACCTAAACTGATAAGGTAGGGTTCAGATAATACAGACTTTTAAAATCGGATGAATAGAAGATAAACATGCCTTTATTATGGAGCCTGTTACAGACTGAGTAGACAAAGTTACCATTGGAGATGAAGCAAAGTTAATATGCACCAAAACGCTTAACCAATAACCAAGCTTTATCAATATGAGGTGCGTATTTAACGGAAAATAGTTCGATACGAGTCAGTTGACGTTTTTGATAGAAATATTAGGTCTTGCCAGCTTCACTAAATTTAATATTTGGGAATTTAAAATGACATAAAAAGGAACTGCCAGGTGCAGATATGAAAATTCGTAGGAAAGAAGGACACGCCAAACGAAATGGCTTTCGACCGAAATATCGCGAGTGAACGATGTGCGAGGTAGAATGAAGCGGTAGTTAAAAATTGCCACGTTTTAGTGAGTGTACTTGGATAGATAAAAGTAGATATTCACGCGTGCAGCTACTTTTCCAAAAGGCAAGAAAACTGTCACACACCAATGTTGGCAGGGCTGATTCAAATTACGGAAACTCCAGACAGGAGATAGCAAGTATACTTAACAAACATAAGCAACTTTTGCAAAAATCCAAATGTAACTGCACGATGAGATGGTGATGAGTTATAATTCAACTTAACCTTACCACCAAAATCTGAAGTACAATTCTACCCAAAACGCCACTGATAGGTGTCACAAGCCACCAGCCAAATCAAACCCCGTCTGCCAAAAATGAACTCAATGGGTTGGAGGGAACCCACGACAGCTAGATACCTTTTCAGCCTTAGCGAAGGCATACAATCTCAAAAACAAGATATAACGTCAAACCCCATACTAGCGGTTAATTGAAGCTCTTCCGGAAATGCCCTACTCCCTGGCTACGAGCGCACCAAACTAAAAACAGAATGGCACACAGGGAGTATAACTGCTAACACGCATAAACAGAACATAGAATCATACGCGCACAGAAATATGAGTCAAAACCAAATTCTACTAGGCTATTTCACCTATGGCTGACGTAAGAAATATCCACAAACGACAGTGGCACAAATATGTAAGACATGGTCCAGGTAATAGAAGACATATCCTCGCCCGTGAGGCAGTATTAAGTGGAAAATCAATGAAATCTACGACTTCGAAGCTGAAACACTTGGCTAGCAACTCACATGACAAAAAATTCGGGCCAATCATTACCTGAGGGAAAAACAAGCAGGTAAAAATAGTAGCTATAGTTTTATTCTAAAGACAAGTCGCAGATCAATGCGCTACAATATAGGCGCCCTTCACCTTTTTATATCCAATCAAGCTCCTTCGACCAATTATTTCTCCGACAAAGAACCACATAAGAACTTCAATTGCGACAACGCTATCAAGAGCAAAATCCTAAAACAATGCATTTGATAAAACAGCACAGACCTTGACAGTTTTTTGCTTCCATGCACTGGACTTAAAGAAATTAATAATGGATTTGCCTTCTTCAAGGGCTGGTGTGAGTTCGGACATCGTTGGTGGTCTCAATTCCACCTTCGCATATTTATAAAATTTAGTAATTGCTGGGCAGCCTCTTTCCATTCCGTAACGATATGCAACTAAAGGCACGCATACAAATAAGTGCAATGACATACGCGTAGCATACTTGGGACCGGCTGAAACCACCCACTCCAGCAGCTTCGCCATCCTTTAGAAAACCCACCGGATCCAAAAATGCAAACAAACCAGTTGCATGATGAAAAAGGAGCTTCTAGGAGAATTCGAATTTAATCCTTGCATCAGGCATCAAATTTAAAATAATATTTTTTTAGCCAAATGAATTCAATGTCGACTGAATAAAATATAAACAAACCTTTAATCACAATGACAACCCAGGCGTCTCAACCAAGCTAGTGCTACAATTAGAGCATATTTAGATTACTTGCTAAAAACAATAGAACTAAGGCCAAACATGCTTTAAATCCAGGTTTTCAGGTCTTGAATTCTTTAATTTATTTGGACTGTAGTTATGGGGCTCTCTAGAATTTGGTATTCGGAATGCACACACTGAGCGGTTGAGGTACGCTGAGGTCGAGCAAGCCCTTTTTGTGTACCACTGTTCAATATTCTACCCTTTATATACTAATAAACTATAATAGATTATTCGATAAGTTTGAATTTTGTCGCTATACCCAGGTTAGCCCCAGTTATCGGCATTTCTCTCCTTTAATTAGAATAATAAGATGCCGAGAGTAGCAGCTCAAATGCATTTGAAATTTTTGCCCTCTTTCAAACGTCAATAGTTACTAGCTTTGCGTACACAACAATTCATGCAACATGCCATTCTAGGAAACACAGGAGAGATGTTAAAGTGAGGTTGTTATTAGTAGTTTCTTATTAAAATAACAGGTACTTATCGTGAAGGCACATCGATATTTGCACCTTACAAAATCCCTTATTCTTACTAACAATCACATTTACTTAGGAGCTCGATGAATGGTAACTTAATACTTCATTCAATGCACGTGTTACGAAAGGTAAGGTCTATTGTTTAAAGCAGCTTTATAACAATGTCACAGTTTGATGATGTGGGCTTGGGCTTAGCTGACTTGGATGACTCCTTTACAGCTGATAGTAGCGTTGAAAACGAAGTAATTGATTCTCCATTTACGAAAAATGGAAGCGGCAATAATTCTCCAAAGCAGCAGTCACTCACGGACAGCTACTATTCCCTGGGAGCCGCTCCCCGTAATCCTGGACCTCTGACCACTTCAAGTGATTTGGAAAGTTCTTTTTATGACTCCAGCACAGAAAAACAGTGTGGGTCATCAAACAGATCAATGAGTTTTTCGACGCCTTCTTCACCAATCAAAGCATCTGCGAAGGATCTTGGTCTCGACCCTGACCTTCTACATGTTTTTGTCTTCAGTGACGCTGGTAAGCCCATATACACAAGGTACGTTATCACAGTCTTGGTATCCTTATTTGTTTGGTTCTAATTATCATAAAACCAGTGGTTTACTAAATATGTGGAGGTTTTTTCTTGCTTTGGGATACCGTTTTCTGCTCGAACTTCACTGCATATTTCATCAACCCATGATTTCGCTCTTAGTTAAAACGTCTATCAAGCTCACAGACTATATTATTAAGGTCTTAGTTATCTGAATTGTTTTACCTTCTGGTCCTCTGGCCGTCGACTCAGTGTGAAATTGACGCGCAGTCGGCTGATGCGCTCATGATCCTCATTTTTCTAGGTACGGAGATGAAGGTAAACTTGCCCATGTTATGGGCGTTATGCATGCGCTGATTTCTGTTGTCGCTCAGCAAGGTGACCAACTCCAAACCCTTGTTGCTGGTGACAAACACATCGTTTTTCGCACCTTCGGACACCTAATTCTTGTTGCTATCGGACCCTCTTGTGAGCCCGTTTCGCATCTCTCTGTCATTCTCAAATATGTATATAATCAGGTATTATTTCCAACTATTCCTGCACTTTACTAATAAGATATTATTGTTTGGCTAGTCGATATTAACTGAGGTGTATCTTGGTGAATTGGTGAGGTTCATATAATTTCGACGCCGTGTTAGTATTCAGTTGAAATATTTCAGTCCCTTATCGGTTCCTTGTACTGGCCCCTACATTAATACGCCTTCAATGCCTTTGTAGATTGTGAGTGCACTGACTCACCAGAGGATAGATAAGTGGTTCATGCAGAAGCAGAACCTTGATTTACGCAACCTTATGATAGGCGATTGCCGTCTCCTCACTGGAGCCGTTGAACTCGTTGAAACCCAAATGGGACCCACACTGAATGCCGTTCTTTGTATTCCACTACCCAAATCAATCCGAGATGCGGTGGTTCAAGCCATCATTCACGGTGCTAAATCTCAGGTAAGGTCACTTGTTTTTATGCGCACTCCTCATCGGTACTCCTAAGCTTTTACTTTTGAATAATAATGTTGAAGATGGTTTAGCAGTACAGTCGATTGCCATTTTGACTAATTTAACTTTTTTATCCCGAATGGGTTGTTATGGGATCAACTCAATTCAGGTCCCACTGACTTAAATTGAACTAATTATTATAATCACGTTATAAATTATCATTCCTTTCAAATAAGCCGCAGCGGATTGCTTTTTTGGCCTAATGCGTTTCAATTTGGAAATTTGCTAATGAAAAGAAGACTGTTGTTTTCTGTAGGTTAGTGTCATTATGCTAACATTTTTACGTGCGTTTTTCTGTTGCTGTTCTTTCAATAAGGATCTTCTGTTCGCCATTCTTCTGACAAATTATCGAGTGGTGTGCATCGTCAGCATAAAGAAGCGCTTCCTTCACCCTATCGATATCCATTTGATCACAAACCTTGTGCGATGCTCTCAGTCTTTCAGAAACGCCTCTACCAATTGGCTACCCATTTGTCTTCCCAAGTTCAACTGCAAGTATGTTGTATCGTCATCAGACTTTCCACTCATTGATGTTTAGTATCATAGTGCGCCTTTTCGTTATTTTTAGTGGTTACCTCTATGCCAATCTCTCCTATCTTGACAACCATTCCTGTCTGGTTTTGCTAACCGTTGATAGCAACCAGTTTTATGCTCTCCAGACCTCTCGAGATCAAATTTTGTCGGTGCGTTCATGAATGGGTTAACCTCGTATACCTTTAACTCTCACCTCAACTATCGCTTTTGTGCTTCTTAATGTCGATGCCTCTCGGGATTTAGGCTTGTTTTTGAGTAACGCTCCACACATGATGTGTGCAGGGACCCTTTCTTGATTATTTTCTATTACTGGCTCTCGTACTTAAATCTTGTAGTCAATCCATGCAAATTTGCAGTTTGTTTGTTTTAACACAGGGTGCATCATCTAGGCAACTGTGGAATTTCGTTTAATGTGGGAAACTTCATTGTCGCTACACTATTGATCTATTAAGAATTGCTGGTATATTTAGGGGTAATCATAAGCCTCGATTGTTATGTTAATTTTAATCCAAGCATATTCAGGTGAACGTTACTTAGATCTTATCGAAGTTGGCGAAATTGGTGTCGCTGATAATCTGCAATAAAAGTGACTTCAAATAGGAGTGCTTGTTGAATGGTTGGTTCTCATTACGTTAGTACGTAACTGTTGATTATCTATCTACCCAGTTGACAAATGCATTCAAATCAAAAACGCGTAAATCTTAAACATGTTGCAATTCTCCCTCAAAATATGCATGTTTTAACTCTAATGACTAGTTGCCCGCTAAATGTAAGTCGCAGTCAATGCATCTGACCTGCCCATTGAAATATGGCGAACAAAGTGGTGTTTCCACAAGCAAAAGCTTCTTAAACATCGCTATTCTAGGTGCATATTTGAGCTTAAGAATATGAGCTAACAGTCCGTTTCCCCTTTAATGCTAAGAATGTGCATCTTTCTCTGGGCAGCGCTTGCAATCGTCACTGCAGGGTGAGTGTTTGCAGCGCTTGGCCTCGGCCACCTGGCCGGACGTCGCATCATTAGGTTTTGGTGGGGGTCTGCGACACTTCGTCTGCAAGTTGGTCCCCGCGGCGCAGTACACCACAAGCCGGTGGACTCCACCTTACAACTTCAACACCGCTGTGCCGACCTCATCTTCGCCTTCCGATAGCTCGGAGGTCATGACGACGGCATCTGCGGTGGCAGCGGTGAAGCAGCGCCAGGCAGCCCTGCTTCGCGCCTATCGCGTGATGCATAAGAACCTCCACTGTCACCTCCACCCCGTTAGCAGCATATTCCAGGCCTCCGATACTGAGGCTCAATTGGCTTCGGTAACTATCATTTTCAGCCCTTCTGGTATTCCATGTTTACTCCTGGGGTATTTAGAATTGCCGTTACTTTAGAAGCATGTGATGGGAGCGATCTTTATCTTATTCATCCAACTGAATCCCCAATTAAATGGCAACAAATCGCCTCCTCACGCTCAATTACTTGGTTATTTATGGTTTTATAATTTAGGATTGCAGTAAAGTAATACTCACTTAAGAGTGAATGAAAACAATGCCTATTTGGTGCGTAGTGGTAATACAAATATAAATAATTTTTTTACGAAATATTAACTGATTTCTTTTTACTTTCATAACGTAGTGGCTTTAATTAATCAGGTTTCTTGCGACAAATATTGGCATAATCCCTACCCCGTTGACCTATGTCCGCATCTCAACTTGGTTAGTGTATGGTTTCACAATTCGTTTGTAAACTTGTTTTTTTACCAATGATATTAATAGTAACTGTTTGCTATAGTTGTTTCCTTCGTACCATTGCCAACCTTGAGTAATCGTTAAGTATCAGCAGCGCATTCTAAACATGGATGACAAATAAAATTGCGAATTGCCTTTGGGTCAATGAGCTAGCGGATTAATCCGACCATATTTCATTCAAATATCGGTACCAACTTGTCCACTTGCCTCCTCACGCGTTCACTACTCGAGTAGTCCTGCAATTTGTCGCGTCGTTTGTGGCAATCACTCTACGAAACTTTTTAACTGTGACATTTTAGTTGAGTCATGATTACGAGGTGTACATGACTCTGGAACCGCTGGTTAGCAAACAGGAGGCATTTGATATTCTTAATCGTCTAACAAAGTGGATCTCGGCCAACAAACAACGTCTCTTTATCCTCGCCTCACCGACTTTCTGACCCCTTTCTCATCTACTCTATGTTCTCATAATCATGTTCTTTGCAATACTATTTGATTTGATTCGTTCACTGTTTCATTCTAGAAAGTAGGGTCGGACTTGTGAAATAGGCCGGATTCATACCCATAATTAGCAAGAAATCCACTCTTTGTTATATTCATTTTCGATATTCATTTTACCGATTAATCAGTGCCCTCATTCGGCTGACTTTCCCGTTTTGATAGCAGAGGGGGTTGTATGATTAACTGATATGCTTGTCTAGAGGTATGAAACCTTCACCCAAACCTTGCTATTGATGTCACCCTTGGGATGTGATTGCATGGAGGCATAACCCCCATGCCTCAGCAGAGGTGACCCAGAAGGCCTTAATTAAACTGAGTAGCATTCTGCCACTAAATGTCAGAATTCTATTTTGACTGACACCCACGTCAAATGTCATCAACATTAGCGGTGCGCACGCACGCAAGCAGACTAATCGTGCAGACAAAGAATCACGAGCATTGGACGCACCCTCGCTCAATTTAACGGACTAGAATGCTTCGGAACTGGCGCGATGGTCATGTATAGCTGAACGACTAATGACAGCTGGACATGTGAGAGACTGCCTGATGGATTCGTGATCAACGACTGATCATTACGAATAGTGTCATGCGGATTAACTACGACTCAGACACACCTCTGGTCATCCCACCGGATTCATTTGTTTGGGCGCTACCCCCTTCCCTTCCCACATCAATTAGGCCTAACCACCAGTGCTAAGGGGTCAAGTGGGTTGGCGTTTGCATTTTATCCGACTATTCCATCAGCGTGGGAAATTGAGTGAGACAATGTGAAGTAACAAACCATATCAGAAGAGCAGCGGTAAATTGTGCAACACTTACGTAAAAAAAAGCTGGCTACATTATCGTCTGTACTTCAGCCTTGACTATAACATTTGGATTTATTTGAACTACAATTAGCCGGTGCTCCGTAGCTGATTTATGGCTCGTGGTGGAGATCACAGCTAGATTATTGTTTGTTTGTTTGTTTGTACAATTAAGATTATTTAGGGTGTTCTTAAATCAGTTAGCTATTGAGACATGACATTTCCTGCAGTTGTATTTAGCTGGAAAAGCCATCCCTACATACCCGAAATAAAGCCACCTTTGTATGAAATACGTCGAGTTTGGATTCGTGACAGGTGAAAGTCCTACTCTCTTGTTATAGTCATTCTACGACATGTAAAACTAGAATTTCTGATAATCAACATCCCTCCACGGGCTAACTAGGAGGTGTATTCAATTAGAAGTCCAAATTTTGATCAATTCAAGTACTGTAAAAGCTAATTACTCAGTTCTAAGTGATAGTCACCTCAAGAGGCTACCGTGAAGCATCACAAAGTATAGGTGACACTACTCCATTCAATAGTTGATGCTTTCCTATATTGTCACATCCTCAGTCGAGCAATGGATGCAACCGTTTCAGACAAGAATATTTAAACTGAAAAAAGAAGTTGCCTGCATAAATAGAACATCCAGCCTTCGATGATTCAGGATTAATCCCCATAAAATTCATTTGTGAACTCTAATTGACAAATACGCTAATTTGCCTAGACACTTGCTACCTTGCCCTTTCCTCAAACCATCTGACTTGTAAGTTTGCCACTCTTGATATAAAATGACAGCTAAAAGCAGATGACATGAGATATAGTGAAGGACGAAAAATATGGACAAAATAAGAGGATTTACACGATCAACATCTCTTTACAAAATACATAGTATCAAAAGGTACATATACAGACCCACTCTGGTAGCCGTTTTTGATAGAGACGTCAAGAAGGGCACATCAAAGATATGAGGCGACGATAACTGATCAAAACATTTATGTATAGTCGACTCTTGGGCCGAGAGAAAACCCTGACCTCTTAATAATATAGGTGGCCGCCTTCTTTCCGCTATCAATAGCTTTCTCCAGATCTCCCTCAATGAGGTAGCTAGCCAAAAAACCTGCTGCAAAAGCATCACCAGCTCCATTAGTGTCCACGATGTTCTCTAGTGGCAGTGGAGTAACTGAGAATGTACGCAGCACCTGGTCTCTCGACGATATCGTGTAGATCGGTCCGGGTCCCTGTGTCAGCACCACCAGACGTGGACGACAGATGTTGCCTGCTCGCGGCAAGGAGACGAGGTACTTGGCCACACCCAGAGCATTCCTATCGTTCAGTAATCGCGCTTCAGCGTAAGCCTCTGCCTCGTCTACGGTGCCAAAGATGAAGTCGGCGTGCGGAATGACGGTGTCGAGTGCCTCCGTGTAGGATCTTGCCACGTAAGGCGAAGCCAAATTTAAACACAGAGCCTTGCTGTGAGATGACGCATGGTCAAGAATAAGTTTGACAATATCCATGCTGGATACCACTAAATAACCCTAAAAGAGGGACAATATATTCAACTCACATCTTTAAAGTACCAAATAGGAATGCTCAACTTACTATGATGTAGTATATTTGTGCCGCTTTCACCATTTCCCAGGGCCTTTTTTGTCGAAGAAAATTGGTCGAGAGTGCAGCAGCAGCACCGAGGGAGGTGACCAAGGAGCGTTGGGAACCGTTTACTAAGACGAAGCACACGCCTGTTCCGAGCTTATCGGTCACCTCGTATAAGGTTTTTACACCAGTCTCATGTATGCTTTCAAGCAGAATCTCCCCAGTTGTATCGGCACCTATACACCCAAGATAAGCGCATTGGATTTCCTTAGAATCCTGATGGATCCACTGAATCATTTTCATTGTGTTTTGCGCAGCTCCACCAGGAACATAAGTAAGTTTGAAGTTCTTTTGCAGGAGTTCCTCGTAGAGCCCCTCTTGTTTGGGCCCTTTCAATATTGCCCCGTTGGCTTCAACATCATATTTCCTCAAAAACCTCTCACAAACATTGGCCTGAATATCAAGCAGAGGGTGGCCAAGAGCTAGCATGAAAATGGGCTGAACATTACAAATTTCACCCATGTCAACACTCAGGTAATGGGCACTAGAGCCTGATTCGTGAGTCAGTCTATAAATCCATACCGAGAACCAATAGTAGGACTGCGTTGTCGTTGACCAATCAGAACAAAGTTGTTTCACTGTCGCTGTCACCACTGCGATGACATATTGGGGGAATAAGCATAGCCGTTGCCATGGTTACTCAAATCTACTAACTCATAATCGATTTTAGTCTATCGTGACTACACTCACGATTGACCAAATCACGTTGTAGGTATTTAATGTAATTCTTCTACCTTGTGTAATTTGAAAGTAATCAAATGGCTTTAGTCGTTGGGCGAAATATTTGCTAATCAGTTTATATCATTCAAAAATTTGGGCGACATTTTGATTTGAGCATGTAATTAGCATGACTGATCACGTAGGCTGGTCGATTACTTCATACCCAAAGTGTAATGCGTCGACTGTTTGCTTAATCCTCAGTTTTAGTAGCGAGCCACTTAGTGGCTCCACCATTTCACCTTCACCGGGCGGCTTGGCCTTCGGGCCAGACCAATGGCCCCATAAGCCCTTTTGTGCATCGACAATGGATATTCTGCCCAACTATTGCGTCTTCTTCGACTTCGGGGGCGTCTCGGAGTGGTGCACACAACCAATTCATAAAGAGGCACAGTAAGCACTATTCAGGAAAAAAAGTTTCCAAAAAGTTTGGTAGTTTTCGAAATTCAACAGAACGTCAGCAGAAAAATACATTTTACTAACCTTTTGCAAACCGAAATAATTGCCTGGATGAGCCGTATAATGGTGCTGAAGGCGAAGGAAAGACTAATCCCCCAAGTCAGGATGAATCCGATGAAATGATGGAAAATTGACTCTTCTTTTGTAAATGGCGGGTTAACATTAGTTAAAATTCTGCAAACCTCAGCTTTTTTTAACCTGTTGAATTGCGAAGGTACAGTCCAAAGGCTACATATTTTCGAAGTCAACCTGTCGGAGAAGGTTGCAACCCAGAGGCTGAGTTATTGAGGTACAATCGAACTACCCTACAATTTTGAAGCAGGAATGTCTAAGACATTGCTATTAGAGGAAGGGGATTACGAGGAACAAATGGTTTGGCTTGAAATGTGACGGCTTAGGTGCACAAGTCACGACTGGCGCTTTATGTGATGCGATGTGGGGAAGTGGCCGCAGATGGCTTTTAAGGACCTTAAGGGCAGTTACTATGACGGAGGTGAGACTTTCAAAGCGCAATGCCATTTGTTTGTGCGTTCGCAGTAGGAGGGAGTGAGCGCCTAATTAGAGAGCTCCTGGCGCACAAGAGAAGTGAACAGGCACCTTAGTGTGTACATGACTCTGTTATCGCTCAATGCCGAATCAAAAGTATGAAAAAAGTTGTCTGGAGAAGAAAAAGAATTAAAGCGAGATGATACCTTGGCATGCTACTTCAAAGGACATTTAATTTGACTATTTTGAGCTCGGTCTAATGAGCTTTATTATATTTTTCTACCCATACTCGAGTCGTTTAAGCTAGTCTGGGACATCAGTACTTATAAGGGCATAAAATATAAATCTAAAGGAGTTAAAATCACATTGGCTTTTGAATTTAGCACTATCTATTCCACTTCCACACAAACCTTAATGTTTAACGAATACCTGAAATGCCTTAGGCATAAGACCTTTCAATGCAACCGAGCCATTTTAGAATAGCCTACTCCACTTCGCCATCTTTGATTAAACCTTGAGGGAGTAAAATTTCCGACATCACAATTTTCTAATTTTCGGGCCACGACTGGCTATGCGTCCACTCGGTGTCAAAGTTCAGGACAGAGCACCACACGATAGCCGAAATAGTTGCCATGGCGTGGAGTGGAATTAAAACCAACACGACCGGAATCGTCATTAGCAGATGCAAATCCAGCAGGTTCATTAATGTTATAATCGTATTAGGGTAATATATATACATATATATGTATACGATATAGACCGAAGGTTATAAATTAGGTGCGCAAGACGTTAGGAAATTTGTAGCGACATCGGTCTTTCCTGAGGACAAATAAAGTTATAATACTAGGGCTGAATTTGTATGGCCGACACTGAGAAGGGCTGGCGACTACTAGTGTGGCCTGAAGGCTATGCCGCCCAGTGGAAATACAATCGCGAAGCTCTAAGTGCCCATGGAGCCAAAACGAAGAGTTAAACAAACAACCGAAGTGCTACGTAGCTTCCCCTCCTCTCTTGAGCGTCGCCCCTGGCACCACCCTTGGTCAATTTTCCATGTTGGCCATCACAACGCAATAGGTGCTGTAAGGAAGATATTCAGGAACCAACCGCACCGATTATTGAATTTGCGTGCAGTTGAGAAGGTATCTGACAGCAATGCCAGTGATCTATCCTAACAATCCTGCTGGATCTAGTGTTTTCTCCCCGTTTGTAAACTGTATTAAGAGAAGAGGAATGTGATGGTCATCTCATGTGACCATCGGTAGTGGTAAGAACGATGTCCTAAGACGAGAATCATTTACTAGGGAATAGGATTTAATATAGATTTATGGAAATGAGGTTTCTCACCCATTTCTCCTTGCCACTGCTCTCACTTCAGAGCTGGCCAGTCATATCTATCTATCTGGGTTCTATCCAGCTAGTAGATAGGTGGAAAAGGTATCGAGTATTCACTTCATTGACACCTACATGCAGGCGCTGAGGACAGCTCCGTAACAAACTTTTTTAGATAGTTCGCGGCCAGTGTCACTTCAGTCGTCTATAGCATTCCTGCAGAATACAGAACTGAAGTTTTTGCCTATGATGACCGTCAATTTCAACCCTTTTGTTAGGGGATGACACAGATTATCCCATCCGTAGCACGCGCCCATCTTCCGCCACGGCACAGCTTGGCATTCAGCAATATGAATTGGAGTAGTTGTCTTTTAAAATGGGATTTTTGCTTTTCGCCACATCAGTTGTAGCTACTCAAGACTTCCCCAAAGACGAAATAATTCATAAAATTAGGACAGAAAACGCAATGCCAAATTACAGGTCTGAGGTGGCCCTGACCCGGCCCGGAGGCTACGTCACCTAGTGGAGGTGCAAAATAATTAAAGTATTACAAATATGTATAGCTTAATAGGAGTAAATACATTAAGTCTACTTTCAAAACTTTTTTCCTTAGGGGAGTTTCAACTCTTAAGCAGCTTTCGAGTCAGCCTTGAAGACGTCTGCGAGTGGGTTAAGGCGTAAACATAACCAAGAGGTTTGTTAGACTACCACAGTCAGTAAAATTGCATACCGTTTTCGGTTCCTCGATCACATACTTTGGTAATTCCATGCTTTCATCGTCATTTTTCCCTTTCGTTTCCTATTTATAAGACTTGAGTAGTTCTTAACCTTCTTTATTGAACATCTTTCATGTGGCAAATTGAGGTACTAGCAGTAGATGATTATAAACTGCCAGAAATGTTTGGTTTTTTTCAATAAAACTAGACCACGAATAAAAAAGGAGCGAAGAATTAACGATAACACTCTCATGACTTCTCCTTGATTTTCTGTCGGATATAAGAAACTAAAAATGTAGTTCTGAAAGGCGAGAGAATTGATGAGAAGTCTTATGTTTTATTTAGGATTATTCTTCTCTCACAGCTTATTTAATTCAAGGAAGTATGACCACGACATTTCTTGAGTGTGAGAGCCCCCACACTGGTTTCCCCAACTCGCAGTATTTGATGCCCACGAACTAATGTGTTCAGGATGCCTTTAAAAGGATCACTGATGGGTCCGCTGTGCCTACTTCAACTGAGACCCACATGCGTAGTCTACCAAGTTAAAATTGACTCTAAGTCGCTCTTTTTTCAAATAACTTCGTATTTAAGTGGCTCCCTTCCTATAACAAATACATTATTTTTAAGCAACTGATGCAATTTCTTTAATTGCCCCTTTGGAGGTGAATTCAATGTCAAAGGCCAAAAGCAAGTCCAAAAAGTTGGCAGTAGGTTGATTGGTGAAGTGGTATGGCGAATACGGAAAACACAGGCTAATAAGTCAGGGATGTTGATACATGACAACTACACCTGCATCTCAACACCTTTACCGCTCCATTGATGTCAGTCACAAGTTAAAGTCCCACTTGGGTTTAGAAAGCTTTTTAGTCGACCCCTGTCTCCAGCCTTACAACTCACACTGGGAAAGCTATATTCATACACACAATTAGTCCAATTGAATAGCATAATTTTGAAGCAATGAATCAGACAACACTTGGTACCTTAAGGTCTAATAACTGGAATACTTCATTTATATGTAAACAACCATTCAGAAAAGAACGAAGTCGCAGAAATCGGTGTTGCCCACAGCACAAACTTTATTTCCATTATTTAAACTGACTGGGGTAGTAGTCGTAAGTTTATTACGGCCACTATTTCAGCTTCTGCGTTGCTCACTTCGCTCATCCGAAGGCTTGGTCAAAACCAACCTTAAGGAACCCCTGCTCTCTCTTGACCACCTTGAATCAGAAGAGATAGGGAAGACAGATCTGACTTGAAGTCGGGTGAAATCAGTGCCTGAGGTGGCGGACTTAACAGACAGGGTGGAGAGGGTTGTTGTCGTTCGGAAATACTCCAAGCCTACATTAGCGTTTTGAGCCTGTGGAGGCAAATTGTTTGTTGGAGGCGTGCTGTAGAATTCGCGTCGGTTGAAGACTTTGCGGTAGTTGAAGAGGCCAACGATACGCGCTTTGGAGGCGTCCGGAGAGAGAAAGATTTCTTGCACCAGAACCGATAAGGCCGAACCTATTGGTGGGCCAATCAAGTAGATCTAAAGTGATAAAATTCTCATTTAGCAAATTATATTGTAAAATGTGAAAATACTACCAAGAAACCTACTGATACATCCACAATCGGGGTTACAAATTTGTGATACCCCAATTTCTTACCTGATTTCGACGTCACTAATGCTTGGAGCGTTCCTTATCACATCATAACAATTGGTTGAGACGATCCGTATAAAAAAAGTACTGGTGAATCTTAGGCGGCAAACAGGCAGGAATAGTTCTTGATCTGATGATATCTAGATTTTCTACTTTTGAACAGCAGTACCACAGAAGTATAATAAAATACCTAACTTGTGGTAATCAATTTCCCTTAAATTTTTGGCTCACTAGGCAATATTTAGAAAAAAAGTGGTTACATTCGTTTGCAGATTTTTTAGGAAGGAATTCCTTGCAGTTCACTAAAAACATCTTCTACTTTTCAATATCAGTAGCATATGCGAAAGTTTACTAATCTATAACATTATTTGTGGCGGAATTTCATCAGGCTATAGAACGATCAAAGCTGTGGTTGCATCAATCGGGTCGCAACTGAGACAAATAACCCCTACTTTATACTTTATGTCTGGTGTTATAATTCAGTGAAGGAAATCTGTACTTAGTTATTCTTTAGAATCTAAGCTGCATTTTGCTAAAGTCACAGGCTAAATGAAGCTGCTAAAATATCCAAATTTAAGTGAATCGCTTATTGTACATGGCTAGTGCTAATGTAAATGGGCGACTGACATGTGAGGTAGGGACTTACATATTGCCTTTCGAAGCTGAAATTTATCACCACGGATGCCAGGCTTCTGGCAGGATTTGTGCAGGCTCCAGAGATGGGGAGCTAAAAGTCATTAAGATAATCCAAAATGTAGAGCCCTATACACTCAAATCAGCCTATAAATTTACGATTAGCCTGCTTTGAAATTGCAACAAAGTGCATAAAAAGGCAAAAATGTATACGAATGCACCTGATAAAGGTCCCAGAATATCATATTTACCATGGTGTTTCTAATTCCCTTGGAAAGAATCAAACCTGTAAAATTGTATGCTTAAAATAGTAGAACATTCTTCGCCAGTTCTTCGCTAAAACCAGATGACACAGAAAAATTTTAACATTTTTTTCTCAAATTAGACTTGTATTCCGAGCTGATCGTGCTGTTAAAAATGGGAGTACTGACCCACCCCACTACAGTGAAGGACAATTGTTCTGCAGCAGCCAACAGAGAGGAACTCACAGCAATAAGGTCGATCCAAAAGAAGACCATTACGAGCAACACAAATGCGTTGATCTTGTTCATGGGATGGAATGACGGAAGACGAAGTTCATCGAGCAAAGCAACAATTGCAAGCTCCAGGAAGAACGTAATTATAATTTCCATACCTATAGCCTGCAAATCAGTTACTCCAGGACCGGGCATCGGCATCCCGACATGCGTCCGATTTGCCACGAAGGGAGATATAGTGAAACCAATATAGAGAGACAGAAGGGTACCAGCCATCTGTGCAATCAGGTACATGGGAACGTAGATAATAGACATCCGACGAGAGAGGATGACAGCTAGAGTTGTCATCGGATTGATTTGAGCTCCGCAAATGACGAAGGTGGTGAAGATTGCACAGTAGACAACACTGCCTACAAGCAGACCACTGACAAAAGCTTCGTATTTGCGGGTGTGATCGTGAAACATAATCGGAAAGTTGGCCATGAAAGCTGCTGTGCACTCAGCGAGAAAACGTCGAGTCAGCTGCCACAAATTTCCTGTTGGTAGATTTCTCATCCAGGAAGGGTGTCCAGACACTCTAAAATCTTTAGTTGCATGTAGTAAAAGCATTACTTTTAATTCATACAGTTTGCATGGGAGAAAATGAAATCGCAACAATTCCTTTTATTTAAATAAATTAGCGGCATACAAATTTGTTTTTCAAAGTATTGTGTGGTGGTACCTGTGCGGCATTATGGCAGGTAATGTGGACAAATAGAGCTAGCATCTGAGCCGAGCTGTTTAAAGTGGAATCAAAAATTTTCGTATCTGCAACCTTAAAAGTGGACTGCTTTAATCAAACTGGGGCTTCAATGATACAGTTTTCCAGGTAGATTGACCCTAATCGTAATAGTCAGCGCACATATCGTGCTTGAACCAGTCAACACGTCATCAATCACGACGTCAGACAACATTGTTGGTGTGTCCGTGTGTTCAACAGCGTATGGTGATGCACAAAGTGTCTTGCGTTAGAAGAGGAAGACTTCGAACTCACAGATATCTACTTGTATAGAAGCCTTTGGTGTCAGTGACAGTCTAGACCGTATTCTTGTATGAAAGGCCTAACCCAGAATGACTGACGCATTACCTCTCGCGTGGAAAGGATTCCACAAGAGACGGCTTTGATTACGCCAATCATAAGCGTGCATTGACAACTAGAGAGTTGCACACAGCAAAATGACAATTGATTCAGTTTGCTCTCCTTGAGACTTGACCTTTCCAGTTTTATAGGCTCGTTTATAAGTCCCAGTTTGACTCATACATCGCTTGTATTTAACCTCTGTTGTCACATCCAGAAGTCCTGTAAACTGTACTAGCACACAGAAAGTGGATCACAGCCACCTTGAACGCGACTTGTCAAGTAAAGCGGTAGGGATAATCGATGCAACCTCTTGAAACCACGTGGGGCAAGCTGTCTTACCTTGACAGATATTCGACACGATGAGGTAGGTTAATAGCTTTCCCACCTTTAAATGTGTTTAGGTGATTTTTTATTTTCCCAATTTCACAGAATACCGCGTTTTAAATATTGTCTTGCTCAGTCAGCCCTCTTAAAGTACTTAATGTTTCGCTAATTGTTTTCCTTATTGCACTTTTCTTTGCATAACATACAAATGATGGTCTTATTTTTCATCTTGGCCAAACAGCGAAGACTTACCGCACACTCATTTAATGTTCTTGGAGGATTTGCCATGGCGAGATTACGTCTGGCTCTTAGTACGGATTTTTGTTGCCGAATTGATTGGATCTGTGATATTCATTCTTCCGGCAATTTTGATCACTTCACCGACCCAATACGAGCCCCTCGTAGCAGGCATCGCAATGGGTGGGGGGCTCTACGTTGCGATATGGATCACCTACCCCACCAGTGGAGCGCATATCAATCCCATCATTTCTCTCATCGCCTTCCTGAACAAACACATCAAGTTGCATCACCTTGTGTTCTACTGGATCGCTCAACTGGCTGGCGCTCTGCTCTGCACTTTAATTGGCCTGAACATTCTACCGCCTGGAAGCAATGAGACCTTTCGCGGCATGACTTTCCCGCACCCGGATGTATCAGAAAGACAGGCCTTCCTCGTGGAGACGCTTACAACGAGCGTCCTTGTCATTGTATACCTGGCCACAATTGATCTTAGGAGACCGGAGAACTGGGGATTGAATACGGGACTTAACATGGCATTGCCACTGATGTTTACAGTCATTGGAAATGCGATTATAGCTGTAAGTTATTTGCTACTTAGGCAGGCTGGGTAGGAAGTCATAATCCTAGTTTATCAAAAAGTCAGACCTTATCCGATAGCTTAACTGGCTTTTCGCCTATGTTCAATTTATTTTTTTGTAAGAATAGGGCAATTTTCTTATATACTAGGCATTTTCCCTGGCCAACAACCAGCGTAGATCAAATAGTGGGGAAGTTCGGTTTTTGCTAAAGTGATATCAAAGCTAATTTGAGTATTATCAGAAAGACCTGTCTGGAGTACGGAATGATTTTGCTAGTAAACAATCACATTGGTCTGTTAAGACGTATTTAGCTGACAGCAATATAGGGGGGCAAAATTTTGCGGCTTGAAGCTGCGTCATCCTCCTGAACATTGGGAAGAATTACCACGTAATCAAAGTGAGGGCTTCTTCTTCCGTTCCCTTTGCAAACGTTATGCTAACATACAACAAAGGAAGAGGGAATTCTAAGGAATGCCAGCCTGACTTTTGACGTCGGATTGACGTATAGCCTGTCATGCGCCAACATCGCCCAGAAACGAATCTTTCAATGAGAACGGTAAACAAAACCACTTAAGAACACCAGCAGTTTTTAAAAATTAGCTTACTCTGGGTACTATCAACAATGGCAAAGTGAAGCAGGCTGTTTTGGGTTGGCTTAGCCAGATGAATTGGTCTTGTGCCTCGGCCATTCCAAGTATTCTTTGGTCTAGATGGGCAAATAGTCGCATTGAAATAGAAAAACTGACGTCTTCACTCAGATGAACAGTTGGATATGGTGATAGCAAAGCGAGAACAGCATATGAAGTTAGTTTAAGGTGGGACATTATCAATGATGTGGATCAGGAGGTGGTACCAGATTTTGTTTTCATATGTTTGTTCATTTCGAAATGGTTAACTTTTCTGTCAATGTTAGAATTACGAGGAATGGTAGAATTTTCCTTGATACGGCAATTATAACCCCACGCCTTAAGCTACCACCTAATCCAGTAAGTACAACTTCCCGGTCAGGGTGTATCGCCATCCACTGCTCATGGTGTAAGACAAAAAACTTGGCCGCCTTGAATCTGAACACCTTAGTATCTAAATTAACAACCTCCATCGTTACGTCACGCACCACTTTCCCCATCAGAAGTTAAGTTAAAGTAGTTTGCTACACCTCTCACTGAGTGCCTTCGTTTGCAATTGTCAAAAAACGAATTGGCCATTTGTACTTAATTCAGACGAATTTTTGATAACAGACATTTAGAGGTCAAATGAGTTACTTTTAAAAAGGTGATAGTGTTGCTCCGCTGACTCAGATACCTTTCTCAAACACTATTGCTTACCTAATGGATAATTTGACTTTATGCTGTGAAATCAAAGTCTATCGTTACTTTGTGTGCAACCGGTTAATGTCTCTTCCAGTGAAAACTCATTTCTGATTGTACTATTTACTGAAGGAACGGAAGACATACACATGAGTGGCGATTCGATCGTTCCTTTTAGCTTTCAGTCCTGCCAGGCTTAAATAAGAATGCTGCTTTGACTACCCCATGACAAATAATGATGCAAGTCATCCATTCCAGTACAAGCAGAAGTGGAAAATGTCGATGACTTAACGGGGTAGTTTCAGAAAAATCCCACCGTAAATTTATTCTGAGCTCCAACCGTCACCTTAATCACAAACCTTAGAAGATGAACATCGGCCAAAATATTTAGCATCCTCTCCTTATGATCCATCTGTCAATGACTTAAAGAGTTTGTTTAAAATTGCAACCAGTAAAGTCAAAAACTCTATCAAGACCTACAAACTGCGAGGGATATGAATAGCCCCCCGACAAAGGCGTTTACAGGTACATAAAATTGCCAATCAAGCAGTTACCTTTTAATCAACTCAAACATAAAGAGGAAGACGCACAAAGTGATGAGAGGCAATAATAATCACTTTCTGTACTTTTAGGAGCCCACATCAAAGGGCAGCATGAATCCCTTCAGAAGCCTTGGACCAGCCCTGCTTCACGACAACTACCGAAAACAATGGGTGAGGAGATAATCTGTCTGCTTCAAGTAGCACATCACACCCACACCTTTCATTGTAATTATCGAAAGTTCAACTGTCAAGAGAGTGGCTAAAATTAACTAAAGCATCTCTACATTTACGCTAACCGCTGAAGTAAGGGGGCGTCACTTAAACTACTTTTCCCTTAAAAACGCCAATCATGGTAGAGAACGTTTCACTACATTAGAGTTACGAGTCCCGACTGGGTGTCTTCATTTATGAAGACTGTATCTTCGTTCAAGTAGCCGTAATTTTCATTTCTTCTCCTAGTTATACATAATCGGCCCTTTGACCGGAGCACTGGTTGGATCTTTCATTCACACGCAGTTCCTTGCCACGAAATCAGACGAGTAAGTACCGTCTTTTTAACATCCTCTGCTCTATTTTTTTCCAGAGAAGTAAAATTTGCGGTTATTTAGACTCATATGTTTTACGATATTCACAGCTAAAGCCAATTTACCTCTTCCCAAAAGGTGTGGAGCCCATGAAAATTTAAAACTGGCATGCACAAGGACTAGTTTTTCAGACACTCATTTTCTGCTCTGTAGCTCATAAAAACCCCTTAAATTCCCTGAATTTCCCATGATTGGAGGTAGAAAGTGAAGAAGATGTCCTATATATGGTAACAGTTTCATGTCAGATTAAATGGAGAGCAAATTTAGTGTCAAGCATGACTGAGTGTAATATAACATGCATTGTCACACTAGTCATGGTTATTCGGCTCTCCTGCCTAGCAAAAGCTTCCAGTCTTACTGGCTCAGGTTCGAGCGATTCTATTGTAAATAGTCCTTCCTCGACATCATAAGACGCACAGTAGTGTGTGCCTCGCTTACTGCTTCCTCAAAGTTTTTTACATGACGTATGGGCCTAGTTAAAATTGAAAACTCGCATAAAAATTTAATCTGTTCCTAGAAAACAAAAAAATTCGTAAAATAGCATATCATTTCAGGCCTCAACGTTCTCTGAGTATGTTTATTGCCAGTCTTTTGTGCTGCACTAGTTATTTCAGGCAAATGGGCTACTTTATCTGCCATTAAGGGGACATCATTCAAGCGCTTACCGTATCCTACGCCACATTCGCAAAACAACTCTCCCGCCCTCTCGGCCGCGTTATTTAAGTGAAGTGGACTTGTAAATCGGACAAACTCAAAATTTTCGCCCTTTTAGAAAGTGTCATGATAAACACTTCACAGTAAATTACTTGCAGGTAAAAATCGCCAAAATCCGATCGTGAAGCTGCCGGGGCTGCCTTCTTGCAGTTGAAACAGACACCTAAAGGGTGTGCTGAGTAGCTTTTTGGGCATATCTTAATTTCAAATACTTTCCTTCAGATTTAGCTCACAATTTCCGTTCCGTAACGATTCTAATGTTTGTTTTTGAATCAATGGATCCTTTTTCCCTCACACAGTCGCTACCGTAGATTGAGGGCTTGAATTTATGGGCTATATGCTTTATAGATCCTTTTCACTGTTTTCTCTTTTGCCCTTATTTAGCTCCGAAGAAACTGGTGGAAAATAAGCAGTCCGAAAGGGCAACTTTTAGTGGAACTTGGCACTTGATGCGGAATTTGCTGTGAATTGACGGTGCGTGTAATTGCAGTCAGTTGAGTAAAATAAACACGCCTGCTGTATCTCCTGCCCTATTTTGTCTTTGAGCCCTCGGTTTTAAAAATCAGTGAGCCGCCACGAAGATGTTTGTGTGTTTATAGCTGGATATCCTCCATAAATACGTAGAGGTGCAAATTTAGAGTTCAGATGATATTAAAAATGGAAATAAAGGATTTGTTTTTAAAAAGCACCCAATGGAACCGATAATAGTTCTGTCTTAAAAGGCTGTGATGTTCTTTGTGCGTCCCCTTCCACGATTTGCCGCACCGCATTCCAGATGCAATCTTATCAAGCCGAAGGATTTTACCAACCAAAAGTGGGGAAGAAAACAGTATTGTCATTCATATGTACAGTAAGCAACTGGTGAAACAGTGGCGGTGTGGACATCAACTTCTGTGTAACGACTCTAAGGTTAAAAATAATGCGGCAAGGGTGACGACCTTTCCCAACGAAAAAATGAGTCAAAGATTGACAGCTCGTCAAATGAGACTTGATTGGGCACGTAGAAGTGGGCCTCAGAGATCGGTGACCTCAAAGTTGGTGGACATGAACATTCGAATGTGCGCATGGACACGCACGGAGGTGTTGATTCTTCCCAAGCATCCTGTCCTCGAGGTATGACTGTCACATTCTCTGCCTACCGTGGACGTCAGTCTAATCAAATGCCAATGCTATTAAAAGAATTTCCCATATTTTAGCCAATTTTGAGAATCTTTCTAAAAAGTATCTCGTGTGAGAACAGAAATTTAAGTCCGCAGAATCTTTTTCCTTCGTTTTGAGCATAACACTTTAGTCACGACTTGAGGAACAATGTATCGGATTGCCTATTATTCCACACTCACTTCACTTTCACCTTATAAATTTCAGGCCAAATTAGAGCCAAAAGAGGGAAATTTGGCACTTTTGTACGGCGCAATTTTTTCCGTGTGCATTGTATACCGCGAGCCATTGCAGAGGGCTGCGCTGAAGTAAACTTTTCCACTTCAGAAGAGTGCTCTGGATTCCTACAGCAAAGAAATATCGCTATTATTACCATACAATAGTATATTTATGGCCTACTTTTGGTGAGCTCCCCAATCCTGATGCTTCCAAACAATGCCATCCTTATTAGAAAATGCTTATTTCAGTCAAAATTTGCTTTAACGTGAGGAAAATTGTAGAATGTAAAACAGACTGACTTGAAGTAAAACCTGTGCAGCAACTAATTGCTCCGACAAACCACTTTTCGGTGAAACTTCACCCGTACAATATTTGGCTGTCTTGTAAGTGAGTGCTTTTTCATACACTTATCGTTATACCACATTTTTCGCCCCATTTTTTGAGAATCATGCGTTACATTCAGGAAACAAAAGCGATTGCCAATCACAAGTCAAGTTGTACAATCCACAGGCGGAATCCTGAGGAGAAATCCTCTGTAAGCGTTGCCCACATTCCTGTACTTTCTTTCTTGCATTGACCCTTTTCCATGCATTGTATGGAGGTGAAATGACAACTGAATGCTAAAATTTTATTATCCTCATAACGTGGCAAGCATCTAAGATAACTTTAGTTAGAAGTTGACTGTTGCTCGTTTGACTGTACATTTAACCACCCAGGTTCTTCAGTCTGATTACGTCGGTTTGCATCTCCGTCTCGGTGAAATGGCTTTCTGGTCAGGTCCGTGGCCTCCCAGTCCTCGTCCACGGTAATAAGAATTACCCATCTATGTTAATATGGTTTGCTAAAACACCAGAGTAGTTCAGATGCCATGTAATATCAAAACTTATAAGGGTTTTTAAGTTCTGAGTAGATTTATAGTAGCGCTCTCAATTATGACTAAAAGGAGCCTAAAATTGCTTATAATAGCTAGTTCTGATATTTAATTTCGCCGTTGTACGACAGTTTATTGTAAGTGTTTTGCATATTTACAGTGATGGGGTAAAAATGTCCTATTCACTTAAATATTTCGAAGCAACGGTGAATTGAGAAATAGCGATAACACCCTTAATCCTGCCACGTAAAAGGCCTTATAATTAGGTTCTCTTATTTCCTCATGGAAACATTCACACGGGCCTTCCTGGGCGTCCTAAATCAAGTGGGAAGTTGTTGCCGAGGTAGGACCCGTTTGTGCGTTTACATTGATATAGTACAACGGCCACGCAAAACAATCACACAGGGGTAGAGGGACATCTACAACTGTGTGGAGGGCAAAAATACTTTACAATTGGCATTTAGATAGCAATAAGCAGCTTTTTTTCAATCATAATTGATTACAGCCTGAATAATTTGCTTAATTAGATGATGCGCCACGGCCCCCACTTTTAGTAAACAGAGGTACAGAAAAGATTAGTTTTAGTAAGAGCTGCGATTAGGCAGTATTGGTCTTGATTATAATTTGAATACCTACTGATCTAACCTTATACCTTTTTGTAAGTTAATGTCGAATCCTCTTCGATATTGAGGTGCATCACTGTCGCCGGAGAAGACTCAGAAATTGCCTATACAAATGCTTCCCACTTTTTAAAACTAGAATTTTTAGGCATGATTCCACTCTACAGAGTCTTTCAGACACCATACGAATGACCTTCTGGCGCTTTTGTTTATATGTTTAACGGCTGTGTTTAGGCTGTGGCCTTGACATGACAAACCGCTAGAGTGGATTGCATTAGCCACTAATTTACCGGCGCCAAGAGCGCAGAGGTTCATAATTCCCGGTTGTGCGCAATAAAGTCAAACAAATCCAGAGGAGCATTGCCACTGTTCATACACTGGAGAGTGGCGTAGGGAATATGTCATGTAGTGTTAAATTTACGTATCCTATTGTCATGCTCCAGGTCCTCACACGACCTGTTGATGAGTCGCATTGACATCCGCCTTGAAATGGACCTAGTCGTGGCGTTTAATATTTCTCTATTGATTTAATTACAAAAATTTTATTTCGCCTGCTATCAGTTCCATATTGAGATAGGCGTTCATAGTATATGCCTAATAAAGTATTTTGGACTAAAATTTTTTGACCCACAACATGCCTAATCGGACCCACTGTCTTTGCATAATTTACACAACTAAAGGCTTAAAGAAAATTTGCAAATATTGCAGTCTTTATTCTAAATCCACTGAATATTATGGCAAGTGATGAATACAGACATGCCTGTAAGATGCAAATTCAGTAAAGGTCAAAATTAGGAGTCACATGTATGATTCATTTTAAGCACATTTTAAGCAATAACCACTGAACCGTTGAAATAAAAAGTGATTTCGAAACGCATGTCTAATGGGAACATAGTGCAGTGTGAATCAGATTAGTCCGAGGCGGGAAGTAAGAAGTGTAGAAGTAGGAGCAGAACTTAAAGGGCTGCTCAGCTGTTCCCCAAGTCGTCAGCTGCATCCGTATCATACTTGCAATGGCGATCAAAGTCATGCGAGGTCAGCCACATACGGGTTCGTCGAAGCGAGGAGAATGGGCAGATAATTATCTCGTAGAGAAAACAGGCCAAAAGACAGCCTACAGGTGGCCCGATGAAGTATATCTAGGGAGAGAGTTGTGCATTCTACCGCAGAAATGGAAAACTACGGCAGCATATCGTACTGCACATCGTATCTCTACCATAAACAGAAAATTTTCGAAACCTAGAATACGTTTCATTTCAGTTGAAAAGGCCACAAATAGCCTTTTCCATCTACTTTAAGAGCTAAAAGAAAGAAAAAGGTAGAGAAAGGTACGCGAAATTCCCGAAAACCAATTTTTGGTCGCAATTTGCTTAGGTTGATGATTTGTCTCATACATTAATTGATACGTATAGGTATCAGTAAAAGTGGAGCAAGCCCACTAAAATGAGAATGAAACGATGTATTCTTTTCAATCCCACAAGTCATTTGTAAAGTAATCTTTCCAGTCTTTCATAAGTCGGCTAACCTGCTGATGAAATTAGGCCATGCTCATTTGGCCTGTGCTAATAGTCTCCCGGCTCATCCATGTGCTCATACCAGACATTCCGTCATATAAGGTCTTCAGAGGCAACTGCTTGTCATGTTTAAACTAATCTGGAACATTTTAACACATCCTACAGCAAAACCGCTAAAAGCTATACCAAAGACTTTCGCTAGGGAGTTAAAAGTCTTGAGATTTGATTTGCATCCAAATGAAACATAGATCGCTATCCCGATTATGGTTGAATAGCACGGACTTTGTCTCAAGTTATGCATGACGGAATTGTAAAACTATAAAGTGTACACCATATGACAATGCACCATGAGGCACGAAAGTCTTAAACAAGATCATCCCTAATATATAAGCTCTTCTGGGTTAATCAGGCGATGATCAGCGTTGAAGGCCAGCATATTAGCCTACAATGCCCAATTCCACGAGACAGGAATTAAAAGCTAACTTTGTTGTCTGTGCGCAGGGAAAATGGTGCTTCAGCTTGTCTATCACTCCCCAAATCCCTCTTTGTATTTCCCATTACTAGCAAAAGTTAGACTGTAATATGCCACTTAGGGCTATCCTTCGTTTTTATGGAACAAAGGTACCGAGTCTCCTTCAAAGGCAAGAATTGACCATTTCAAGTGCGTTTTACACTCTCTACAACAGATTTAATAAGGGGGATATTAAACAATAAAAAGTAGCATAAAGCATAAACTCCAATTTCCTCATGAATTTGCTTAATTAAAGGTCGACAAAGAATTTAATTCGCGAAGATTTCTATGCTGGGATGAAGCTTAAATATTCCAGTCAATTCGACATTTCTTACCCACTGTCGGTCGTAATTTTGCTGATATATGGCAGCCGCAATGCTTCTTGTTGGATTCATACTGCCTCCGGATATCGGGATCTAAAATTTTTAACGAGAAAGCAAAAAAATATTCACCACCTCACTTCACATTGTTGACATATGCTAGCAAATGTAATGAAAACACATTTGTTTAAAGATAGTATCTATTTTCCGTAGTATATCCATGCCGACTGCTTTCAGTAGCTTTGTACTACTTTGGTTGCTTAAATCTCAGTTTTGGTAAAAGGGGTCACTTTGGGTCTCCATCATTGCATCTTTGACGGGTGGGCTGGTCTCTGGACCATGTTGGTAGTCCCCACCCCCACTGCTTGTCATATATGTATATTCTGCTCGAGTATTATGTCTTCTTTCATTTTTTGGAAATCTTGGGGCACTACAGTACTTCTTATAAAGGGTGGTGATTAGCGGAGCTAACCAAAACCCGTGCTCCACATAAAAATAAATTGTGATACATCAACACGCGAATCCAACAACCTTAGCACCTCTTAAACAAACAGGGGGGAAAAATTCTAGTGTGGACGACTTGCAGGACCCCAGTAACTACCCAAATCTGTGGGTGCTTTGCAAGAGACTCACGAAAATGAAATGTTTCCTCTAGTGATTCTACCCAGTGCACATATTTTCATATTATTGTTTAAACTGTCAGCATAACTTAGCAGGTAGGACCAATCCATACTGCTTTCCCCCAGGATGGCATCCAGCATTAAGCATTTGGTCATCTTCAACAGTACGCTAAACCGCAACGCAAACAAACATCTTAGCTAACACCGCTGACTTCACTCACAAAACACAAAATGCGATTGAGAAAACGGAGAATAATTCTAACATATCTTTGTGCGAAATCCACCTGTTGTCAAATTCGTTCACATGACTACAGCAGTACTGCTGCCACAGCTTTATGTAAATCAGATTTCATCCTGTTTGAAGTTTCAACATCTCGAGCGGCGAAAGCCATCTAAACATTTGAAACTGCCATTTAGACAAATTTTACAGACAACCAGAAAGTTTACTTTACAATTTCATCACATGTTCGGTGTAAAATTTAGTTAATCTTCTTGAAAACTCTGAATAATCCAAAGATTGCATTGAAGCCTTAGTTATAAGTGATTTAATAAAGATTTCTCCTCAGTAAAGTCGCATATGTTACATCTCAACTCTTCTATTGTTGTGTTTTTTCATGGCAATCCTGGCTCCTTTCGAAGGTGCCACGAAGGTGATACGAAGGGGATGATTTAACTACTTTCGGCATTTGAGAACCACCAGAAGCATTCTCTGAAGGAATTTAACGACTAATTTTACAGATAATCAAGCAGGTTTTGAAGAGGGTCTTAAGCCCCAACACCGAACCATCAACTGTAATTTAATTTTATTCACTGAGTGGTAGGTTTTCCGACACCCTTCTCTTTCCCCGTCCTCTTGTTCCCAGGATCAGTCCATTTCCCTTTGAGTAAGACACGGCGGTAGCCACAACAGTCTTTTAGAGTGTCTGTATATATGTTCACCTTTTTCTAGGTAAAAGTTTCGCCAATTGTCGTTTATGATAATTCCTTTGATGGTTGTATCACTTGGGCACCGTCTAAGGTGCTGAGTGGAGTACACACAGGATCATTTGTAGGGTCGGGAATGCACCCCCATTGTTATTGTTATTTGTCTTGAATATCCCCTTTCTTTCACTTCTTTACTGATTATTTGATAATGGTGACATTCAAAATACAACTTATCCCCTGCCTTTCCCGTGGATTATGATGTGTCCCCTTGAGTTTGGTGCGCTGTGTGACCCTCAACTGAACGAATGTAGCGCAATTTTTTTCTTTTATTATTCGTTAAACGATTAATTTATGTAGTTAAATTAAAGAAAGGAAAACTTACTCGAATAATTATAAGCTCTTGGACATATATCGCGTTCCATACTAGCCAGGCCTTGCTGTCTGAGGATTAATTAAGGGAGGTTTGTTGCCCTAATGCTCCTCTATTTTAAACAGCACAACTTATTTAGTAAGGGCTACCACTAGTACAAAACTTTTTTTTTCTTCTTCATAGTGTATCGCAGTAATCTAACAGAAGAGATGGCTTCTTTCAGTTTCGAGGTAAGTGTTCAGTGGGTAATGCACAGACACTCCTTTCAGATTTCGAATACCTATATGCGTCCTCTCTGGCACGATGCTTGCATTCCACTCATAAACGGCTTCAAAAGGATCGGTTGATTGTCCTTTGTGCTTGAATTATTAAAATCCAGATGCTATCTTACGAATTGAAGTTGTGCCAATAGCCTCAATCCCACATTCTTAGGCATTCTCACCTCTTCTCAGCGAATCCACTACATTTACGCGTACTATGTACTGTCCCATTTCAGTTAAAAAAAGTTTTTTACGTAAAAGTGGAACTAATTTCACCAAATTGTCGACGCCTTAACTGCAAATTACTTGACAACCTAAAAACTATGCTACTGATAAGGCGTGTTCCTTGTTAGGATGCCACCTGCTTTGTGATTTATAAGAGGTGGGGCACTCGGTAAGGACCGTCTCTTGAACAAATTACATTTCATTCCGCCTATTTTAATTGCATTCAATTTGCATAAAATTCCCTCAGCTCCAACTGAGAAGGCATAGTGGTTGTCACTTTTCCTCGATCCCCTTCGTGAAACATTTACGCTGATCACATACGTGCCACTCCTGACGCTCTCCAGCAAACCATCATAACGCTCCTATTGAGAAGCTGGAATTTCAAACATGTATGGTGGATTAGGTTCAAGGAAATCTGTAAATTGTAGTCCACTGTTCACTGCCTTAGCAAAATAGTAAGCTAAATGCTGGAGGATACATTTGTACTACTTATTCCGGTCTTACACTCGCGTCTAAGACTCGCTAAACGCATTTTTGGGTTTAAACAAAAATTCTTTTCAACTCTCAACAGCAATCCGCATACACATTTCCGCTATTTTTAGGGTCTAAGGTGGTTAAATAGAGTGATTTACACCAGAATCACTAAATCTAACCTCAGCTGATATACTGTGCCAGCTTTTAAATGCCCATGTAAGAAAAAAATTGGGCTCAAAAATGCGACGTACAGTGAGAGCCATATTGGCGGTTATGACGACCAGTAAGATCAAGGGGAAGTTGTTGCACGTGTCCAGTCGCCATGACTGATCCCTCACCTCATCCAACGACGCAAGCACAACAAGGATGAGAGTGAGTGTGGCCACCATCTCGATGACAATCGCAGCACCGTTAGAGACGTTGGCACCAGGCAGCGTCAGGCCAAAGTTGTTGGGCTCTTGGGGTCGGAATGGGCTCACCCACCACGCAATGCCCATAGCAATCAACGCGCCTGTAAACTGGCCCACAATGTAGGCAGGGACGTAAATTATCTGGACGCGCCGGGTCACTGCAGCCGCCAGGGTCACCATTGGGTTGATGTGACCTCCGCTGGTAGCCCCTGTGATCCACAGAGCCACGGACACAGAGATACCAAAGATGAGGGGCACCACGATGTCCGGAGAGTTGATCGGATTGGGCAGGAGGAAACAAGGCAGACTAGGAATGCCCGCAGCAACGGCCTCGCAAACGAAGATTTGGAAAAGGTTCCAGTAGATACTGGGCACCGGATTCTTAGTCATCGTGGATGGATGAAGAATTTGAACCTGATATGAAGACCCCTTTACTTTAAGCCTCCATTTTGGTTTCATTAGAAGATTAGAAGCTTGGAGACCTCGAAAATACTTTTACTTAAAAAATGGCTGTTATCCTAAACAAACGTGGTATCCATATAAGGCATTATGCACAGTGAAATAGGTCACCGGAGGATTGTAATACATGGGTCATATGAGCATGTACAAATGAGATTCCTAGTGTAGACAGATCCCAGTTAATTTTGAGCTTTTTGGTGGTTTCAATAATTGAGCAGAATCTGCATATTACCGTGGGAAAGATAGAGGTTATCTAAAAATGAATTGTCGGCGTTATGCCATTTCCGGTTAGATTTATAACCTGTTTAATGAAAATGCAAATCAAATCGTTGTTTATCAGGGAGCATAACAGAGATCGTGCCAAACTCAACAACAATCTCACTTCTCCCACAGAGACCCGCAATTAATGCAGAAAGTTAGGCAAACTTCGAAGCTGTCTGTTGTGATTAATTTTTTGTTTATTTGTTAAGGCAATTTTCCTAGGGTAGTTCAAAAAATTGCTATCAGTAAAGTGCAAAAGATGGAATGAATCCCAATAAAGTAAACGATAAATGGAGAATATCGTGAACTTACCTCCGCCTTTTCCCAGAATCTAGTTAAGTGTCTGATAAAATCATTTGACTACCCGTCTTTTTACTAAGTCATGAAGTAGCCAATAAGCTGGACTTCCAATCGCATTGTTTGTCTGCACGACACGGGAATACTTCTCTGCATACTACACAGGGATTCGACAAAACTTGAAGGACCATTAGCTCAGCCACAATGGCAAAGTTTCTTTGGGCAGGGCGACGAGTCGTCGTGTCCTCAACCGTCATCTCTACGACAAATCGTTTCCTGTCAGTCATCAGCTTCAACCCAAGTTAGTTAAGGCGTTTTGACTTTGGGCACTACAACTTTCAACCAGTGGCGACTTAATAGAGCTAGTAAACGCAAGTCGCCAAGGCAGCATTGATGCAGTGGCGCCAACTATCAGTACCACAAGGCGATGGAAGATCCTCAAAAGCAGAGTTAAATAGTTGATGGTATTGTTTTGCATTTTTTAATGCAAAACATGTAGGTAAGTTACACTTAGAACGCCAGCTTAAATACCATCATACCATAATTCTGAAGTAATTATTTCGCCTGCACTATGTGTTCGATTGCAGTCATTTTTTAGTAATACCTGTTTAGCTGGCTGGATTTGAATCAGTTTGGGAAAATTTCTACTGATCAGTATATTCGAAAAAAATTCTGATTAAATCTGACCTCTATATCTCTGTTACCTTAATGAAAGAAATAAAATGTACCCACCTACTGCATTATGGTAATGATCAGATGGATGCAAGTATAACCCCTCCTGGCACTTCAGCCATACTTCTCTTTTATTTGGAACTTTATTTTTATCTACGATAATGGTCTAAAAGATTTCGATTTTGAGCAAAAAGTATTTCGAGACGGCTATTTATGGTTTCAAACTAATGAGCGATAAGCTGACCAGAGTGGAAAATATTTGACAATCTTCTTGATGTATTTACCACTTACAAATATTAGGAATGCACATGTGCCATCGTCCTTGTCTCCATGACCTCGAGTGTCACGCCTTTTAGCAATTGCTGAAGGAACTCCAAAAATCTTTCTGCATAGTTACAGTGTACAACCGACAACATTATACCTCGGTGATTGCCCGCCATACAATTCTTAAATATAACATTTTTCAAAGTTAATTTTGTTTGTAACAAAAATGGTACAAACAAGGTGGTTTGAAATCTAAGTAAAATCTGGTTAAATTTTACCTATATATGCATGCATAATTTAACGTTTCCATTTAGCGTAAAGAAATGCGTAGAGTTATGCAAATGTAACAAACAACCTTAAAAAATTCTTTTTAAGAACTGTAAGAAGACTTTTTTTGGATCGGATGTAAATTTTTATAAACAAAACTATTATTTAAATGATATAATTAGACCGACTTCCACGAAAATGCTTTATTATGCTGTGCCGCTAATTCCGAATCCTTCCCGTTGCTAATGTTCCTTTTTACCAGCTTGTAGTACAAAATAGCCCGAAATGTGCTTACTTGCATAGTTTCGGTACATATTGACTAGCTGAAACGATTGTTAAAGGTAATAACGTGGCAGAGAAGACTTACAGTCCCCTGGAGAAGTTTCTTCTCAGGGGGATAAAAGACTTACGGTCAAAGAAGAGAATTCGTAAACCGCTGATCTGATGAAGCAACAGTATAAAAATTGCAAAGTGATTTAACGTTTGGGGACAACGCGCATTTATTCTTTATGGCTTAAGTGGTGGCGCACCTAAGTGATGTATGAATCGCAAATGGATTCGCCTTGATGGGACATGAGGTCTTCGTATGTTGTTGGGGTACTTGAAATCGGAGTTGCAATGAATCAGCTAAATTCCTCTAAAGTGACTTTATAAGAAGGTGCAAACAATTATAAACAGTAGAGCAATAAGCCACGCATAAGCATAACATCAAATATAATTACTAATCTCAATCTAGCTAGATTATTTTGTCCTCTTTAACACAGACAAAAACAGATTGAATTTTTGTTTGCTGACTTAAAGGTGTCTTTCTAGGTTGTTTTTAGTGGGAGGTACAGAGATAGGATCGGAAACTTGCCAGACTATATTGGGCGTGAGTGGAACCCGGTGTGTCTCGGACAAAAGAAATGAGACCAACCATGAAGTTTTACGTTCTTGAGTAATATATCCGATCCAATTCTTGTCTTTCTGATGGAGAGTAGACATTCTAGCTTTTGGATTGGTGAAGTCCTTGACCAATGGTCTGTCAGGAAGTAAAAGAATTCGGTAATGTCATAGCCACCAAATAAAGCTTTTAAGATTAAATCATTGCTATTTGTTCTCACAAAGTACACATTTGACTTGTTGAATGTAATGATTGCTTAAAAGAATAAGGGAGCAGATTTTTAGTACCAAAAGAACTTCTGGATGATTTGCAAGATAGTGAAAGCTGTATTAGGTGAAACTTTTTCTGAAAGAACTCACATTGAAGGCCGATTTATTAGTTTACTAATTGGTATGCATATTGGTGAGGAAAAATTTGGAGACCAGAGGATCTAGAAGGTGAAGAGGTGACTTGTCGATCATCTCAACACGGCAAAAGACAGCCACTGCAAAGGGTAAAGTTGGAGGCAGGTGGGCAGTTATTGGGGTCTACACAAATAGCTTTTTATTTTATGCGACACAGTCGATGAGTACGATTGAGATCAAGTTTGAGGTGATCAGGATGATGGGTTTACTGAAGCTGGAGCCTAATTGGTGCAATTTAGTCCCAAAATTTCAAGAAATAACTAACTATTAGTCGTAGATTTTTAGAATTTCAACAGCAAACTTGATGCCATTCTTTAAAGTTGGTAGGAAATTTTAGGATTACAAAGGATTCTTTAATCGTTTGTGCAATTTGATTTTTAATACTTTAGTTTACTAGCAGTTGACACTGCCTCCCTCCCTTAGTGCTAAATTACACCACGGTCCTAGAAACTCTCAACCAAACACCACATCAGTGCTTTTTTTCCTTACAATGCCATTAATCATCTAAGGCAGCTTTTTTATGCGATGTCGTGAAATGGCGAAGCATCCCGCTTGCTGCGTCACGTTCTGTTCATTTGTATGCAAACTGCGTCAAGTTAATTCAAGAAGCTGCAGAGAATTTTTAAAGACTTTCTAGCCTGTTGCACTCAAGATTTTACGTAGCAGGCACTTCTCTTGTCTCTCCCCGAATTTGCCAGTAGGTTTATAACAATGGCTTTATCGAGACCCTCGGGTAGTAAATCGTTGACGTACTTCAAAACAAAACAACGTGTAGGAGTTAAGGCAAAGCTAGGGTAATAGGACCATTCGATTGTTTCCTTGATTGACATTAAATCATTTAATATTTAAGAAACAAAGGTAGCACTTTGGAGAGAAGTAATCAAGCATTCAATCGGTACCGATATCTTCATCAATTGTTTGAAGAACTTAGTGGTTAAAAAGTGGTGCCACAAACCACTTTTCTTGTAAAAAAAAAAATCAAAAGTCAAATTCAATGCCTCAAACTCTAACTTATAAGAAGGGAAAATCCCAAATTTTCGTGCCTACAAAGACTTTTTCACCTAAACCGGCTGTCACATTTGAAGTCACCCGATTGTTGTGACAAGTCTACTCAACTGAGCCCACATTTGTACCCAACATTTACCCCCTAAAATGCTCTTTCAAGCATAATTAGAGACTTCTTTGTCTCGTGAAGTGAATATAAAATTAAACAGCCATGAATTTACCCCCCTTACCAGCCCCATTCCATTTCCACAATTAGACAAAGCATTTGGAAGGTTTCATATATATTTTCCTTCAAAATACGTAAAAAACAGCGTTGCTTTTGTAATTTCTGACCCATAGTTGCATGTCATCCGGTCTCGGTACAGATGGTGCCTTAAAGGCCATACGCGGAGCCATTTGTTGATGTCAATTGCATGATGAATGGAGGAGGCTGAGATTAATGCCCTCATACTCTTCAAGGACTTCCTCAGTGGAGCTATTCAACATTCTGATATAATTCTGCTCAAAACTTAATTTTAAAGACGGTCATTAGTTTTCAAAAAAGGGATGTTAAAAGCCGTTTAGCATTATGAAAGTGAAGTTCACAATCACTGCCTGAATTTGTTGAATGCACCTTATACAAAGGCCTTTCGTATCGTTTTGGAGGAATTAATTAACTTTTTGGGATTTTTTTGTAACACTTTGTTTTGCTTTTGCAGTCGCATATACTTAAAGGAAATTATGACTGCTAATTGTGATTCACAACTACAAGGTTCTCTTTACACTCCCTTAAAAGACAAAAATTATTAAGTGGGGCAAATTAGCCAACGGACTTTTAGGCTAGGAAGATGAGGCGAAGTGGTTGAAGTAACAAAATTAGCCCATTATCCATGGGCATAAGTTAGAGCTTGAACTGCACTTTTTTCTGGACCTACTTGCGCTGCATGGTCATTATTTCCTTATAGTACTCTACTGTAGATCATTGTTGCCATATCTTCATTTATAACCGTGTAATTAGTAGAAAGCAGAATATAATGATAGTGATTAAGCAATTGGAGGAGCAGTTGCAAATAATTCTAAAATTGCCCTCTATATTCTGGCATTGCCTCTGCACCAGCTCCATTACGAAAGTTCTTCAATCCTATCTAAGCGCTTTTTTGGCTTCAACTTACGAGTTGTCCTAATTCCCACTCCTCATGGTACTGCTACTGGACGATGGGAAGGAGTCCATCCAGATGGTTAGCGACGGGATAGATTAGCAGGACCACGTGGTTGCTCCCATGAAGAGATCTGAAGTTGTTCAGAAGTTGCCACCCGATGAGACCCCCTTCAAGTAAAGCTTTGACTGCCGTTACCTTGTCGAAGGCGACAGTTGACTTGGAAGAACTATGGCCCTAAAAAACTCGACAAAGGCTAGACTTATTAGCAGTAAAAAGAGAAGGGGAAGAATTTTCAGGTCTACGTTTGTTGTCAAACGAGTAAGATATCGAACAGCAGAGACCACCGCGTTTTAAAATCCAAACCTTTTAAGTCATTATTTCTGTAGACTAGTTTCAAAACCCACCAGCATTCCGTAAAGAAAAAGAAACCAATTTTCTACCAAAAGTTTAAAAAAATGTGTCAAAGAAAGGTTGCAAGTATAGTCATAGGAGTCTACCAAATCTCACAGCCAACCTGATTGCCTAAAATCAAATAAGAATCTCATTCATGGCTCACCGCAAGCAATTGGAGGCATGACTATCAAACCTATTTAAGTTTTATAACTGTTTAGGAGGAAAAAGATTACGTTCAGATCAACATTTGTTTCCACAGATTGCAAAGATTTAGTGTATCCTCCACAAATTTTAGCTCCGGTTTAAACTTTATAAGAGCTTTGGAAAGTGCTTGAGTTTTGTTTCGGTTTGCATAGCTCCGAACTTGTGCGTTTATTGCTGGTGAAGTAGAAGTTCCTCTTATTTGGCTCTCTTTGCCAAAATACGACGTAATTTGGGTCGTTTGAGTTTCACAGGCATTAGAAAGGATTCTATTACAACCCAGTTATTTGTAATGTTAATGTATGTGGTAGCGCGAATTAACCAGGTCAAGAGGCAGGGAGAAGTACTTTCTGCGCACCCTCCTCATTAGGAATTTATAGCAACGCTGCACTGGTAAAAAATAAAAAGGTGCTTCCACTTTCTGCATGTTACGACCTAAACGCTGAACAACGTCTCCTGCAACTTGATAACTAAAGGCACAAAACCCCGTACTCGTTTCTTCTCAGTAAAACGGATTTCTACAATGCACAACCACCTTAGATTCCCAATATGAAGGTGCTGGGGCTTGATACCGATCGCAGATCCTGCTACCATTCGTAAGCAAGCAAAATCGTCCATTCATAAAGGTATTTGTCAGTCTGAAATAAGCCAAATTCATATTCCCACAAGCCATTTTTTCATTACTTACGATTGGGCATTTTGAGATATCTAAACATTATTTTCTCACCACATGCTGATTCTTGTTATAGTATTGTAATGTGTAACTAAAAATGCGCAAAATACTGCATTATAAAGACTTGCGCAAGGCCTTCTACTGAGGAGAAATAATAATAATAAAAATTTAAAACGGTAGCGTAAGTGCACCTGACCAACGAGAGTTTCCATAAGGTGCCTCATAGTGCTGAAATCACACCGTAATAAAATTGAATTATACATGACGTCCATCTCATATTCTAGAAAGAATTAGACCCTATGAACTTGTATTAATTTTCTTTTAAACCGGAGCCATTTAGTCGAGATTTTTTTCCATCCTACCATCTTTTCACGTTTCTTAATACCCCCAAGTCTTATTAGCTCAAAGAAAAAAACGATGCAAATATTTCACGGGAAAGCATCTTGCTGCCTCCACAGGCACCATTGAACTGCATTTCATTGATGGACCGACGAATCGATAAGTGACTCGGGTGCCACGTTTCCATCCAACACAAACGTGGTCGAACATCTGGACGATGAAGCGTGTGTAAGTCCACTTCCCCCTCCCTTCCCTCAAGTTCTCGTTTGATCTTAGGAATAGTGACATATAAATTTATTCAATGCAGGCATTAATCCATTATAACTTTTAGATTATTTGCCCTTGCAAGGCCAGCACGTTCCAGTTGAACGACGTACCCTTTGCAGTTGGAAGTGGCCCAAATTCAATACCTTTCCTTTACATTAAGTTACAGAGCTTAAAATGGGAAAAAGAGGGATAGTTGGTTCGCCTGCTTTGTGCCCACCCTTTAGCTTTTGCTAAATTTATAAATGCTTTTTATTAATTCCCATACTCTGGTTCTCCATCCCTCTTCCACAGCAAGTGTTCTTTGGGGTTAACCAAAATGGGAATGGGAAAGTGAGAATAAACCTACTTGGAGGAGAAAGAATGCTAGGCAAAGCTCTACAAAAAGACAATCGAAATATCACCTGATTACACGTAAATGGTGTTTATAAAATCGTAGTAGAGTTTTGTAAGATAAAATAATGCAATTTACATGGCGTCCTTGTATCGACAGAGTGGAGTCCCAAAGCAAAACTTGATCACCTTCACATGCCAAAGCACATATCAGGTGAAAAAAAATGACACGATTTACAACACGGCTTGCTCCTCTGCTGTATTGTAGCTTGAATGAACTGGTTTTGTGCATTTTTAAAGCATTGGCACGATTTAGGTTATAGGTACCCCTAATTGTTTTCTGGAAATCATTCCGCGTCTTTGGAACCACCTTTGAAGTGTTACCTCAACAGGAGTTGTGCTTCGAGACCATCTTCTTCACAAATTAAAACTCGGTCGTAAAGCTACCGTTACTTCTTGCAAAAGTTACTTGGCATGTAGAGAAGGTGTGGTAGAAGGATGTAAGCGGCTTAAAATGATTCGGGTGATGGGCCACTCATAGATGCATCACAATCAAGAGGACTCTCTCATTTGTCTTAGTGGGAAGTCGCGTGTTGCAAGTGACACCTTAACCTTATGTTAAAGTTTCAAGAGCAACTTTCACTCATGTTTGACATGCCAGACAAACATTTCTTTGACGCCTACATCAACTGGAAGGAAGTATTGTGATGGATGCCAAGTAACTAGACTCCACCCACATAAATGCTACCATAAATAAGGCATAAGAGTGTATCGCACATTTTGGATTGCGTGCTGGCTGACTGACTTGGGATGAGGAGGGAATTTTGTATTGCAGCGTTTAGGGAAAGAACAGAAAATCGTTTATCCCCGAAAAGATTAAGCCCTCTTTGTGTAGGTGGGCGAAAGCCAATTCTTTATAAATTTTTTGTTAAAGACTAGCCGGAGAGCTAGAATTTATCAGTCACCTTGAAAAAAGTCAAGCTTGCATTTTTACGGGACCTTGTGCAGCAAAATTAAGCCATGAAAGGATTTTTACCTGTGAAGAGGAAGGATGTATTGCCTCATCCTCCGTATTCATCTAATATTCCCCCAAGCTCCAAGTGATTACCACAACTTATATACAATGGGCAAGAAATTCCACATGCAACATAGAACAGGTAGTTGGAATATAAAGTTGGGCAAAAACATGTGTCTAAGGCTTGGCTGTTTACTTCTCGAGACAAAATTAGGGTAAAAATTCACATCAGGCTGTCTCGTTGGGACAAGGCTATGCATCCTAATGTGAAATGTTTCAACTAATAGAATTTTTCAGGAAAGTCTCTTACAATTTGAACTCGCTTGGGCCTGCTTGATGTGCGAGTGTGTCCTCTATCAGCTCAAGGGTGTTCACCTTAACGTGCCGCAAACAGATTTGTTGGGTTCAATCTTAAGTGAAAGACATTCTTGGACTGCAGATAAGCTATTTTCTTGTTTTCCAGCAGCAAAACAACTGAAAGAGTGCAAAACTATGAGCATGATTGTCTATTTCCTTTTGATATTTTCACAGATGATGTTTCCCTGCCAGGAGGTAGAGTGAGACACTTCGGAAATAAGGCAAGATAATAAAAATCAAATAACAGTATAGAATGGAGGAAGGTCAATTCTTCACATCTGTCTTGATTGTAGTTATTCAGTCCATTTTTCTTTTGTTTACTGCTCCGTAGACGTGATACGAATAACAATCTCGGTGAGTACCTACCAAATTTCACTCTTCAAACCGAGACACTCTCATGCCGCGGTCAAAACTGGCTCCTTGTATTCCGGCTCTTCTTTGGCGAGCTCGTGGCCTCAGCCATGGTCACCTTTCCTTACTTCCTCATTGATCCAACTCTGCGCTACTGCGCAGTCTCTGAGGCACTGGCGGTGGGCGGGCTCGTCTACGCTGCTGTGTGGGTGACCTATCCCCTGTCGGGTGCCCAGATAAACCCTATAATCACTCTCGCCTTTGGGTTGACTCGTCGCATCTGCTTCTTTTTCGTGCCGGTCTACTGGATCGCGCAGTTTCTGGGCGCTGGGTTCGCTATGTCCATCGCCTACTATATCTCACCATTCGTGAAACTTTCCCCTGACATGGGTATGACTATGCCTCGCAGTGGAATCACTGCATTTCAGGCGTTGTGGCTGGAGTGTTTGATCACCTTCCTTCTCCTTGTGGTTATTCTCGCGGGTACTGATGAGGCCAGGGAAACAGTGTGGACCATGGGGAGTGGATCAACTCTGGCTTGCGTCTACATGCTCATGTACCTTGTTACCACCATTGTGACCGTAAGTTGAGTCATCGTGGTACAACACAATCAACAATGGTGAACGCAGACATTCTCGAGAGTTCGCAGTTGTATTAAATCAAACGCTAAGCAAACACTGGAAGCATTGAGTGGGTAATCGTAACATGAAATTAGTTTGTGAAGAAAAAACACGAGACTTGTCCTTTTCACTGGCAGATTAGAATGTCTCGATTTTACTAGGAAGTCTCTTGCACAATCACGATAAACGTAACATGAAGTAACTCCTGCTTCTATCAAAAAATATCTATTTGCTAAAATTTATAATTTGGAAGAGAAGGTGGTTTTACTGTAGCAACCAACCTTGCCAGTTAATTCAAAAAGATGTTTGGGAAGTAAGACCTATTTTGGTCTAACTCCACCGCAGCCTGTGTCTGTTGCCGTGACAACAAATTGGGTTAACTACATCTAATACATCTTTCATGTGCATGTCGTTTTGTCTTAGTAGTTTCTCAACATCCATAATCCTCTTTTTGTTCCCTTCAACTTTGAAGAGCGCCGGTCGGTCTTTGCCAGTTGTTTATTTTGGCAGGCTAGTAATTGAAGTTATGGGGAACAATCCTTAACCAGTAGAATTAGGGGCTGAACATGAGATCATTATTTTGCGTCCAGCTGTCTAATCAGTTGTGTTCCTCTGAGCCCCTCTACCATGCCAAAAAATTGATATCCACAGGAAATCCACTTTAAATTGAGTGCCTCTGGCAAATTACTCAATGTGATGTTTCGCCTCGACAGCGCAGTATTTTTTGCCTCAGGGTAACTGGCAGGCAACGAAATTCGACAAAGCCGCATGACCTAATCACCATAAAATTAGTTTGAAGCGCACTTTACTGACAACCTAATCAACGGTTTATTGTCAAAAAACTTCCCTTTTTTTTCATCGACAATCTCCCTCTCAGGACTGAATTGTCTTAAGCTTAACATCTTGGTAGCCAATTGCTAAAACAGTCCTCTAAAATTAACCTCGAATGTAGAGTATTCATTTTTTCGAGAAGATTCTGTTTTTATTCAAGAGATAAAAGAGATTTCTTCTCTCGGCCTCTTTTCGGTGCGATTAAATTTCCCAGCATATTCCATATGTAGGCGCAACGCAATGAGAGGAGGGACAAATTTAGGGAATAACTAACCTCTCTAAATGGAACTCTAAATTATGGCTGAAAATGAAAACTTATATTCTTGTTTTTGTAGAAAAACTTAACCGGGGCGAGTATGAACCCCTTCAGGAGCATTGTCGCTGCGATTCTTCGAGTCCGCTTCGAGCATCAGTGGGTAAGATAGCAGTACTTATAAGAAATGAATGACTGCATTAGCAGACGGACAGCCGTTCCACATTTTCAATAAACACTACAACAACATAAAATTTGTTGTTGCAGAATCACTGCGCACTCCATGTAAATTTTTAAAGTGTCTGTAAATGAACTGTGTCACTTACAGTTACTTTCCCCAGCAGAGTGTAGGAGAGTTATCAGTTCTTGTGGTGTCCAGCAACTCCTTTTATCCATTCTGTAGGCAAAGAAACATAGGCTTTGGATCACATTTCTTTCACTTAACATCAAATGAGAGGATAAAACTATTTGATTTGATTAAAATAGCCCCATACGGTCATATTTAAAGACCTGCAAAGTTGTGATCCCTTAATTACTATTGGTTCGAGCATCTTTATGCAATTATTCTTGGACTCCGAAAACGATATGTTCACGGCCTATGCCACAAATGCTTAACTACCACGTGCCCCACTCTTACTCATCCAACCTGCACTAGCCTCTGAATTTTGCAATGCCATTGTCTAATGATAATTAGCCAATGCGGTTCTGTGTGCATAAGGTAAGTCGGTAGGACACGAAAACCTCAGGCAAGCTTAAAAAAGCACTCTTCTAAGATCGTGCATGAGTTCCAAAAATTTGTGCTCATTACTTACAAAAGAATCTTTATTGAAATGAATAGAATTACATTTCCTCCCTGCTAAATATATGTCCTACAGTGGAGCCACGGTAAGTGGATGGAACCCAGTAATCACATAGTGTGACTTTATGGGGTGTGAGAGTCGTGAATTCACTTTATAGGGAATGGAACGAAATCTCATGCGAAAATTCACATTGTTAGTTACCTTGTGTGTTTACTTAGCTACTGAAGTCTCGATTTAACATATCGACCGCCTTGAAAAGTGGATAAAGAACACGGAAGAGAATTACTAAAAGTATCCCAAGCGTTACCACATTAAGCTGCTTCTAACAAGTTACCAGGCGGACAACGAATCTGACTTCATGAAAAAGAAATTCCTGATTGAATGATCCCTAAAAAACTGGTTACCTCTTACAAACAGAATGAATAGACGAGCGAATCCTCGGGCACATTGAAGGCGATTTCCTCTATCCGGTCCACCCAGGAGTGCCGTTTGTAAATGAACTTTGCTGAGATGTCTAAGGAATTTCCACGAAACTGAGCCTAAGGAAGGGTGTAATTTTTGCCGGGAGAGGTCGCCAAAATTAAAAATATCAAAAACCATTTTATTAGCAGCTTCTGAAGGATGAGCAATTCCCAAAGAATTAGTTAATAAGGTTGTCTTCAGAGAGGATGTATCATAAAAATTCGCATGGGAAGCCTTAAATAAGTTGTTTATTTAGGGCTATCTAAACGGTAGCCTTCATCCTACGCAGAATTAGGTATTTAGTTACATATCACCGGAATTTCTCTAGAATTAGGTTTGACATAATCGTTGCATCTTCGTGATTAAGTACAAGCTAAAGAACAAGGAGGTCAAGCAGTGGTTCTTGACAGATACTCCATGCGATCAAGATTATTTTAGATCGTGAGTTTCCTTCGATTTGATTTAACCTTCTTTCTAGCTCCCCTCAAAATACTTGTATTTAGAAGCTTATTTACACTACTCCCAAATAAAATCCTTTAGGGCAGGTATTCTTGAGATTCCAAAAACTAGGCATTGACAGGAATGCATCTCGGTGAGACTGCTTCCGATCATTTCCAAAGGGTAGAAGTAATAGTAATTTGTACTTTGCTTCTGTGACGGCCTCAGATTTACGCGGTGGGTCCTCTGGTGGGCTGTCTGATTGCGGTGGTTTTCAACGAGGTAGTCCTTACCGAGGATGCGTGCTGGATCCGCACCAAGGCCTGGCTCACCGATATGCACTACTTCCGCAATCACTCCTACTCCCTAAGTGGACGACCCAGCAAGGCTTCCACCCAAGGTGCGTCCACTCATCTCTACTCTGATTCTTCTATGCTTTTTGTTGCTGAATTCGTGATGGAAGATAAAGCTCATGTAACACTTCTAGATAAAAATTCGATGCTATTTATACTAGACTAAGGTTAAGTTACAGTAGCGGTAGCCTAAATTGGCATTCTTCCGTGGTCATATACCTTCACTTTGTTGATTATTTTTATTCTAAGGGAAACTGATTTCTACAATGACCATGTGCGACGCTTGGTAGTCAACGGCATTTGACTCTTTAGGCGAAACGCGTTGCATGTATTAAAAACACCAAGGAAATGATTCAGACTCCTCGAGGGGAGTTTTTACCCTCAATTTCGACAGTTTTTTTAGCAGTTACACTCACACTAAGACAATGCAATTTAAAATGACATTTTCTGAGATTAATCGAGCTAAGTGTAAGGGCACAACTGTTTTCCCTCTGGCCAATTAACCGACAGTACCCAAGAAGAATATTTGACGATCCTTGCTCCTCTAGTTCCCATTCCATCACATCTTCATAATTGAATACATGGTAGGAAAGCCGAGCCGGTATGAGTGTTCTAGACAAGTACACAATGATAGGTTACAAATTGTTAATAGTTGCATTCGTTAGGATTTGAATTCGTCTTCTCGGTTTGCCACATTTTGAAACCGAAGATTGTGATTTCGCATGAATGTTGACAGGATTCTAGAGGGATCTCTAATGGTGACAAAAATATGGTCTGCTACATTTTCGCATGTTTGCGTTGGGGTGTGCAATCTTTCCCTCAGTCGAAGGTTGCAACCCAGTAGATGGTTTCAAGTAAATATTGTGCTGATTGTAGTATGCTTCTAAAAGCACTACAGTAAGAATATCTCCGCAAAATTGGTCCATATTTCAAATCTTCATTCCAAATGTCAACATCCGAGAAATCAAACTGCTAATTTGGATTTCAAAAGTGGTTTTAACTACCACGATGTTTGAAATCGGGAGGCTTGGGGCAAAGGTGGGAAACACTGCAGAGCAACTCCCAGAATCTCTTAGAGCTAATTCCCATTTCACCACTTTTCTGAGAGATGATAAGAATAGATAAAAGTGGCCAGAATTACTCTTAGGATTGCAAAATTGCAAGCATTTTTGTTGAAGTTAAGTAAGTGCTAATTTCAAACCACTAAAAACAGTTGCGCTACGGATTTTGGACCATTAGAAGGTGAAATTCCCTTGTTTACAGTGAGCTAGGATTAAATTCGAAGCGGCATCTCAGTTGCATGAAACGGTGATAGTTGCGTGGTGTCTTACAATCACTGAACAGCTGAATGCTCTTTTCGGCGATGCGGTTCTTAATTTCTTCCGTCAAGGCTACACGCATATCTTGCTAAAAAGAGATGTTTTATTAAACTAAATTGGGAGTTCATTGCCTGCCTGAAATGAAAAGTGACCACCACAAAAATTGTACAGGCCAAAATTAAAAGTGTGCCTTTTCTCAGACCAAAAACAGTCCACATCACATTGCGTTGAGCTCAGCCAACCTGTTCGCGACTAATCGCCGCAAACTGATAGGAGCACGCGTCACAAATATGTGACGCTGGTAAGGTGTTAATTAGGGGAAGTGGTTTCACTCTCTAACCAATCTTATTTCTCCATCTTAGCAGCCGAAGAAGTGAGAAGATTCTCGACGCACACAAAAGCCCACAAAGCGTGACTTGTCAAGGAAACACTTATTTATGGCCTGTGGAAAAGACCTTACCGATTGCTTCTTTTTTTTCTACGCTCCTTGGGGTTGATATATCATTTCAGCGGCAGCAACAGCAATCGTCCTGTTACGAGTACTTAAACATTGTCTAGGAAGCGGTTAATGCTTTTAGGGCAGTGGTAAGATGTGCAATAGCATCTCCATCGTTTAGATTGCTTTCTGCGGAATAATTGCTGTTTACGCTAGGAGAGCTGAAAGCATGGAGAAAGCAACAATTTCAAGGTCGTATTTCTACAGTCAATTTTTGTACGCTAGGCTTCGATGAGCTGTGAAGCCGGTTTAGTTAATCATTGGCTGACAGCTATTACTAGAGTTAATGGAGGGACAAATCGCGCGATTGACGTGACGGCGCGGCCGGGTGCTGCCTGTAAACATTCAGTGCGACATCAAGATCGCGGATGTAAATGATAGTCGACGTTTTTGGAAGCCAAGTGGACATTACTCTAGCCGAGAACATTCATACACCCACACGTTCACACATACACACACCAACGCATCTGGCGTAGAAACGTGGCTCCACGTAGCATCGAGGTAGATCACAAGGTTCAGCTGTTGAAACCGAGAGGTCACCAAAAAATGTAGTTGTCACGCGCTTCCAGACAAAGAGGTAGTGGAATCTAAACAAATGCAGGGAATAACCTGAATCGTTGCTTCGAGAGGCCGACGCGGATTAACTAAGCAGCAGTATGTGTTTGAGAATGTGAGTAAACATAATCTAGCAAATGACGATTCACATACATAATGTGGTGTGATGGAAATGCACCGAATTGCAGACCCTACAACGTAATTAGGTTCCTGATGATTTTGGTACCTGAAGAATTTGCTCTGTTTAACCAAATATTACGCTTGGGGATGTTCTTCCGCGAAAACAAACTTTCAGGCAAAACCAAGGACACGATTGCAAAAGAACAAAATTTTTTTCGAGGATTGCAAACCCCACATGTTTTTCCACTCAGTACTCCGTCATACCTGTACATCCGTCTCAGCTTTGATAAGATGACTTTGCGGCATAACTGAAAGATAGTAGGCTACCCAGACTTGCTAATTTTCAAAATCGTAAATGCTCACCGCTGCACCCAAACGACTCGTTCCTTGTGCAAATTCACTCAACGACCGGTCGTGCGCCGATTATCCTGGAGATTCACAAGAATGACTGCCTTGGAGTGAACTGGAAGCAACAACTACCACGGAGGTCCTCATTAACAGGTAGAGACACGACCATTTTTGACGCATTTACACCGTTCACAACCCTTACTGCAGCTGAGGACCCAATCAACGTACAAGCTCTGCTCCAAGTCTTCTGTTTACGTAGATATCCAAAGGCTTGGATTATATACCACTATCGATAAGAAGTTTCGTTCACGCTATATTGTACAAACACTGACTACCACTGTTGACTGGCGCCCTGGTCACCGTTGTATGGAATAGGCCAAAAAAGACACGCACGTAAGCTGTCGAGTGGTGACAAGGCACACCTGACACCCGCTACCGCAGGTAGTATCACCAGGACAGCATTGAGAGTCCAATTTTCCTCCAACGCCCTCCCTAGCGGGGAAGGACATGGGGGTGAAAATGCTTTCACCCCCTTCAAAAAGGGGCAATGGTACGCTTAAACAGTTTGTTTTCACATGCCAAATACAATTACATAAACGTAGATGAAGTGGAGATAGGAATCATACATGTGTAGTAGGAGGAGGTCTTTAAAGGAATTGTTAGAAGTAAGTCAAACGGCGAGGATACTGCGGTCCCTGCCACTCCACCTTACCCACCGGAATAGCACTCTAATCCACTTTTTGCCGTTCACCGTTCTTTTTCGTCCAGGTGGGTGAGTTTTTTGAGACCGATTTCGTCTTTTCTTGACTGGCTTGTTGTTTGCATATTCGTCGGTGGTAACTCTGTGCCATTGCATTGATTATCGAGACAATGAAAGCAATCATCGCTGCAGTGACTATCAAACTGATTGCAAACTGGACCCAACCCTCCCTCTGAAGCAAAAAAAAAAAAAAAAAACAATGACCCAGAACAGTCCCAAACCGAGATCAGTTAAACCTTTCCATCGCTCCAATAGATAGCTCAAATCCCACTTCTGCTTTTAAATGAATAAGTCATTTGAACAGTTAAAAAAACCGTGTCATATTTGAGTTGCGAAAGCTAACCGTAGCAGGAGACTATTAGTTCTTTTCATCGATGGAAGTAAAAGTCCCAGTTTGGTTTAAACCTCCCTATTATACTGATATCAAATGCAACCTTATGACTCCGTCTACTTGGGACTACCAAGGCGAAAAATTTCGACACAATGCAAAATAAAAAAACGCATGTACTGCCTTTAGTCAAGACTAAGTCAAACAAAAGGCCCTAAATTTCCTTGCATATTAATGGCTTAGTTGAAATGCGAATGCCACTCTTTTTTCCCGTGCAATAAATTAAAGGTTCATTATCAAGTACGACATGGGATCAGAATACAGCAAAGAAGGTCACGCATACTTCATACTCCTCATGTAAAAATGTGGTAATCTAGGTAGCGAAAAGCACACAAATAGATTCTCACTAACAAATACGAGTACGTACCGGTGCAGCTCCCTTCTGTTGGCGCCTGTCCTTCTGTTGTTCAAGGTACTCCATGAAGGGCTGTTGCAGTCTCTTTCCTACCAAGGGGAGTTTCCTAAAATGAGAAATAGGACTTTGAGCTTTCGCAATCTACCTCACACATACGTGAAACCCCTATTTTCCTACCTGAGCCCGGCGCATCACGGATGTGACACGTATTTTTTACTACTAATTTTCCACACTAAAGCGCATTACAAACAAATGAAACGAGTGTGGAGTAGCAAAATAGATGGTAAATACTCTTGATATGAAAATAGTTACTTTTTTAAGCTTTAAGCAGCAATTGAATATCCAAGTCGTGGTAGTGATTAGTGACAGTGAATGCAGACCTAGTCAACAAAAAGTACAGTGAACTGATGACTTTCTTTACATCTAAACAGTATTGGAGACTTCTTTTCCATACATGCATCCCCACCGCAAAAAAGATCTTTGTTTAGATAGAGAGATTAAGTTCAAGAAACGCAAAAAACCGATATTTAACACGTGAAACCACAAGTGGGACTCTTCTTCGCACTACCACAGTTTAACCAAAGAGGAACGTGAAGCTTTAGGGTTCACCGACTACAGTACTCACCGCCTTATTCACTTTTGCCTCTTACTGTGAAGAAAACAATGAGGGAATAACTCTGAAACATCATCAAAGTAGCTGTCATGCATTGTAGCAAATAAACATCAGTTTACCTCTCCATTAGCCGACTTACATGAAATCTGATAGGGTGCATGTTTATATACATGATACGAACATTTATGAAATAGATACAAACCAAGAGTGAACCCACAAAATGTGGGTCGGAAAAAACGGAAAGAATACCTCGCCTTAATGAGTCATCATGAGTTCGAGAACAGTGTAATGGCAAGCTACATACCCACAATACTTTTGATGCAGCAACGACAAAATTTCCAACGCCAATCCAATCATGGGAACAATAATGGAAACGCATTGGTGCAACAGATGCAAATAATCAGATACTCACCCAATATACCCTACGAGGAGGTCGATATGATCTTCTGAACTCACAGCGATCACAGCGAACTGTTGAATGTGCGCTTTAATGAGCGCCTTGCCGATGCAGGTGGCACCGAAGAAGGTCGAAAAGGGTATCAGAAAGTGACCGCAGGTCATTCCCGCCAGATCAAAAAATGGATTTGGTACCTGAGAGCAAATGGAGATTAATTTTTTCTATTTTCACAACTAGTGATTTTACATTAAACAGTACTAGAATCGTTCACTTGATATTAGCGACCATTACAAATGATCGTTTCTTATCAGCTATCATAACTTCGTAGTCAAAATCACTGCAAGTGTCAATATAATTTATGATTCTGCATTTCAATAAACCTTAAAAAGGGATGAAAATAGCTTACTGAGGCGCATAGTAAAATGCCAATGAAACCAGCACGGGTGACTAGTCTTTGAAGAAAAACCTCAATGCGCTGAAAACGGGACGGCTTTTTTTCAGGTATTTGTGGCAGGAGTGAGTCTGTTTCTACTTCAGAAGAAGACGATGTATTGTTAAGAGAAAGTTCAATTTCATCGGCGTTCATGCTTCCTGAAAGTCTAGAACCACGCGCCATAAAGTAAGGAGGTAGCTCGCCTATTGCTGTGCCGAGACCCTAAATTCGATGTCGACAGGAACAGGGTAAGACAGTTAACGATACCAAGTAGCGTGGAGGCGGTAATGAACTTACCCAGAGTACAGACTCCAATTCGGTTTTGCGAACAATTTTAAAGAAAGAAACACCCCCGCGGGTGCTGCTCATTTCTGGACATATGAGTTCGTCAGGATAGGGAGGTTCCGGGAAATCAAGAGATTGGCATACGTAGGCGCTTAATGTTACTTGAGCGATAAAAGGACCCTATCAGCAATCAAATGAGAAAATATAACTCACAAGATATAATACAAATGTGTGCAGCCCCGAGCCGAAGCCACAAGAAGACAAAAATCCCAAAAGAATCCACCAGCAATACCAAATGGTTCTTTTTTCCACATGAATAAACCCCTGTAAATAAATTTACATACTAGCTTATGTACTTCTCGATGAGGCCCATTCGTGCTTCGTAGAGAATATAACACAATAAATGTTAGCACCGAAAGACATGTAGCGAATTTATATCTCAGAATGCTTCGGAGGAGGGAAACGAATTGATAAAAACACTCGAGTAAAAAATAATATGAGGTTTTCAGTGGTGTCTGCCAGAGTTTTAAGGATCGCCTTTCTGCGTGTTCCACAAGAAACTGCTTTTTGCATCTGACGGAGGGCAACTGCTTAATATTATTCATGATACAAAATTGACAGAGTGTAGCAACAAAGTAATGGAGCCGACAACCACTACGAGAAAAGCATGTCACTCTATGATTGGATGAATTCACGGACCCAGTGCAGTTAATTTACTGCCATTACCAACGAAAATATAAACTACAAAGGAAAATTTCTGACATAAATTGCAGTAGTTGCTAATTTCTGCCAAAAATGAACCTCTGAACCTGACTGACTCAAGGCTATGTAGCCGGAAACAATTTTTGGTCCTGTATTTAGTGGCGCAGGATTTTTTCCCTGTCTAGAGCATCTAGAACTTTCGCACAATTAAGAATCATGTTATTTCAAAATTTACTTTTGGAATAAATTGCTTAAATTATAGCATTGAATTTTTGACAACAGGGCTAAATGCAGACAAATAAAGAGTCTCTACCAACATCACTGTTATTAGACCGTGGCGCGCATTAATGTAACAAATTTATGTCAATGTTGACTAGCAAGCGTTTCATTAACCAGTGTATTAAACCATGGAATTCTTGTTCCTTGAATTGTTAATCTTGGCTAAAATTGGGTCGCTGCATACAGTTGCCAATACCATGCCCACAAAGCGCAAATTTAGCGCAAGGTTTCCCACGGTTGGTAGCCAATGTTTTTACTTACTAAGATGTTAAGGCCCGAATCAAAAAGATCATGCAATTGGATGATGAAATCGGGAAGCTCTCGGCTACCGTTCCGCCTGTTGTTTGTAAGAAATGTGATATGCTCAAATTTTCAGCCCGAGCATTAGAATTATTTGTTGAGCAGCTATTAACAAAGGCGTACAAACTGACCATCTCCAGAAATTCAAAAACTATTCTGCCTTCTTATTTGTATGCGCAGTTTTTGTTATATTGTGTTTTCCCAAGGAAAGAGGTTATAGACACTGAAGAGGTCTTCGCCTTTCTAAAGCCGATTGTCGCTCATGTCGCACCTGCAAAATCGCTTGAAGAGTCGAAAACACGAATCAATGCGGTAGTTTCGGAGGGGAAGTCGAAACAAAAGAATGGATCTAGTGGGCGTAAGCGACAGATTGATGAGTGCTTATCCGACTGTATTTTATCGGATGAGTCAGGACCCTCCAATTCTTCCAAAAGTAATGGCCGCAGGAAGTGTTCGCGCTCGAAGGATCAGGGCATTACTCAAAGCGAGAGTTCAGTTGACTTGTAAAGGTAAGGACCACAATACCACAGACGTGCCTTATTTCTGGAATTCCGTTGACGCTGACGTGCTAATCACAAACTTTCCCACGGAGGGCTTAAACAGATTAATTGTAAGAACGAAATTGTTCAAACAATTCGGTGCGCTGCCTACTTACTTTGTTTTTACTGCTAATTATGTTGGGAGGAACGTGGGTAACGCCAGTTATACTCCACTTTTTGCAGGCGTACTGTCGAACTTGGACACCTGGAGACCGAATGTGGTATGAAGAATCCCATACGACTATGCATTTCCCAATCTCAAATATTGCGTGCCCTCAGCTTAACTACACCCACACCCTTCCACTTTCCTGCCTGTCTTGCCCCGTATTTTATGCATGCGGACGCGTGTTCTATGAGTACATTTTATTTGCATTGTTGATAATCATCTTGCCCTCGTTGTTTGTACAGTCCGAATGAATGCTACATTGCTCAAATTCACTGCTCGTTTGGTGGTGGTAATTCCATCATCTCTTTTAGGAAGTTGCATGCACAACTCATTACAGGATGTAGCAAGCCTGCGATTCGGAATCAGTGAGCATGAGGTTAACTTTGAAGTATCTTCTAGTGCGTCTCTGGGTCGATATATCCCGCCTGTAGACACCGACGTATGTAAATCAACAAAGGACCTTCCGAGACTATATTTAAATGGTTTTAATGAGCAGGACGATTAACTGTTTCAAGACAAAGTTGCAGTAGAGACCATAACATCTAGACCCATCGGAAGAGGGACCACTTCCTGGCCTTGGCGAGTCTCTGCAGCGACCTAGATCGTCTATCGGAGTGGATTGCGTACAATAATATGACACGGAGATCCGAAAGAACTTGCTGATTTGATAAAATTTTGCCCTAAAAATTCCACGCATCTCATCGAAAAGGCAAGCAAGGAATAACTTCAAGGAAATGACTTTTGGATCAGGACCAATTTTACTTTGAGCAGCAGTGCCGATAGTGATAACGCACCTGGATGAGTGCAATAACAACTATCGACAAAATGCGTTTGTAGCAAAGTAACCAAAACTCACGACAAAATGTGTAATAATCAAAGTTACATCTGTGTCAGGGTGGCGGAGACACGATCGGGGTCAGTGAAAAAAAAGAGGGTATAAGCAAGAGAAAACATGCTTGCTAGGAGGTGAAAAAGTAGAGGAGGAGGAGCATCTTCACAGGATTGGGAGGAAGAAACTCAATAGAGTGTGATGCTCAGGTGAGTGGTCGGTAGAAAACCCTGTCTGGAACCGTCCGCACTCACAACTGCCGTCCAGCCGGAACCGTCGTTGTCCACCTCTAGAACGTAGAAAGCTTCACCCGCCTTGCCTGAGATACAGCCTTGGCTGTTTCCTATGGGAAAAAAACCATATTATCCTCTGCTACTGATAAAACAATAGTAGTAAAGGTCGCACACGTGTAAACTATTTACCCTCACAATCGTACTTCAGAGTAGCCTGACCGACGTAATCACCGAAGCCTTGGGAAGCCGGTGTGGCAGACTCGTCCACATCCGAATCGAACTCGAAAGCAGATGACCTGAGCCGGTGAAAACAGATCTTAATAGGTAAAGGTTGAAAGGGGTGAAGACTAGTCAAATCTGGGTTAACAACATCTAGGGCGTAAGTGAGCGAAGCGAAGCACGACGAAGCTGGAATTTTACTATCATATTATGACTTGAATAGTCATGTCGCAGGTGACTACGATTCACGTTATCGTGTTATGTCACTCTGGAGTGAAATAAAATTGAGTTTTTTAAGGTTGACGATCAATCCACGAATTAACATCTAGGCTCCGATGCAAGTCAAAGAAAAAAAGTACTTGACAAAAAAATCATAGTGCAGTGGGTAAAATGGGGTTAGAAACAAGTGGAAAGCGTTCCGGATAGAAAAAAAGTGTTAACACACGCTGTCTTGCCATGCATTTTGTTGGCTTGTGGAAAGCAGTTGCGACAGCCTCCCCAAACGTGGTTCGGTAAGATGAATAGTGTCAACTGACCAACCAATATGAGCAGCTATTTCCTCCCATCCAGGATTGAAACAGTGGTTGGTACAAGCCTATGGTCTATTTGAATCCTAACTAGACAGTTGAGGTATTAAAAACAGTAAGCGAAAGCCTTTCAGCGAGGATCGAGAAAAGCAGTGTGCGCGCCTTGGCTTTGAGTCGAGCAAGGGTAAAATTTGGCTAGCAAAGAGCAGTCAACGTCGAAAAAACAAAACTTTGCTGCCGAAGGCTGGAGCTAAAGCGTGATATCGAGAGGGTCAAAGTCTGCTTGGCAAGTAAGAAGGAAAAAAGTAAGACTTTGTTACTCTGTATCAAATCGTTCAACAGTTAGTATGCAGCACATGAATGCTTTTCAGCGTGTTTAAATTCAATTGCATTCGCAAAATTGAACAAGGAAGGAATATCAGAGTAAATAAAATTCTGGTAGAACAAATTTTACTCAAAATGATCGGCAATCTGGATCGCTTTCCACCAATGACAATGGGCCACCGAAAATGGGGACGATTTACTACCTTTAAAGGCTACTCTTTCAGTGGCGGACCATTGATTCGAAACATTTTTATGCCCCGATTAAAGTTACTTATCCTCCTCCATGTAAAGCATTTTCAAAGCCGCAACTTCACATCAACCAGATGAAGGAACGGACACCTGAAGCCAGGCATTTCGGAGTGTTGCCAAAATAAAATATTCATAGTTCAATTAAGCACTCGTTGAAAATACAAGCGGTCCTTACAAATAACTCGAAACTTGAAGAGACAAATCCGCCCCAGCGAAAGTCATGCAGATTGAAAAGGACTGTTAAGCAAGTGAACATCTTGGCGTAGAAAAGTCACGGGAAGTATTCGCATTTCACTCGGACACATTAGTCAATCAAACCAGAATCGCAATGGAGTGTTTGCAATGGAAAAAAGAGGGGAAAAGATAGAAGGAAAACGCCTATGGCGGAAGGAAGCGTATGTGGAAAAAGTTGAAAAAACGAAAACATCTAACTTCGAGTAGGGCGTTTCGTTTTCCTTTTAAAAAGCGATTACATTATAGTTAAAATTACCGTCCATAGGACTGTGAGTCTGAGCTAGAGAAAAGCTGACTCTTAGGTGAGTTAGCATCAGTTCTATCCCATTACAGGGTCGTATAGCAATGACTGTTTGTGGCTTAAAATGGATCCCTTTTTATTCAAAACCAAAATGGATTGGATGGCTCGATTTACGAAGACTTCAAATGAAGAAATGAGGCCTAAACCAACCTGACAACCAGTTTGCTCTCTCGTGTGGACGCCCATTTCTTCCCGATTCGGAGGTTCGCCTCATAGGAAGTAAACTAAAGCCTTGCTATAAAATACGAATCTGTCTTTTTGATCGTCTAATCCGTTGGGCTAGTTAAATTAAAACCCAAATGGACTTTTGTATAAGAAATGCCGGCAAAAAACAAGACAAATCGACGCCAAAAACAGCGCAACTCAGTGCCACGAGTTCAATGCATGTGAGCCGCGACACTCCATAAAATGGAAAAATCTGGAACCTAATAGTTGCTTTCAAGTACAAAAGAGGCACAGTCGGGCTTCTACTGATCAGTCAAATCAAATTTCAATCGAAAATTGGACAAAGGATGTTGACTTAAGGGAGAAAGCCACTTGTCCTAAAGAGCATAAGTTGGTTTTTTTGATTATCTGAACCATATCTTGAGTGGTGATTGGTCAAATGGCGTAATCATGCAAGTCAAAGCTGAAAGGGAGACGCGGTAAAGGAGAGGTGACTTACCCAGCACGGGTAGGGCGTCTGGGCATGGAAGAGGGTTGACGGGATTTGTCAGTCGGGCTGGAGATACCGTAGGGATTGGTGCACTCCAGGGAGCTCTGCGCCTCCGCCAGCGCCTGATCCCCTCCCATCGAGTTGTAACGCGACTGAATGATGAAAAACAAAATTTCCCAAGTGTATAACTACATCAGCTTTGTTATGGCTTGAAAGCCTTATCTAAAAGGATACCGCATTTGCTTTTGAACAATACCACTGAGTCCTTGGTTGATTCGCTTGCAATGAATGTTACCTGTTTAAAGAAGGCTTTGAAAAACCAGCAACTCGACAGTTATTTCATGTGCATTTTCAAGAGGTGAACACACTGACGGTTCGTAAATAAACCACTTCATTTCTATTCGTACGCACTAAATCTACTTGGGAGAAAGTTACTTTGAAAGTAGTGGTAGTGAATGATTATACTAATCTTTATGAGCTCCAGCCTGGCTGCCAAGGTGGAATAGTCGTTAAATTTTCAAAAAAATCTAGTAGGGGCGATAGCTAATTGAAAAGTTTTTGTGGCTTTGGATTCGTCTATAAAAAAAGTGTCCTCCCTTAATTGTCAACGGTAATGGTCCATTTGAGAGTTTGTTTAATTCCATAGTAAACAGAGTTTGCAATGGATTTCACCGTATGTCTCTTGTCATGAAAACAAAAAACGGGGAATTATAAGCCTGCGAATTTCATGACACCGATTTTGGCGATAGGATGTTAGAGAATTTGATAAGTACATTAATATGGAGACATCTATCCACGAATTTTTCGGTGAACGCCTATTCGTGTTACAGTATGAAAACCGGTTGTATAAATAGATGGAAATCGTGATAAACGATACTATCTCACGCAAGGAAGCCACTACTTAGCCAAGATAAGGCACGGTACCGATGCTAAGCGTCAGGGTCCTGGCGCAACAAAATGATCTCTCTTCTTAAGGACAACGACGATACGTAAAAAATCTCTGTCTTATTCATGTCGGCGTACAAAAATACACGGATGCCGGTTGTAGGTTTTCATTTTGAAATTAAAAAAATCTCCTTTTGGAACAGGTTGGCACTTTATGCGGAAGGTCCTCTTCGATTCCAGGTTGATACACCCTCGGCAAACATAAACTACCCCACTGTTTACAGCATTCGAATACAGCATAGCTGTTTCACTTAGTAATTTGATAGTGGCACAAATGGAAGTCTAGACCTTTTGCAATTAAATCTAGGCCACTTATGAAATGCACAGATGTCACACTGACAAGTGGAATTTGCGTTGCGTCACTTTAAAATACTTGGGTGCTGAGTAAGCGCGCGACTCGAAGCCGAAAAATATTTGGGAGGGAATATGACGTGCTGCGCTCGATGTAGTTGACCACGCGACTCGATTTCTTGCGGAGACTTAGCATACGCTTGAGAATTCAAGGCATCATTTCGAGTTGGGGATCAAATTCAAAATTACGAAGTCACTTTTAAAGTTCACAGGTGCGACTGTAGCTAGACCACTTAAAAGTGCTGACAATATGCACGAATTAGTCCAGAGGAGATTATGCAAGACGAATCTATGTTTCAAAGGGCACAGATGTTACTCTGTGGCGAGAAATGAGAGTAAGGAGTGCATGGAAGAGTTGTAAAACGACTTACCTCAAGACGCTTGATGAGGTCGCTGAGTGAGAAGGTCTGGCGGCGCAGTTTTGCGATGGTATCCTCCGCGTCCTGCGCGTTGGCCAGCTTGGGATTGTCCCGGCAGGAGTCCAACAAGCGCTGTGTCGCCTCTCTACAAATGGACAAAAGTGAAGTGTGTAACTTAGAAAACTATCACCACTATTGTGAACTGCATAAAAGCATACTCATCATTAAGGATTCGTCTAGAGTAGCCAAGGTGCTAAAGCACACCCTATCAGATGACCACTAGTGGATGGACAATTGCAAAGCTTAGGTTCAGTGCGATAAGGAGATTTGTGTCGGTTCATTATCATTTATTAATGATAACGCAATTTCAGCTAATCTATCATTTCTTTAAATTGTAAATACTGGCCACTAAATATGTGCCTTCTAACACGGAGTTTAAAAAGACCCAATAAAATCTACCCATATATAAAAAGATCATGTCCGGAATTGCCGACACAGATGGCATTGTAAATTGTGTTCTCTGGTGGCAGTCGAGTCAAGCAAGAGGAAGGTGTGATGTGGAACACCATAACAATTAACAAGGAATCTGGAATTTCCCTAATATAAGTCTTTCAAACATGCACTTTTGCCAAGACTCTACAATAGGTGGATTTCAAAGCTTTTGGACACAGAAAAGGAGTAAAGACAAGGAAGACGACAATGTAAAGGTGAAATAAAGTGAAAAAAGTCTCGAAAAGGCCAAGGACTAAAGAAAGTGTCATTCCCCAATCAGCTTCCGTTAAGACCTTACCAAGGTCGCCAAAATAGTCGAGATCCCATTCTTTCAAAAAAGAACCTTCAAAATTGTTTTGAAAGTTATTTTAGCAGACTTTAAACAGCGATCACCGGGCTAATATTTTGCGAAGTGCCGCAGCGGATGGATAGGCATTTTACAGTGCCAATTTTAAAAAATACCACGTGACCGACGGTATGTAAAATGGTGCCATTATAGATGTTTCAGGAAAACGGCAGATGATAATCCTTAATGCCATTTAAGTTAAATGAACGAAATGGGACGGAAACGTTACAAAAATAAAAAAGTCACGGTTGCAATGATGATATACAAACGCCTGAATGCGAGTAGTACAATGCTTTTTGGTACAGGGAAAAAATTATAGCCAGTAACCCTTGACCTCCGGAGAAAGCAAAGCTTGAAGAAGCGAAAAGAGGTCCCAAATGCTGTAGAAATGCGTAAAACAGTAAGGAATCCCAAAGATGCAACTTTTGTCCTGTTACGAATTAACCTATTCACGTTTGACAGCCAATCAGTCATTAATCTGGCAACTCCCGCCTTTTCACTCCCACCCTTCGAGGCTATAAGTCATACACACAGTTCATCGCGCCAACTGGTGAAAATCCTACCTAAGTCAGAGCAACAAAAGAAATAGCTGCAGGGACCAGCAGCAAGTAAGAGGGTACTTAGAGCCGCGACCTCTGGGTGAATTAGTAAAAACCCGGGTTACGCGATGAGTGTTTCATTACCAACAAGTGCGATTAGGAGTGAGGTCAGGACTTCCACCCAAGGTTATGCTGGTAGAGGACATGACCAAAAAAGTACACAAAAAGAACATGCTAAAATTGATGACTAAAAAAAGAGGAAAAAGAACTGTCGATGCTCAAGTGTGGTGTGATTTATTTGTCGAATTGACTATACAGACGGTTGGCGAGGGTATTTCATTAATATTGCACAGCTGTTGAACATGCTGGTAAAGTTGAAAACCTGTCTTCCAACATAAAATCAAGGGTTGTTGTTAAAGCCAATTTTAAAGCGGCACAGCCTGAATTTAAGCGTTCGTAAGACTCCACCCAAGTTGTCAATCACTCACAACCAACAGTAAGCATATCATACTAGTTGAAAGCAAGTAGTAGTCGTATAGCCTGAACGTGAGAGCTACGTTAAGCAACAATGTGTATTATGGTTGGTGGAAAATACAAGGTTACCATAAATTATTTCAAATGTAAACTATTCACGATCTAAGTAGAAATCACGTCGCGGATAGGTACTTCGACAAATGGAGTTACCACTTACAGAGACTGGGGGTTAGCCTTAAAAAGTACAATAGTAATATATCATCAGGATTATGAATCAAAATGAAATTTGACCGTTATTTGGAGGAACTAAAGGATTCAAAACCAACAAAATAAATTGAAACATCCTAACCGTTTGTAGCCACCGACTTCTAATTAGGACTGAAGCAAAGCAGTGCTGTAAAAGACCGAATTAGGCATGGACTGTGCGTCTTGCACCTATCAATTCAGGCTTTCTTTAAAACTCCATTTATGTCCAAACAAAGTCAAACGCATAAGTTTCTTTTGCCAAGTACCTGAACGTAATTGCGTAGAATAGAGAAGGAAAGATCAGTACGTACGGTAACAATTAAAAGATGGAAAAGTGCTCTTCTAAATCGACTGCGATCCGGAGGTTCATGATAAATCTAAATAGCAGATGCGAGTAAAAAATTCCTCTCATCATCAAGTTGATTCTCTTGTAAGCACGTGAAATGCCTGACATGTGTTCTTTAACAGTTTATGACAACTGGTTGCACCAAATTGATTGGTTGATCTAAAGGCAGAAAAGTAGATTATTGCCTTACTAAGATAGGCGAAAAAGCCAGATCATGGTAACCGACTTCCTTCTGAGGTCCAAAGAGATAAAATGCAAACTAATTAACTATCATGAGTCAAAGAACAGTCGAGAAATGCAACATCATCATCCAAGTTGGTTCCTCTGCGTACGTATACAGAGTTCATAAACAAGTTAACGATGCTAAGCTCCCACACATCCCCGTATTAAAGTACAAAGAACTGGAAGGCATTAATCGGTAAAACAAAAATGTGCCTTTTGACTGGTGCTACCTGGCGAGCCGGCTACACCCCTCAACTACTGGAGTGTAGATGGGAACCCAACTTGTAAACTGCACTAAATAGAAACAGCGATCTACCATAAACTTTTGTCAACCAAAAGTCAATTGATAGCACAATCTCATCCCATTGCGTGTGCCCAGTACAAGGATGGAGTTCATTTGGAAATGGTCATGTTGTTGCAGCGGATACAAAGTGTTCCAGGAGTTCAGTGGCGGCAAAATCCATGATAAATGAGAAAGGAACTCAGAGTTGGCTCGAAAAGCGACAGATTGATGAGTAGCAGGAAACCTGAGATTGTACCCCAAAGAAAGGGGTGATTTAATCTTTTGTGAGATACAAAAAAGTGGAGGATAAGAACTTTTGAACATCCACAGTATAGGCTAGATCTTGCTTCGCAATAAAATCCTTCGAGTGACCCACAATAGAATGCCATAACTTTACACTTTTTAAACCAGTGACCATCCTTATTCATCAAAAAACAATGTTTTAGTGAGTAGATATTTCCTTATAGCATTGTTAAAGACATTCACCCTCCTACTTATACTAAAAGTCACCATTGAATGTTCCGACTATGGGAAATAAAAACAATTGGGAAATCCATCAAGGTTCCAATCAAAGGTCTAATATACAAGACTGCTTTTTTCCGATGTCTGCAAAATATTTTCTTACAACCGGCCTTCACTCTCGCCAAAGGGATTGCAAAATCTGCGGGCATAAAAAATGACCTTGCACAAAAATGGTAAAGATATGAGCGCCCACACAGAACAGGAAGAAAAAAAAGTACCAACCCCAGTTTCCCTAAACGGTCAGCCTAACAAAATCCCTCTCCGATACTTTTAAGGGAATAAAAAGACAAGAAAAGCAGCCGCACATGCTTCCTAAACGGTTACAACAACAAAGATCCAAAGAGAGTAGATGGATAAGTGAGTTATGCACATTCATGCTGACAACGACAACGACGAAGGGGACAAGGGTAGAGAAGCAAAAAAGGCAAGCAGAGGAACGCATGCACAACACTATTACAGTGACTCTAGGGCTCAAGCTAATACCAAGACACAAACTGGAGACAGTGAGGGAGGGACAAAATGTGGGTGTCTGTTCATCACCTGAGTCTGCGTTGCCAAAATGGGATGCTGCGGTGATGAAGGAGCGAAAGAAAAGAGAGACAACAAAGTAACAACCCGTCAAAATTAAAGAAGGCGTGTACATTGCTACACACACGCAAACATAAATCGTTGAGTGGATGATATAGTGAAAAGCGCAGCCTCATTTGCATGAGTTTACTTGTGATTGAAAGAAGCACAATTGCAGATTCCTGCTTGCCATAGAAGTAGGATGAGATTTACCGGTAAAATGAACGATGCGTATAGTGAGAAAGGCCTTTCCAAGCTGAAACATTAGCAATTAGACCATTCTGCGGCTCGGTGAAGCAATATCACCGACACGCATCAGCAATCAAAGGGTGTGGGAAAAAGCAAGACCACTTTAAAGCACGCAGTTTGTGAACCCTGACAAAGAACGTGTCAAACAAAATTGTCGTTGATGAAAAGATGCTCATTTGAGAGTTTACTATTTAAACGCGCGATCTAATCTCATATCAAACCTTCTTTGGTAATTTCATTGCCTAGAAATAGTTGCTACAAAAGCAACTGCGGCCACGTATGGCGTAGCAACGAAGAGAGGTATTGACTAAATCCGAGTATGACGTTGGGCAAGAAGAAGGTGGGAGGAGGGTTTCGGTGATATTACTGAGTTGCGCCAGGAAGACAACACGAAAAGTCAAATTTTAAGACGGTTCTCCTCTTTAAAGGGCTCAACATCTTTTTTGGTGTTAGTTGTTAATCTGAAAGCAGAATTGACAAAAAGCGAAGCATTTGTTATGATACCAGCTTCCTAAAGGAAAGGTGATAAAGAATTAACCTTGGAAAATTCCTCTACCGGAGCTTGACTATTGAGAGTGTATATACAATGATTTGATGAAGTGGGACGGAAATAGCATGATCCGCGCGGACAAAACTAACAAAGTGGTACAACAATTACGAAATTTCCAACAAATTTAATTCCACCTAGAAGAAATGCGCATGCCAATCCCTAAGATAGCAATAAATCTTCACTCCAGATTTGACATTGGATGGTATTTCATCCGAACGAATTGCGATATCTTTGTAGTCGGTGGATCTAATTAATCATAATGTCGAACAGCCGGAAACTCAAGTAAACAACTTAAAAACAAGGGGACTTAATTGCATAGTGATTGGTAAAAGTGTATATGAATTGAAACATTGTGAAAACAGTGAATGTGAACTTACATAGAGCCTTGAACTTTGTCCAGGCTTGACTTGAGAGTTTTGATACGATCATCTAGTTGGATCACAGTCATTTCAGACTCCTGCGGGGCAGAAAGTGCACAACAAATTATTACACCCTTGAGTCAGGAGAAACAGTGGTAATAGGAAATAGCCATCACTGGATTATAAAGCGAAAAAAGGTGCAGTTTTGGAGCCCGTTTAGAAAGGTAGCAACAGTCGGAATTGATACACCCCAACCAACTCACCTACAAGCAAATTTGACTCGGTACCTTAAATATTTTTGTATTTTTAAAGTAGCAACTTCACGACCGCTTCAGACGGACGAATAACAAAAATTTGGACGTAATCAAGCATTAATCCAAGTTATGCTTAATTGTGAAATGGCGGGATTAATCATTACCACAGATCAAACACAATGGAATACCTTCTTTTTTCGCATGACATTTGGCTAGAGGTATGAATTGCAACAGTTAATTTCTGTTGCAGAAAATGGAACCCGGGTTCTTCAAGTTAAAACAAATTTCGAGGAAAATAGAGAACTTGACCCTGAAGTAGCATTTTGCGCATTCCTCATGACAAAACATTATTGGTCAATAGATCACGATTTGTGAGAGAAAGTGTAAATACAAGTGCTAGGATTAAGAGGCAAAAATTAGAAGCCTCGCCAACAAACCCTGGAGTTTGATGAAAGCTGAAAAGTGGTTTTTGAGAAGATGAAATGTGCATCAGCAACCACATGCACACACAAATAAGCAAGGAGGCAGAACGAGGATAGATTAGGCTACGAGGAAAAACTGTGTAGTATTTTGTTTTGACCTTTACACACACGAGAGTGTGCAGGCGACGGTAATGACCGTCATTAATGTCACACACATCTGCACACATTAGCGTTAAATAACAATTAATTGTTAAAAGGGCGTAACTGGGGCTCATTCAACTTCGAACAGAAGAAAATATAAATTGATTCTCACTAAATAGTTAAATCGGAAAGGTGGAGTTCGGAGCTTTTACCGATGACAGAGAATAACTCTTCAGCTAACGTAAAAACCAGGCCGTGGACAAGTGAAAAAGTACTGCATAATAATACCTAGGTAATGAATTCTCATTAGTCTTGAGTAAATTGGTGAAAATCCAACAAACTGTTGTGAACTCAACAGGTCCTTACTACAGATCAAAAATTTTGGAAATTTATCTTGGCTCAAAGTACACCCACAACAATGAATGAAAGTTCCAATTTTGGCTCGATGTCAGCCTTTGGTTGTGCTATAAAGCGCAGGAATTGGATCAGGACCGTAAACTTCCCTTCAAAAAAGAATATACTTTAATATTGCATTAAAAGCAGGCGTTCAAGCCAAGTGGGAGGGAAAACGCATTAGTTTCATAGCTTTAATTTTTTTGCTGCAGACTGGAGCTCTAACTTCAAATACGCGATAGTTCATGAGATATTTAATCTAGTAGACAAAGGTTATGAGGATACATCCTTGTTTATTGGCAAGGACACGGATAGCTGATGGGTGCCTGCAACTATCCACAAGTTATCCCAGCAGGACTAAAATTATGCAATATGCTACTTCAAAAGGAGCGATAAACCAAAGAAACGGGACGGCTCAGTTGAAGGTCATTTGTGCTTGGATGGTGCGCACGAAAGCTGTCACACGAGAGTCGTTTGTGACACATTCAGAAACACATGCACACAAACGGTGAGAGCGTGTTCAACCAATGGCATACCGTAAGCAAGCAACCTATTGGTCTCCTATACATACATATAACCACAGTACTGGCAGACCTGATGATCACGAGAGGATAGAATTTAGTTGCTGCACGGCTGAGCACTACCTGGGCGTAACCGTAAACGGTTCTACACTCTCTCAACCATCTCTTGAGACCATTGCACCAACGGAGCTCATAGGAGACGAGGTCTATAAAACAAGCCTTAATCACTTCGTTCCTTTCTACCAAGGATGAAAGAATTGCTTCGCCTTTTCGACACCTAAACCTAAACAGATGTGCCTAACATAGAGCAGTGAGTGGGGCTTTCACACGCCCTGAATGGCACATAGTAAACAACGCACACCAATGTCTCTTATCGCTCTCTCGCTCACACGCACACCCAATTCGATAGGCTTATTGCTGCTATGCTCATCGAGTGCAATAGAGCATCCATTTGCTATTGGAACAGTCAATCAAAGAGTATGTGTCAGCCTAACTGTACACCTACATCTTCTTTCTACAGAAACAACAATCACATATCTAGCATTCCATGCAAGCCACCCATCGATGAACAACGGGAAATGGTCCAGATAGTAAACTTGTCAATACGATAGATGGACTAAATGTCGCCGGATGATCCAAATAAACCTATAGTAGGTTCAGTACAGGCTCAAGATTTGTGGACTGAGAACGCATTTTGAATAAATTCATTGGAAATAGAACAAATCACATCCACCGGTCGCAATATTCTAGGATAACTTTTGGTGCAGTTATGGTAAAGGTGCCTATCTACAATTTCAGGTGCTCAAACCACACCTCGATTTAAAGCATCCCCAAGGCGCAGGTGACAGGAAGCGAGCGAACATATAAATGAATGTTATTCGTAACTGAAGACCTCAAGGGCTCACCTTGACAGGTTTGTAGCCAATGCCAGCGATAAAAGGCGTTTGCAAAACATTTCCGTCTGAAGACTGAGTCTTGGATTTCCCGAAGAGGGTGTGAATGCCCTTGGAGACCTTCTCAGGATTGGCTCTGGTCGCGAAACCGTTTGAGGAGCCCAGCATGAGGCTTAACAGCGCCGATGGGTTATCCAGGGTGGCCTGAGTACACTGTGAAAGGTTCAAGAAGGGTAGATCTACGGGGAAGAGAAATTCCGTCTTTCTGGCCTCCAGCACCACCTTGCAGTCCTGCAATTCAAAAATACACACCGTTAAAAGAAGGAATGCAACGGTCGTACTAGCGTTTTGCACAGGCTAGTATGAATTATGATGATATTTTAAGTAAAGTTGTCACGGCAATGAGGTTCATGCTTACAATGCCTCTCGTTTCGATGGATTGTGACTAAGAATCCAAAGTTATTTAGCGCGACAAGTTTCAATGGAGTAGAATGACGGTTGTTTTACATGTACAACCATATAGATCTTTTCATTCTCCGCCTGCACGTCCACAATCAAGATACATTTAAGCCGTATGCATCATGACAACATCAGGAATAACTCCAGCGCTAGACTGTACTCACTTTGTATATCATCATATGACCGGATTCTGTTACCTCGCCCTTCAAATGACTACATAATACACGACTAAGTAAAATCACCCCAGAGGACAAAATGCAAAGTGTATGAGTTACTTCCGTCATTCTCAAAAAGTACACACCGGAAAGGTAGAATAGTACAAAACCCACTTAAAGACGCCGATGAAAATGTCAGGAAGTCTTGGGGTTTCTCCACTGGACGGTGGAAGGGCGCTTCGGTAATGACAGAAATTAAATTTGGTCTAATAGTCACTCTAATGAAGATTGAGAATCCCATTGGAAAGTAAATCACCACAATTTAGGTAGTAAACAGTTCTGGAATCACACTAGTTGCCGTCAATTTTTTAACCATGGCAGCCACCACTCAAAAACTAAAAAAAGTGCGGTCAGCCGTACATTAAAACTACCACTTTTATTGTTTTAAACCCAGCCACAATGCAAATACGTTTGATCAAGAACGCATATCCCATAATTGCGATGCCAGGCTCAGATGAAAACTCGACGCATCACAGTTTGATTTAGTTGGCGCTTAAAATGTCGAGAAAATCACGACTATAAAGGTTATGCAACATCACGCAATGGGATGAAATGATACGGATTGGAGATAGATAGTTGCCAATGAAACACGGTTAGCGTGAGGCTTGGCAGTACAAGATTTACCGGCTACATGTTCTATAAACAAACTACCCCGGACGCAGACCAGATCATAGTGGTATTAGATAACCGAAATTTCACAATTTAAACGCTACGCTGACGTCATACCTACACTTTAAGCTATGATGGTCGTTTCAGAATAGGCAGTTTCGGCGTGGTTTGAGGCACCTCACTGAAATCTTTCGAGAAAAGTTAGACATGCACACACAAAGTGGGCGTCATTGCGACAGGACCAAATTATGCACACGAACATATAAAACCACGCAAAAAACCAATGAGCACCAATTATGCACTCGGTGCATGACAGAATTCCACGAAAGAAGAACACGGACTTGCCTCAGGCAACTCCGATTTGAAAACTGCCTGAGTAACAGTGGGAGCGGTGTTTGCACCAAAGATTTTCAATGGGGACGATGTGTTTATAGGATAGTCGGTAATTATTTGCAAGCTATTAACACATTCGCTGCTGGAGTCTTAAAGAAAAACCGACTGTCACAGCCCGGATGTTTTATCCCAATAACAAGGTGTCATTTTGCCTTAAGTTTTCAGACCAATTCAACTGTGGCTTAGAGACCATGAACCTGGTCACGACCATTCCAAAGTTGGGAACATCCCACATCTGTTTTAATGTTTTAAACTAAACCAATCCATCTGCGGCAAGGTGTGGTACAATCTATGATTATAACCTGATGAAGTATGCGTGACATACATGTGGTGCCGGTAGAGACCATAATAACAACATCAACAATGAAGAAGTGGCACGTAGGCAAATGGTGTTCAATAATGGTGCATCACAAGTAATTTTAGTATATGGCATCATTTGCTCCATTCACATTGATAAAATGCCAGTTGACAACTCCAGCTGAAAAGGTAGAATTACTAATGGGGGAAAAAGATGAGGTTCATCGAGGTGTAGGTACAATCTAGTACAGGAAAGAGAACTCACAGGAGAAAAAATAAATTTATGCTAGCACAATGACTGACCATCGCAAATTAAGGCAAACGAAATGCCCTAAAAAGCATCCACTTTTTTTCCACAATGGACACAAATTTCGACTTTAGCGATTGACCACAAACTTTACTTCGTAAGTGAAATAACGTCTGGACCGCCTGTTTGGAATTGCAAAAGGGCAGAAGTGTTGCAATTTAGTTCCTCTATGAGAAGAAAATACCCCTCGGAGCTATAAAGGAAATCCACTCCAACTGAATCAATTTGAAAGAATCAGGCTTGGTGGTAAATCAAACAGTGTTAACCCAAACTGTCATAACTAGTGTGTCATTCAAAGAATGCCAAAAAAGCCGCCTTATATCACTACTTTGATTGGATTGACCAAGAAACCTGAGAGACTCATTGCAACGAGACATGAAGTTACCTAAATAATCGAGAACCTGGAATAAAAGATAATAATGGTTTGTTTCTCTTTGCTTTCAATCAACATTTAGCATAAGTTTTTACGGGAGCTGAAGCAGAGCGTCTTGTAAGGGACCAGATTTTGATAAAGTACTATTCATCTCTAAGCTTTACCCTCAAATTGGTCAAGAAATCTCATGGTAACGTGAGGAGATTGATCTGGATGCAAAAGAAAGTACAAATGTGTTCGAGATGGTGGAGACAGCTCATATGCCAACTCATTTTCAGTTGGAGCTAATCGTGACGCATGCCTCCGAATAGAATAAATGTTAAGCGGAAGTAAGCAGCAGGCGAAGGATAATTTCAGTCCATGACTGCCGCTAAAGTTCAATGGTCATCAGGTCTGTGATCCATGACTTTATTAGCTGAGGTGCAAATGACTATGACCCCACGGGAACCAGATGAGCAACTCGTTCAAGCAAAAATGAGAGGCCACACATTAGGAGTCACAGTGAAAGCAAGCCTAACTCCAGCTCGTTTTCCACTAGTGATAGCTGCACCGTAATCTTTTCAGACGAGACCCGTCTAACAAACCGGAATTCCCTGACAAAATCCGACATTTGCTGGGTAACCTATTTTCAGAGTGAAAATTCGACGGAACTTACGGTAAGAATACAGTTTAGGTTTTCATCGGTCCGTAATTTACAGAAGACCCTTATCTTAACTGTACGGGTAAGTAGGGCCGAAAAATTTATTAATCAATTTGATGACCTCAGTTTCAAATAGTCGGACTTCGTAACCTAGCTCGTGGTTTCTTTTTGGAGACCGGGAGGGTGCACCGACCCTAGTCGAGGTCGTAGAGGGGCGAATGGGATTAGTTCTTGCTGAAACGCCAAGGCGGTGTCATGCTTGCGCAGATTACATGGCATTTGGACAAATCATTTTTGGGGGTATGCACCAGTAAAAAATCGCTTTCGAAGAGATGGTTGCTACACACAGTAAGTTAGATTGCGTAGCCATTTCACTCGAGCAAATAAGTTTGATTTGGCGTTGTTATCCAGTAAGCTTGCTCAAATTACTTTAATAGACATCCCAGTGACCCTATAAAAAGGCGTTTCAGTAACCATGTAATTTAACTGGTAACAACAGACGTCCACAATCTAAGGTGTTCTTTACACAGGGAATGAAAAACATTCAGAGTGGAAACTATGATTCGAATTTCAACATTTCCACAACCGGTTTCATGTATATGTGACGCTCCAACTTTTTCACCGAAGTCCGGGGTCACAAGTGATGTTGCTATTCGATGAGAGTAACTGATTTTAGACATAAAAAAAAACAGAAAAAAACAAAAACAAATGGATGATTCGAGATGAATCGAATAGCGTTTAAATCTCAATTATCACCTCCATAAGTGCAATGAATTTATAGAGGTAAACATGAGTCGGCGCCGGGTCCAGTTCAACACTGTTGACATGGGGATGAAAAACGAGATACCGGGCATATGATCGAAACATCAGACCTATCAGAACGACAAGCAATTAAAAAGCGCACAACAGTAAAACACCAACACAAAAGTTGGCCTGACAAAGCCACGGAATAAAATTTGGTTAATTATTTGCCAGCCTATTTCTCCGTTCAAGCAGTGTGTCAAACGAACTTAATAAAAACCCGATTAACCAAGTGAGAACAATACAGGTAGTAAGTATTACTATTGGAAAACCAAATAACGTGACGAAATCAAAGGAAGCAAGTATATTACTTGCCTAATCTGATTTTACAGCATAAAATGATCTTAGCAATAAATCTAAGCTTGTAGATGGTTAACAAATAGCGATATGAGATTTCCAAGATGATAGTAGATAATGGAATGAGCGACTGCTTAAAGAATAGTAAAATCCAAGTGGAGTTGGGGACAAAAGAGTTGTATATTGGAAGGAACGATTCAGCAAAGTATTTCTTATTATTTTCATAAAGACGTCACAAAATGAGGCGAAAAAAATGCGACAATCAAGAGAATGGGTCTTTCTTCTTCGGCGCTTTAATGGTTTATGATCAAGCCTTATACAAGCCGAAACGTAGACGGTGACGATTTTGGAGCGCAAACTCACCTCCTCAGGATCGATACGCAAGGCGGTTTTACGCAGAGCAACGGTCGAGTCAACGAGCTGCTTGGAGAGGCCCTCGCCAATCTCTGAGCATTTTGTGAGTAGGTCCTTCGTGATTCTCGCGCGCTGGCGGTCGATCGTCTCCAAGTCGGCAATCAGCACGTGAATGTTGTGTGTGAAGTGGTGACGCTGCTTGTCATTGAACTTGGCCATCTCCGAGGCGTATGTGTGCTGCGTCTCTATGAAGGCGTCCTTCTTTGCTGCCAATGCGTTCTGGGCCTGGGTAGGTTAGGAGATGGTAAGATGCTAGTACAAACGGTTAAATTTCAGACAAGTATCAAAACTCAATCAATTGGCTGCAAATCTTTGGAGGATTTAGAAAACTGTGTTGGCCAACACTGAAGTTTTATGAAAAGCGCGAGAAATTAATTTCTTTTGGACAGTACCATAAAAAATTGATTTTGCCACTGAGCTCCATGTTTGTAGGGCACATTTTAGGAAAAAAAACTGAGTAGTGGAAAGGTTTGCGGTTGAATTTAGAATACGCATTTAATCTTATTCAGTGCGCAAAAAAATATGAAGTCTTGGTGACTAGTATCGACAAAGGAAAAAATTAGCATGAAAATCTGGTACTCCTTGCTGATTAACGTCGAAGTTTTCAGGGATGCTGGAAGAAAGAAACATTTTCACTTTTTTTCAAATGAAGAATGAAACAGAAAGGACAATGATTGCAGCCCAAAGGGGGCAAACACTCCAGTGTTTATGCATTTCATTTAAGCTGATAGAATAGAAGACCGAGGCTCTTGGAGAGCTGAAAGTTGAAGCTCATGCATCAAGCCAAAATTATCACGAAAACCGGCTATCCTCCAGGCAAACGGGAGGACCTGGTGCAGTGCGCCAATGCTTGCCCCAGATAACTCATTGATTACCTATGGGTAGTGAAGGTTTTCCTGATTCCATCAAATCATTGCTCAGATAGCCAAACAAAATTTAAAAAGAATAGTAGCAGAGCGAATAAGGAGCCTTGGGACGAAAAATTGGCTTCAAGACGAAAGGAGACTAGAATTAAGCATCATGTAAAAACTTAGTGTATCAAGATGATTCACATGGTGAAGAAGTGCTAAATAAAACACAATTGATGCAGATGGCTCTAAAATGCCTTAACCTGATTAGCTAAAAGTAAGTCTATGAATTTTAAGCAGAAAGCGTGCTTGTGAAATACTTGCGTGCCACCAACTAACAAACATGAACAAACGAAGGTGGATGCGCGCTTTTGATAACAAACTGAAGTTTGTACTGAGTCATGAAGTACAAAAGAATGGGCGGAACGAATCAGACAGAAGGTTTGGTCTTTATCAAAAACGCATTTACCACTAATCATTGAGAAGAGGGGGGTAAGACTATTATTACTAACCTTTTGTCTCTCTTCTGGAGTGATATTAGGGTTTTCCCGAGCCTGAGTGTTTACAGTTTCCGCCTTTTGCTTCTCCTTCAGCGCGTTCACATGGGTCCTCCATGTATCCTCAAGGCGTCTCTTTTCCCTTTCGCGTTGAGTATTATAGTTTGTGTAGTCGGTGGTAACTTTATCGGCTACTTTACGTTCCCTATCGTACTCTGCCTTCAGCGGCATTATTACGGATTTTTGCAATTCGGCTCCATAGTTCTCAAATGCCATCCCCATCTCGAGGAAGGAGGCTAGGGAGTCCGTGAGAACCGTATTGTAGCTCAGCTTTGAATCAATTGATGAGCCTGCTTTCTTTTTTGGGACAAAGCTAGATACAGTTTTGCGGTATTTCTTCCCAAAATCAACGATCAACTTTTGTATCTCACAGAGAAGTCGAAAATGGTGATCATGTAATGAAAGCTGATCATTTTCAAATTGAAGGAGAAAATCCATTTGATCCTAGATGTAAGATTAATATATGTGCACATTGAAGATGAATGCATAAACAATGAGTGATGTGCTAAAAATGACAATCACGGTCACTCGCAGTACCAAACGCGTACAGCCGCTACACATCAAAATAAGTAATTGAGTAAGCCATCAATAAAACCATAGCATTAACGTTAAAATCACTGCAAGAAAGGAACAAATGAATGAACAGCACGAATGAAAGCGCATGGTTAAAGTGCTGATACTAAATCCGAAGGTTTCACAGATCTGAGAGCGTTTGCTCATTAACACCAATTGTAATGCATGGGTAGAGTGAGAATTTATCATAAACGTAGAGTAAGTACACAAATACACTAGGTTATAGAGCATACCCATAGTTCAACGCCCCAACTCCTACTTTCCATCTTCACGATGAAATAGTATCTGAAATTGTGCGTGCTGTTTGAAGTTCATCACTGATAAAGAAAAACAATTTTACAAGAAGGTCTGAATCTTTTAATTCTACATGCCGATTCCTAATGCAAAATATTAGGCTACAAAGTGGGAATTCACGTTTAATACAAGTGTCTTGCATAGGGTTCACTTGTGAGGTTAGTTAATCTGAATAAGGATTAAATATTTGGAAACTTTTTTAGAAAAGCATAGTTTCTTACACCTTTACTGCTTGCATTTTACTATGTCATCCACCTCAACATTTTCATTGCATGGTACACTATCTCCTATACCAACAATTCCCGTTTCAGTGGAAATGTTAACATAATGAGCACACAAATACATGCAGGAGTGGCGGACTGAATCAACACTAATGTGTCACTTATGAATTGATGATACCCTTGTTCCCTTAACTGACTTTCCGTTGTCATAAAGGTAGCAAAAATTTTTCATTCTTTTTGGCTGGCATTTCAAACTTTCTCAATGTAATCGATATGCCATTGCCTTCAGATTCTTAACTCGAGAACATTGGATCAGGGAGGACACCTCGATTATACGCAGCATGAAAAATGTTTACGAATAACTATGGTTCATTTCCTCTTTAGAGCTCGACGACGTCGGCTCAGCCACGGAGCTACTACGAACTGACCCAGCGTACGTAAACAAGTGTGTATTAGGCACTCAGTAGTTTGCAATGTGTGGTTTGTGAGATTGGGTAGTGCTTGAATATCTTAACTTATTTTAGCCGTTTTTAGTACTCCGAATCTCTCAGGAAGGCGAAAGAAGTCATGATACTGGGGTGGAACATGCAGTTTCAAACTATAAAAGGGTTAGGGGCTGCTGGCATGACCCAGGGGCCATGCCGCCTAGCTAAATCACAAAGAGGAGACGAAAGTGGTCATGAAGCCTAATCAAGTAGTTAAACAAATAATTAGGATACTACAGCACATGTTGCAGTTCTTAAAAATTACAGGGATGTTTCAAACTGCTACCTGCTACTTATCCCTTGGAGCCAATTTTGTCACTTGTTTTTTATTTACTTTCGCTATTGTTGATACATAGGATATTCTAGCGTAAGTGACCTCGAACTCAATGCGTTTGATGCTTGCCATCAAATTAGCTCGTTCTTAACACAATTCCCACTACTATTAAAGTGCGCTCAGCTAAATAATCTTTGAAATTATTTTTACCCTCTTGTTGGGAAAGGCTCCAGTGATGATTCTTGTAATTGTCTACGTTGTTTTGTGGTTTACGCTTCAAATACTATCTTTTTACTTGCATTGAGGTGGGAAATTTACAGATTTTCTCTAGTCATTGTGCTTATTTCACAACTTGCCATTTAGAGTACAATCTGCCTTAACCAAATGGAAAAATTAGTTTCGCTCACCAACGATTACTCGAAATTTTAATCGATGGGCTGGATTCTACCGCTACTTCGAGAGGATTTTCTTAGCACAAGAATTCGAATAAAGTAGTCCCCCATAATTTGCCTTCGCTTACGCATTTAAAGGAAGGATGGTACCCAGGTTATTGCTTTTTAAAACCAGTAAATACATTGTAAAAAATACCTCTTTTTACTGCTGATTTTTGCAATACTTAAAGCACTTCATTTCGGTTGCGGTGGTGGTGACGAACGGGTGCTGCCGGTGGATGTTGGAAAGCAATCTGAAGACCAAATTATTGTTAATTATGCAGTGATCTCAGCCTCTTCTATCATGATCTCCTTCTCTGCTCCAACTTTGTTGTCTTCGTCCTCATGGTGAGTGGGTCTCCCGTATCAGTTCCTCTTTTGCAAATCATGGGTTTGCAAATCCAACTTTAAACAATGTTAAAAATTGCATTTTTTAAACAACATCTCGTTTCTCTATTTCTTTCTGACTCTAAATTGTATGGAAACGCGTTTTTGTCAAATTCCCTTTTATTAAACCTCGATTGTAATAAATGGCAATAATCCGTACATTATGTAAATCTGCTAGTTTCCATGACAAATAATAAGCAGTGTTTCATTTAGTTGACTCTAACAATTTGAGGAGCTGAACAGTCTCACTTGTGGCACTAGTTGTGCACCCGTTGTGGTAAGAATTTTCGAAATAGAGACAGATAGAAGACTACTATTTTGATCAGAGCTATCTTAATAACGTTATAAGTAGCGGCATCTGTTCGAATGATGTATTGATGTTTTCTGTACCAGATTTCGAATCCTAGAGTTGCTCAGTTGATTCTGTTGTCTTGTTGAGATAGATCCTAACGCAATACAATCGCGTTTCGGGCAGTGGATCTTGTCCCATTGCTTAGCGCCCGTCTCGATTTGCGAAATAAAATTACTTTGCACAGAAGCCTGCTCTTGCCTGGCTAGAGGAGTAGCGGTAGCCAGCAGGGAGTTCTCGTTTTCTTTAATGGGTGTGTTTGTGAACCGCTTTACTCTTTTTTTTTAAATTCGGGAGCACTGTTTTCTCTGCACCGCCTACTCGAGTAAAGGTACCCAAATTCCCCGTGGTTTTCTATGGGATAGTTTTCGCCACTTATTGCTAATTAGAGACATTCTGTCATTTGGTGTTTTTTTTTGTATTAACCCAACTTTATGCATTGCACTAATGCCATTAAGAGACTGTGACATGTTCTATTAATTCATAGGACTTTAATTTTTTAGGTGAACACGTTTCGCCCCGTCTAAACTGTTAAGCTACACTATTGCAATGCTTTTTTACGTCTAAAATATAAATACAAATTGTCTGCCTTAATTTTTGGTGGGACTCAGCATCTTTTTTCCTTTCACAGCATTCCCTGACTCGGCGCAATGTTAGGAAGCAATGGCGCGGGAATTTCAGTTGAGGAAAAAATACGAAGAATGCTTCAAATAACCCCACCTTTAATGTCTGTAATGCTTAAAGGTGCAACTTTTGATCATAAAGTTTCGTAGCACTTCTTTTGAATTTGGATTCGTATAGAAGCTCGAAAATGTCAGGTGGATTCAAGCAAGCACTTGTGCGGAGATTAATCTTTTCTATAAAAGTGAAGGTGTATAAGGCCATAAAAATTTGCATGTAGCGTTCCGGGACTTCACTGAAGGAGAAAGAAGACATAGTGCTGGGGCAGAATAAGGGTTGAGGGTCATGCTACCCAACAGAAGTACAAAGGCGGAGTCTTAAGTGCCCGCGTAACCAGAATGAAGAGTTTAACAAATATTTCTAGCATTACATGGTCCACTTCTCCTTTTGAGCGTCGCCCCAGTGCCATTCTGGATCAGGCTCTCACGCCGGCCATTAAAACGTAGTGGATGCTGTAAGGAAGATGTCTACAAACCATCTGTGCCAGTCATCGAATTTGTTTGCAGCTACGACGTTACACGGCTGCGACGTCATTGATCTCTCTTGGTAAATTTATTACATCCATAGTTTCGTCCGGTCTGGGAACCGTATTGTGGGAAGGGAAATGCGCTACCCATCACCCATGTCCACCACTGATCGTAAGAACATTGTCCTAAAAGCAGTCACTTAATGTACGACATATTTTCAAGTAGTTTTGCGGGGATGAGGTTTTGAGTCTGTTACTTTTTTTTATTAGTGACGACCTTTAATGTCTACTAAAGCAAAAGTGTCTGAAAGAGATACCAGAGAATATTGCTCAAAAAAATAAGTGATCATGTTTATGAGTTGAGCAAAAGCTTTGAAATCATGCTAATATTAAATAAAACAAAAAACTTCCTAAAATGCCTTCTTGCAATATCAAATTTGAAATTACGGGTCGTTTCGCAGCCGGGTTACGGCAGGTACAGCACTTTAGCTATATGGCTGAAGAGTGAGGGAGAGCCGCCATTGCCTGTTACTTTTGAAGTCTACCTGCGATCCAGATGGAGTTGGTTTGTGCTACTTAAGCTCCATAAATTTCCTCCTAAGCATAATCTGTTTGCGTAATTAAAAAGTGCCCTGCTGCCTTTTAAAGGAAAGTCATACAAAACTCGCACTGCCGCAAGTTTTAGTCCCTTGATGCACAGGCTCTAGACGCCGACGCGCGAGGATGTGGGCTGCCCTCCTTGGTGGGCCTCAGGAAACAGATGATGGTTACGCGGTTGGATCTTGATGTAAGTTCCGCCAACTGCAGGATTGTGAGACCAAGATTAACTGTTTAAAAAAGATGACCTCAAAAATACCTGGTACCATGATGCAAAAAATTATCTCTTCAATCAAAAGTGCGGTTTTTTGCAAACGGTCAATTGCCCAAAACGGCCAAAGGGAAGGTTGGATGGATTTAAATGCAATTACTCGGGAATAAACGAGTGTATTGAAGGTGAATAAATTTGAATTTTGTGTTTAATTGATCACATCAAAGTATTCCACGTCACGAGTTATCCAAGCATGCATTTACAGGAGGCTTAAGGATTGTGGAAATTTGTTAGAGGAAAAAGCAGCATCATTCTTATTCGTTTGACTTTGTTTAAAAATAGTAAGTTAACTTTTAACACCTTTGGGTCCATATTTTTTGTCGTAATAAAAACTACGACTGAATTCTATCAATCAGGTAAATTTTTTTTTTTGAAAATTTTCATGTGTACGATGGCATCTTGTCCATATTTCTTAGCTTCCTCGAAATTTAAAAGTTAGTTTTCAAGTAGAACCGACAGAACTGCGGTTCGGAGGGACTCACAACCCAGAAATGCGTCGCATCACGGAAGAGGAGGCCAGTCCACGTTGTGATCAACTTTTCTCCCCTCTGCCTCTCGAAGGTGTGTTATCTGAAATGCCACATGACAAAGAGAACAAGATCGATCAAATTGTCATGAAAATGGCTCTGAGTATTTGGTGAAGATTCGTTCAGCCGAAATAATTGCAGTATAGGGTGGATGTTACGCTGAATCATTTTTCCACTGTTTTTCGGACATGGATGTTTGACCATTACAAAACGCTCTAAACACCAGATTAGCGACGAACTTTGTGTTAAGCGCCTGAAATACTTTCCTAGGCATTAGCACATAAAAATGCCTTTAATTTTAAGGACATAGAGCCTTGGGCAACAAGTTTAGCTCAATTCTATGCCGGAAGCATCAATGTTCGTTAAAAGATGTAATGAGGATGACTTGTTTTAGGGAAAGCGGAGGACCTTGGGACCCCATCAGTCTCGAATAGGGAAAGCAGCATGGTCAGCTCGGCATATATTCCATTTTAACCTTCATAAAAAGCAAATAAGTTTATTTCATTTTTTCTCATATTTGAGTAGGTGGACCACACTCTCCGACCACAAAATGGAAGTAGACCACGAATACAGGTTACAATATTGTCTAATGGTGAGCAGTTAGCATAAACATGTAGGTGTTTCGTTACTTTAAAAAAACATCCATCATATGAGCCAATGTTGGACTCAGGCAATCTACTTCATGCAATTCACACTTCCTTTTATTGCAATTCGTCAAGCTATCTTCATTTGTGCACTTTTACCGTACGATACCTTAGTAACTCCTTCACTTTCAAGAAGTGATAAAAATGTAGCTGTCCCAGTCTTCGCTGTAGACGAGAGAAGACATAATTCTCGGGAAGAATATGTATTGTCGACGTATGGTAGGACTCGGGGCATGTGGCATGATCTGGAGGTCACGCCGACTGGTTAAGGTATGATGACGGAATCCCTAAGTAGCCTCTCGCTAAAACCGAGCGTTAAACAAACAATTAGCGTCTTACAAAAAATATCCAGTCACCTTTAACGTAGTTTCAACTTTTAAAGTAACACCAGCTGCTGGATGCTAAACTTTTTGAGATCTGGTACTTTGATCCTTGGACCGGACGCTGAGAATCGCTTTTCTCCACTTCTGATGCAGAATAAATAGAATTATGAAGACAAGGTGGTAGTGCACTAACACTAACTACACGACTACATGCAAGCCTGTTCACGTTAAATGCGTTTTTTTTTCCAAAATGGTGTTTGGCCCACAAGGTCCCTCAAATCCGACTGTTACAGCAGTGAGCAGGACGGAGGTCATTGTTTCCTGGGAGCCACCCGGTCAATTTCTTCTAACACGGTTGAGGTGTTACGAAGTCTACATCAACGCCTCCACAAAGCCGACCTACTCTGGCACACAGACCTTTTGTCACCTACGTGGACTCAAACCCAACTGCCAGTACCTCTTCAAGGTCAGAATGGTTCCATTCTTGTCACCTCTCCATAACACACCCAATCCCGTCTGTTGTTTGCAATCGAAGGTTCAGATGGTACTGAAGAGTAAGGCTGTTACGGATAAGGCGACTCTCAACTCGAAGGGAGGCGCTTCCAGGCATTATAGCGAGAATCTTCAGCCTCCATCAAGTATGCACAGAAGGCGGCGACAAGCTCACGACAGACCCCATGTAAACGGAAAAGTAGGTCATCATCAAAGCTGTTACTGTCGAGATTTTGAAATACTGAAGGTATAAAATTAAAAGTTCACATAAGGCTCCTAATTTGGACTCTAGGTAAAGCTAAGTAATTAAGCGTTTGATAGTTATGATAGATGAAAATCCTTTTCCTTGAGTGTACCATACCAGGCCCGCCTGTCACCTCAAGCCCGTGAGTTCTCGTGAATTTAGATTCACCCCCAAACTGATAAAAGGGACCTTCTTGGACTCACTGCCTCAGGTCACTCAATTCACAAGGCGGTTCAGGCAGAAGAATTGACGCCTTTTTCACTCCCGCGACTTGAAGGTAGAAGCCGTAACTCCCGGCGGTGTTTGACAGTCACCGCCAGTGTAAGATATTTTCCCACTAAAGTTATTTCAGTAATTTTACTCAGAGATCTAGACTCAGGAAGACGTCTTCCACCTCTTTGTGAATAATTTCTTAGATTAAGCTAAAAATTATTCGAGTTAGATCTTTTGACCTTAGAAAATTTTCGAAAAGCTGTGAAAGACATGTGGGTTTTTCACATAAATCCATTTACTTTGTACCGAAAACAACTTGTATGAAAACAAAATGAGTGAAGATCCTTTCATGGCCTGACCTCTCTTGGCTTTTGCCTTTTGACATGTTAGAGCCATTTAATGAAAGCCAGTTTGATCGGAACAACGGTGGTGAGGATTACACGGGGTGGAAAAAGACCGCGACCACACCGTGTGGCCCCCATCGCTGCCTGTAACTCCCCGGATGGAAGCGCCTACCAACAGTCGCTTCTTCTTGATAAGGCGGCAACCCATCCGACTACAGATTCTAAGAGTTCAAGGGCGGACCAACCCGAAAGGCTGTTGTCTTGTACACAGTTAGTTTTAATGGCCTGTAGAAAAAAGTGGATATATTTCGAGATGCTTTTGGGGAAAAACGAACTCTCCGCCCAACTTAGCACTTCTACAGCTTTTCTATTGGGTTGTGTAGGATGAAGTTCGGTATTTATGTCCTCAGAATGGTATGACCAATTTTTGCGGTGTTTTATTGAATATAATGCAACGACATTATCAATTGACCAAGTGTGAGCAAAAAAATACCTAAATGTTACCCTTCTTCCACCTTTTAACTGAGGAATTAGCCACTGACCAGTACCTCAAATGCCTATTGTTATTTTTTGCCTACAATATGAAACATAGTTCAAAGCATTAAGACGGCTGGACTGAAACAACACCTTTCAATGCACATAAGTCTTTAGTGACTCCGGTTTTGGGAACCCCGTTTCACGTTAAGAATCCCTCAAGTCCCTTGAATTTTTCTGTAGTCGTTGTCTTTTGTTGTATTTTGATATTGATATTTGATCAGAAAATGTGTGGAGACTTGATTGCTATGTGCTAAGTGCTTTTGATACAGGTTGATTCCAACATATTACTTTTTACCAGTAGAAGGGTAAAGGAGTCCACACCACATGGTGATGAATTGAATACCGGTAAACCTCATTGTCACGGTCAATTCCTGTGTAAGGAAGAGAGAAACTGTGTAAAAATAGCTGCGAAAAAGAACGTCGAATTGGGACAAAGAATTGCCGGCACGAGTTACAATGACCACATTGCCTAGATCACTGATACCTTTAATGCAAGGGGGGAGGGATCGTAGGCACCGCGGAATTGCAATGTAAGTCAACAAAGTCAAATAGTCTACAATGTTCAATTAAATCAGGAACTTTCTGTACCCTCACTACAGTCATGCTTTATTTTAGCATGTATATCACATGCCCTCAAGAGGTCTAATCGACATATGGCATTTTATCCGTTCTTACTGAATAATAGGAAAAAAGGTACACAAAGTCCAGTTTTTAAAAAATCTTTCTTTGAAATGGGACAACCGAAATGACACTACTGATTCACAGTTCCACTTTGTAGGTTTCTCCTTCAGAATCCCCAATTAGCAGCGAAGGAATCAACTTCCAAACTATTTCATCCCATAGGTTTGTTTCGGATGTCAGAAATCGGCGACGCGCAATCCTGCCTAATTCATTAGTGTAAATAGTATTTTCTAAAGTAACACTACGGGAAGCGGCTTCATGTTCTCAATTCCCTTCGAAAAGCTTCTCGCATTTTAAACGCAAGGATGCACCAAACCAGGTACATTTTGGGCCTAATTTACATTTGGTAAAGTACTGAGCATAATGAGCAAAAAGATGTGCTTTTTTTCCCTAGGAATCTCGTCAATGCCTTTAGGGCATATCCGAGTTTACCAAGAATGAAAAACCTTCCGAAGGTCATTTTTCAAATTGCTATTTAAAAAGAACTTTTGCAAACGGCAATAAATTTGCAAATAAAGACTCTCCTTCACAGCCACCGTGATTGAAGCCGGTGCTCCACATGCTCCCATCTCAATGTTAGAGGGGTCAGACGCCGAGAAAAAAATCGGCATCGGTCAATGCAAACGTAGATACTGCTTTAACTCTGATGGGATGAACGCCTTGCCGCAGCGTAATGCCGCTGGAGACGGTTCCTTTCCTTAGGGCCACCCAAGCAAAATGTGGGCTTTAACACTCCACACAAGGTGGTGTCACATATTTATTCTTTTGGCATTCGACACAACTACCAGCGAGATCACATCCGTACGGACTCGAGCAGATAAGAATGCCGGACCTCAACCACGACTAGTGATTGTATTTAGCTTCCTCCATCAAGCTCAGTAAAACGTTAATCCGCACACCTGACTTGTGATAAGAATGTATGTTATTGAGCACGACTGCCTGCAAAATAGACTAGATACAGGGGGAAGGGGAAGGCAAAAGTGGCGATAACGTTCTCATTCCTCCTCAACACCGCATTCAACACGAACAAAATCGTCCAACAGGATTTCATTCTGCTCCAGCAGCTCGCCAACACTAATGGCCTCGTCGAAGAGAAAGGGCTGACGAAGGAGGCAGCGCTCATCGTCCGGGTTCGCGGCGGGTGGAACATCATCCAGTGCAAGGCTGGGTCGCGGGCTCATACCCACTATGTGCTGACAGAGCTGGTGACAAATCTGAGAGGCCTGGTCTCGCCATGCCGGTGTTCCTTTCTACGTAAAGGAATTGAAATGGGAAGTGGTTCGTTCGTAGAGAATGTTACCGCTGCAAATCACCTTCCAGGAATAGACTTAAGTGTCTCGGTATTTCACATTTGTCTCTTCATGACATATTTTAGGTACGCTTCGGGGACTCTCAATTACCCCATTATCCTCTGCAGATTAAAAGACGATATCTAAATAAAAAATAGTTCCAACATTTGCCAGCTGATATAACATGCCACTTGGCTACACAAAATTCTAGAATGGAACCAAGATCTAAAGGAATTATTCCTTTACAAACTTTTAAGAACGAATACAGAGAGCACATACCTACCCGATTACTGATGTGGTGATAGCGCAGAAAGGCAACATACTTGCCAAAGTGCACATCACGAACGGTTCTTTTCAAACCAGCGTTAGTTGCATGACAGTAAGCCATGAGATGACTAATTTCGGCCGTCTTATCAGCTGAAAGGGTCATTCCAACACCACGAGGAATAGCCATATTCTCCCCTACTGACGCAATAGTCGCGACCAAAGCATCGGATATGGATTTTGAAAATTGTCCCGCGTAAGGAAGCGTTTTAAGAGACTCCTCGGAAAACCTATGAGTGCCCGGTTCCCGTGTTCCCTAAATACGTGAAAAGTGTTGGACAAATCCGAGACACAAACAACACCGAAAATGCGGACCTTACGGACAAGAGTTCTTTAAACACGGACTCCGTAGAAAATGCAACTAAAGTTTGAAAATGCTGATTTCGGACCACGAAATCGGTCTCACAATTTATCTCTACAACAGACACACATCTGGACGTGGAAATCATGCCCAAGAGGCCCTGCGACATCGGCCGACTTTTTAACTTCTCAGCTTTGGCTAGACCGCGTTTGGCCGCCTCCTTCTGGAGCCAGGCAAGCGCCCGTGAGTAGTCGCCGTTGCAGGCGGCCAACGCCTCTCGACACAGAACGAATGGATGGCCGGTCGCCTTGCGCAGCTGTGCAAGATTGGATGAGGAAGACTTCATGGAGAAGCTTGAGAGTATATTTCGAAAAATTGAAGTCACAGAAGAGAGGATGTGCGCTTGTGATCTCGGGAGCATATTTCAAGGACGGAACCGGAGTCCTGGAAGTAATCAAAAAGAGTTGAAAAAATCGCAAGAGATGACAATTCCACCGTCAGACTGGGAGTCAAGACGGTTGAACAAACTGAATGGTTTTTAATGCAGGGTATTTAATTTTGTTGGCTGAAATATTACAAGACCCAATCCAAATACCCCAATTTTTTGGTATAATTCAACCATAATTTGACTAAACGCAAAAACGAACCCAAAGTATGCACAACTGTTCAACGAAGCAGCACCTAACCCACCGCATCTCAACAATAACCTAGCGGAGGTTTTGTGCAAAACGAACGTAAATATTGACCCTAAGTACCATAGTGCAAATAATAACAGCTTGAAGTCAATAATAACCCACCCAGTTGTTAGATAAACTAAGTTAGTCTAGAAATACCCGAAAATTGCCAGTCATTACAATCAAAACCCCTTAATGGCCAACACTTACATCGACTGCCTAATGCTATAGTGAACCGTATAAGCTAAAGAATCGCATGTCAATCCATAGTGCTTACAATCGCAAGAAGACTCGTGCGCGCCGCTATATGTAGTCCTCACACAGGCAGTTCAATTAGTCAAACACTTGCACAGCTCTCCAATGAGGTCACAATCGCACAAATTATGCTCAATTATAAGACTAAAAAAATAAACTAACCAGTTTTATTTGGCTGGTTTCGGCGAGCATGGAACTGACTCATGAGAAAACGCTTGTTATTTCATGTCTTTCAAATAGCAGACAAATTTATTGGTAATGATGCAATGTATATTGTAAACTTCACACATAATTTAGACTTTTTGATTAAATTTATAAGGGCGCAAGATCTTAACCCAATTTAATGGCAAATCTGTTAAGCATGTACTTAAATGAAAAACAAGTATGATGAATTGCTGTGCCGCAGCATTCCATGAAGTTGGAAGAAGGCACCGTGGTAAGACAAAACATATATTGCTGACGTACCGCTGAGTTGAAAGGTTATACAAAACTACAGTCTGCGGCGACTTAGGAGATCACGTAGTCGTACGCCGACTTAAACAAACTACTAAAGCCTTAGAAGGGCTCTCTTCTTTTGCGCGTATTCTTCGGTGGTTCTAATGGTCAACTCCCCATGACGATCATCACAGCGCTTTCGGTGCTGAAAAAAATACCTGCAAACCAACCACGAAAGTTATTAGATATGTGTGCTACTGAGAAGGTATTTGGTCTCAACGACATTGATGCATTTCAGCAATTCCACTAAATTCTAAGTTTGGTTATACTTGTGATCTCTGCTGCGGATGTGGGGATGGGTAGACCTCATGCTGCTTAAGACCTCACAAGTGCATCTCGTATGTCAGTCTTGAGTGTCTGATGTTCCATGCATAGTCCCCTCGCCACTTTGCTCACAGCTTAGCGTTGTTTAGCCCTCTGTGGAGAAGGTAACCCTAGTTCGCTCAACTAACAATTTCACACAGGCATTGTAGACAGCTTCATAATGAACTTTTGAACATAATTCAAGCCCTATAATTCTTCAGTTGTAAATAGCACCTCTAAAGAACATGAAATTAAGGCAAATGTCAGAGGGAGTCGCCATTTTTGACCTCTCTATCACATGTTTAGGTTCGTATTGCGCCATAAAAATCAGAGTACTTGTAACCTTGTATTGAGCTTGCTTGCTGCTACCAGTAATAATCCTCTCTGAGTCTTCCCTGAACACCCAGAAACTGCAGTCGTGTTACAGAATATCTACTGCTAATGTACAGAAAGGCTAAATGGCTGCCCGCATGGTACCTAACAAAAACACATTCTGCGGAGCCCAAGCAGTCAAAGCCAGATTTAAACGAACTGTGGAATCATTACGTAATATCGTTTTCGTTGAAACATCTATCCTTGCACGATAAAAATTGTATTGAAGATGACTAGAAATCTTTTTGAATAGCAACCAAATGTATACATTACTAAACAATTAGCGATGCACTCCACCACAGAATCGCTTTCATCTTTAACGAAATCCTGTATATTATGCCTATTAGAAATGTTTGGCAAAAGTTTCCTCCTCTGCGTCATTTAGTAATTTCTAACTGCCTTTTTAATTACGCTGACTTTTCTGTCTCTGCGATTTCTTTTTTTGTTTGAAGGCCTCTCTACCCTTTTGAGCACTAATAATAAGTCTCCTCCCGCACTGGTATTATCTACCTTAACCTCGAGAGGCGTAGAGGAGTCGCCATGTTGCCATCACCTAAGTTGTAGAAATCTCGTTTTACTACGCCCCTTCTGTTAATTGAAAGTACAGATTACACTAAACAAAGCTATACATTGCGTCTTGTTTATCAAACACCTCTAGATGGACGCTGATGCTAAACCTTCTCCTTCCCAAAGGGAATTCGGGCATATGAGAAGACCTTTAAAAGCGTCTCACCCAAATCACACTTTCACTAATGGAGGTTAGGAGTTTATGCTTGGAATGTTATGACCTGACGAAGTATTTTTTCATGCTAATAATACTGAGGCGAACGATTCGGGGTGTAGATAGCCCTGGTGAGATACTCCAGCATGAATGTAATTTGCTTATTAGTGCTAAAAAGTCTTATTTAAACAACAATCAAACGGAACACTTCATATTTACTGGTCAAATCACATGGATCTGCATCTTGAGAGCTGTCTATGTTAAGGCACCCACTTCTGGCTAGTGAGGGGTTTAAAAGTACTCCTTGTTTTGTGCAGCTGAACGTCCTACGCCTCGCACTTCAAAAATTGAAACTCTTGGATCCAATCCCGTATACATCGTCCTCACATCCCGCCTAAGTTATATAAAGTTATTTTCTAGACTAGAACTTCCATGCATACCGATGAGCAGTGTGACGTGACTTTGACACCAAAGTACTACCCCACCCGTCCATCGATCGCTCTGGCCGTTCAAGTGGGCACGATTCCAACCAGAGGAAAGTGGCGCTCATTTGGTGGATTAATGGCTCATTGTAAAATAAACAACAAAAGTGCCATTAACTTCTTTCCACCTACTTGACAACTTATTATGATATGAATTCACTAATAATTACCAAGCTTCATTTGCATTTAAAATTTGGGTTATACAATCACTAAGAGCGTCGTGAGCCTTTCCAGCCCCAGAAACCCTTCTTCTTCTTCCGCGCAAAATGTCGATATTTTTTCCTGTCGCGGTGTCAGCTACGCGGAAAACAACTTTTAAATTCCGGAAAATCAATACCTCAATCCAGAAAAACTTGGAGCAGCAGCTGACTCCAGACTGTAGGGAGTAGCCGCGGAAGCATGAACAATGATGTGCAGCTCTTCGCCAACCCCGAGGATCGATCTCACTGCAACGGTGCCCAGGAGGGCGTGGTGGCGCCACACGACTCCGCGAAGGCGGAACTTGCCTTCAACCTACCCAAGTACTATCCGGAGGATCACGAACTCACCAAGTGGATGATTAATCAAATGCGTCGGCGTAATGGACTGCACCATCTGGTTAATTTCGCTAACGCTCATCCCTTCATCCTCTCGGCACACTTCGAAGTACTCGACCAGCCTGATAAGTATGTCAGCACAAAGGAGGTTTCTTGTTTTTCCGCTTATTCGGCAAAAACTGTGCTGTTTTTGACGCCCCTTGCTATGGCAATATACTTTGGATGTAAATCAGTCATTAGGATTTTGTTGGATGACAGTGGAGCTCGTCTGCAGTCTCGTGCACGTAGCAACGTGGATATAAACGCTACTTGCTATGCCAAAAGATTTAAGCCAAAGCGTGACGTCTTTGGATTTGAGGATTATTTTACAACTTCCCCTGCTGTATTGGCCCTCAGACGGGAGTTCTACATAGGTTTGAATCTACTCACGGTCGCCGGTTTTAATCCCCACGACAGAATAAGATATGTGGATCATATTGCATCACCCAGTCAAAAAACCTACTGGACTACTGACCTTATGGAATACGCGCTTCGACTGATGATTACACGACCTGGATTTGACATAATTAGCCTCATGCAATATCTTACTTATCCTGGTCCCTCTGGTAAATGCTCATATGATGTTATGACGTATGATGCCTACGTGTACACCGATATGGGAAACAAGACGCCTGTGTGGTTTTCTCTTTTCAGACGTGTTTGTCGACGCGGAATCAGTCCAGCCTATGCAAACTCTGCCAACCGATTGATCGACGTGCTGGAAATTCTAGAAAAATCAGGCTTTTTTAAGCAGGATGTAATGCCACATGGACCTGTGGCTTACAATGTTGGACCAGGGCGCTGTACACTGAAACGCCATCAATTGCCACAGCGAGTTTCCTCATCCGATATTCGACTACTGCCACCCGCCGAGGCTGCTGAGGCAATGCGGGCGATCGCAGTCGATCGAGATGAATGTTTCGTATTCATGGTCATCTGGCTCAATAGATTGAGGAACCGATGTCTTACAAAGCCCTATCAACGACTCGCCAATATCCTACTTGCGAGTCTCGTTGATACACAGATGCTGGAGGATTTTATTGTTCCACCGGCACAAGTAGATCCTAAAGTAACGCTGTGGCCCCAATGGATGGAATTGGGAACTGGACTTGCTCAACAGGTACCCAATACTAATTGGAAGTCGTGTCAAGATGAAATAAATATTTTTAGTGACGATGTGTTCGATTCCTACGCTCTGGAACCACTGCAAGTTAATGAACTGCGTCTGGAACTGAAAAAGTTGGCATTTGTTCAAGGATTCTTGAATGAAAAAATTTGCGAAAAATTGAAAGTAGTAAAAAAGACGCCGATACCGACTAGTAATCTATCTCAAAAACTTGGTAGTACATCATTTTTTGCTGGAAAAGCACAAGCAAGAGCTATGACAGCGTTATTCTCCACTGAAACCCATCTTGTTTCTGACGAGGCCAAGCAAAGTGGCGACACCGGAGTTAATATATCAAATACCTTGTTACAGTCTCACTCAGTGGTCCCGCGACCTCGGAATGCTTCCTCTGAAGCCTTTAATCAGTATCCTTCGGAGGATCGGAGTGATTTGAAAGGCCACCATTCTAGGGCACCACGAGTTGTCAATCGATCAAACGCGAATAACAATGTTGTATCGCGACCAAAAACTACAATGCCAACACAGGATAAGAAACCGGTAACAAGACGAAGACCACGATCTGTGAAACCACCCAGTCCCAAACCGGTTCTGGTGGTGGTTAAACAAAAGAACGCCTCACTAACGGCCAAGGATTCTTCAACGTCAAACAACAAAAGAAAACCACGCCCGAGGTGGCGAATCTGAGACGCCTCGATTTATGACCGTCTGACTTGATTTTTATAACCTCTATATCGCTACTGAATTAATACATTATCTGCCAACTAAGAGGAAATTTTGCGTAAAATAACAAATCCGTCTTTTTTATTAAGGGAAAACCTTTTAGAGGTCTAGCTTTCAAGTCAAGAGACAAAGGTTTACCGAAATCTACAGAAATCTCCGTAGTCACCGGATGCCTGTGAACTTGAAACAAACCTTATCAAATCCCAACACTAATGGTCCTATTGAAGTGCTAATCTACATAAAAATGAAACATCATCTTTCCAAAAAATCTCTGTAATGCTTATACTACTTTATGTATATTTGGCAGCATTGTAAAAGATACAACTTTAAAGGAGCAATTGTGCTTGTTAAGTTGTATAGCTACCTCAGTTTCTTTAATGGAGCAGCTTGGAAGTAGAACTTAATGTGTGGGCACCTCTAGTAAAACTTAATTACTAGGAGCGAGAAGGAAATTCACAAAACCATCTAAAGTTGCTATGAGCACCAAAGGTTAATGGAACTGACTCCTGTGGACCACTGAAGCCTCGTGAGTCGGGATCGTCGTTTGGTGAAGTACAATCATCTTAGAGGCACTTATACCACTCAAGCATCCCACTGCTGAGTAGCTAAGGGTTCTATCCTCATGTTGTGCTTGAAGTCTTCTGTACAAGTAGATACACGTAAGTTTTACGCCTTAGTTGACAAGGCTGCCACTTTTACCTATCCTTTGGGTAAATGATGTATTGACTTGCCCCATCGTGGCATGTGGGCTGGCTGTTACAAGTTGTAACCTTTGTCGAAAGGTCATGTTGGAGTTAAGCGCCTCCTGTTTTTCAGAGAACACCTTATCAAACTTTACATTTGAAATGATAGATTTACATTTTTTGCAAATTTGTATATTTCGTTGCTACTTGCATCTTGTTTAAAAACCACTCAACCATATGCATGTACATAGACATGTAGGCAGTAGTTAAAAGCCGGCCGACAATTTGAACTCCTTTGTATTATTGATTGGAACAGAATAGGGAATCATGAATGCCACGGAACAACTTGTCCTAGAGGAGCTAAGGGCAATGAAAGAATTCCTATTTGCCATGGGTCTGAGCAACCCCGTGTGGGTCCTCCCGGTGCCGCTGGTCTGCGGTCTCTTCGCCTCGCAGATTCTATGGGCAGTCTACGTTCTGTGGCTAGAGCGGCCCATTGTTGTGAATCGAAGGCACATGAAGGAAGATGATGAGGAGGCCGAGGTTAGGGGTGGTGCAGGGGAAACAAAGAGGGAGGATGCAAAAGGTGGTGAACCGGGAACTCTCAGGACTAAGGAGAGGGAAGAATTGAAAGAGGATAGAAAGCATGAGAGCGATAATGAACAGAAGGTTTTGCCTACTCCGCTACGCTACGAGGTGCAGCCCTCAGTGGTTGTGGTCTCGAATTTCCCTCTTCCCCTGACGGACGCTCATTCCAGTTATTTAAATTCCTCGGTCAGCGAGCCTATGGAGCAGAGGAAATGCGAACAAAATCGTGTCAGCTTTGCCACTGCTAATAATAAAAAAGAGCAAAAAATCGAAAAGGTCTGAAAGGAGTTAGGATTGCCACGCTTGAAGTACTAAAACGTGGCTTGCTCCTTCAACCTAACGCATATTTCTTGTGGGATGCTAAGGTGCCGGTGTTTTGCAAATTCAAATACGCTTGTATGGTTCGATGAAGGAACACACCTACCACATACCACCGAGAAACTTTCATTTGCACCTATACTTTGGTGATCGACAAATTCTCGTTAAACCCCCAATCCCGGCGTGGCATGGAGAATTCATGAGGTTTACCATCATTATGATCTCAAACCTGAGGAAGTTACACTTTACATGGGGGGAGAATTCACATGAGTATCGATGACATGGGCTAAGAAATGCTAAGCCTTTATTTTAAGATTCCTAAAGGTGAAATTTATTTACATCGCAAAAGCAATTTGGCCTAGTGATAAGAAGGCGAAACGCCAGTGTCTTATGGAAAGGAGCGTCTAAGCTTATCTCGATAAAAAAACTGTTTAGTAGAGTGAGTCACATATCGAGGGCCGAGTCTTATTTCGCCTTTGGAATACATTCCCCTAGTCTCTCAAGTTACCAGACAAAAATATTTCCCACAACACACAGAAACAGCACTACGAAAGTAGAACTGGCTTCCTAAACCACTAATACGCTAAGGAACGGAAGTCTAAGTCAAATCCGCTGCACTAGTTTAGGCGCGAGGACCTGTTGCAAAAGAAGCACACACTCTGTTAACCTTCCCCAAGCCAGAACGAGGAACTTTTGCCCACATTACAAAAGATTGCCCCAATTGGTGGTGAAGCTTGTCCCGACAACCGATTGTGTCAAAAAAAAACCGAAAGACGTCAACCTCCTAGGGCCCAAGTATGCTTACGCCTCCATTAAAACAGCTTTGCTGTTTTATAGTATTACGTCTTTTTTTGTCATGATGTAAATGCGCATCTATCGAGACTACAGTCGTCAACAAATCCCATGTGTAAAGTCGTCACGTTTTCAGAGGATCTTGCCGAAAAGTACCACTTGTCCAACATGAAGTGTGCAGATTGCATGTACAGCCGGGTCCCATGGGGAATGATTTACGTTTAATTCTACCCTAGAGGTGGACGAAACTAACTAACTTGCAGAGAACTAGGATGTGTTAATAACAGGATGCGACGATGCATCACACAGGTGATTCACCTATGACTGAATTGATCCAATTGTGAACAAAAGACAGGTACTCTGGATACCGGTGATGTGAACAACCAGACACACTGTAGAATAATCAAAGGGAACAATCTCTTCTCAAAAGAGAGGCAACAAAATTAATAAAGCTGGTGAGCAACGGGAATGCTAAGGAAATATGACAAAAGTAGAATTAGGTGGGGAGAAAGGGAGGGCAAGGGAGGAGGAGGGGAGTTAATTTTTGGGCCCCTTGTTAGTCCAGTGGTAGGCGCTCCAGTACACGAAGCCCACACGACGCATCAATTCGTCCGCCTCTGGTGGCCCGTTTCGGCTGCGTACGAAAAAGATACCAAGAGGAGAGACGCTCAACCACCTTGCCATTCCACCTGTTGCACACGTGCCACCCCAACCGACATCTTACAGCAGCAGCGCGCGCGATACAGTGTTTCATTTCAAGTATAAACTTGTATTTCATACTTAAGTTATTTTCATGCGTTGGAATATGAAACACCTGAGCTCATTAACTCATATACGTTGGTGGATTCTAAATTGTGGTCTTTTAGTACACAAGATCACAACCGGAAGTGGGACTAAATCATTCCGATCAAAATCCATCTACAATAATAATAGTCTGAGAATTTAAATCCCAATTCATTTAAAATAACAAAGTGTACCATTCCATTTACGATACAACTTAAATATACAAAGCCATTAAAAGGAAGAAAGGATTTTGAACTGGGACAGTGTCTTTAGTTCAGATACAACGTAATTCCCACTTTTTGGCAAAAAAACCAGTTGATACGATTCCAAGTGCTCTGTTTTCAACTTATATGATACAGTAAAACGTTTTCCTATTTTGCCATGGGCACAATTTACCCTTGGTGGTGGTCATTTAAGGTCAAGCTGTTTATACGGGGAGAATGCATAAAGAGAAATAGTCCCATAAAAAAATCAAAACTTATTCTACAATTGAAGAAAAACCCTTATTACACCGCCACGAAATACCATTAAGTCGTCGTAGTACTGCCTAGTTAAGTAGACACTATAGTTAACATAAAACCAAGAGAAACTTGTACCGGAAAACAGACCAGTAGCAATAAATAAATCTAAATCGAAAGGAATTACTAGCAAATACCCGTGATTTATCTTCACAGCTAGGAGACAAACTAATAGTGCAGCAGTACGAGAGCCTTTCATTAGAAGGGAAGAGTGCAACATGCATATACATATCAAGATTGTTTAAAGGAAAAAATACAGCTGAAAGGAAAAACGTCAGTTAAATCCACATTTCCATCTAGACCTCAAATGCTTGTACTACTGAAACTGTTACAGTAGTTGTTTGAGTCAAATAAGTCAAAAAACAAGTTACTGACCCATCTGTCCTTCAAAATCCCTGATGGAGATTTCGTTTATACATCGCTTCTACCCAATACACCAATTTGACGTTAGTCGATGAAGAGGTCAATTTTCTCACCTGCCGTGTACGTAGGGGATTGGCTTAATTTTCTGCTTTTCCAACTCCTGCAAAGCAGGAGTGAAAATTCGCCAAGCTTCATCGAGTTCGTCAAATCGGACAAAATTGGTTTGCGAGCCCGAGAAGACGTCCAACAGGAGGCGCTCGTAGGCGTCCGGCAGCTTAAGATGCTTAAAAAGACTATGGGAAGTGAGTTTGAAAGGTTCAAAAGAATCCACACATCAGTCACGCACGATCTAGGGCAGAAGCAATCTATCAGTCCTTGGGGAATGGTGAAAAAGTTTGGTATGAAATTATGAATATCGAGAAGGACATCACAACCGTACTCTTGAAACAACTTCAAACTACTCGTAAAAAGTCAAACTAGTCATATAAGTATTTACCTGCATCCATCGCTATCAGGTAGGGGTATTCCTAGAACCCCGAGGATGTATAAGGCGGTTAAGTTTATAACTCAAAAGATAAAGGGGTTTCATTTCGACTAAATTGTTGGGAAGCCTCAAATAAGGGAGTAAATTAGTCTGATTTCAACATACCTCTTTGGTATGAAAAAAAGTTGCTTTAGGCGTGGTTGCAATTTTTTTGCGTTATATAGAATCGCAACCGGAGTAAATGTTTGGCTTTTGCGAGACAAATCCAGCCTATAAGTAGGTATTTTCCCATTCATTGGAACAGGATGTCAAGTTGTCTGCGCAGGCAGACGAATGTGCAGTAAATCCAACTTTACTCACAACTAAAACTATATGATGAAATCGGTGTAACTAAGTAGCGTCACAACGATAGATAATTACAAGGGCACAATTGCCGAGGAAAAGTAGATACAACGACCCCATCAAAAAAGCGAATAAATTTACCACTTCATCTTCCCTTTTTGTGTGATTGCAATTAGCACGAGGAATTGTGAAGCCCAGTTGATGCAACCTCTTAAGTACCACTCAATCCCAATTTTCAGTTGAGACCTCTCCGCTGGACGTCATAATGACCCTGTCAAATCGAAGACGACTCAAGAACGACTACAAATTAGTTGATACTTCCATGAGTTAACATTCCCAGCTGATAAATACTAGAAAAAGGTGTATGACAAAAAAGACCGGTTATTTTCCTATTAGAGAAACAAGGTTAGCTTAGTGCGAGTGCTCCAAATTTTTGTGGTGATAAAAATTCACCATTCGTAAGCAGAGCCATTCTATTTTTAGTTAAAAACTGCATGACCAGGTTTTAACTTGTCAAGGATGAATGGAAGCCTGGCAAAAATGTGAGAGCCAACGCAACATTCCATTTGAGTACATGAAAAGGTTTGCGCATCAGTAGAGTCTAGTTAACAATGACTACCGGGTAATCCTCGCTAACACTTGACAAAATAAACTGCAAAAGTACTGCAAACTTAAACAATGGATCTATATTATAGTTTCACTCGGTGTGAAACGAGTAAATCCTTCTAAACATTCCGAAAGTTAGAAAATCAGGGCACTATAAACAGTATTCTAAACACTAACACAGACGTGAATTCTTAACATGTTCACCTGCAGAGACTTGAATGAAGTCAACCGCCACAGCTAAGGCGTTTTGCTGCACGAATGATAAAACCAATTCTCAGGAACTTTTGAGAGATTTAAAGGATGAACAAAAACTAGAAAAAGGGTGTCACCATTCTCAAATCTAAGCCACTCTTCATCTTCGTCATCAATTTGGCGCAACGGGTTAGTGCAGACTGATAAAGGGCACAACACATGTGATGCTGGAAGGGAATGTGAAATTGGAAGGACCGATTTCATCATCAACTCAATTTTAACTTAAATTAGGAGAAAGAGGCTCCTGCAAACTCACCTCATATCGATGAGAGTAGGTGAGATCCAATTCTGTTTGTTCAGGAATTAAGTCCATGCCAGGCTGTTTGGTCATTAACTTCAAGTAGACCGCCTCACCAGGCTGCACACGGATTACAAGTTCATTGCGCGCAACCGAAACGTCCCCTTGGGCATCGGTGCCGAAAATGTCAAAGGCTATGTCCTTGAATTGGATCCTCACCTCTGCCTTGCGCTCATTCAGAGCTGGAATGCATATATTAAAAAAATGCTCATTCGTTAAAGTACTGGTTTGAGAGAGGATTCTTCGCAATTAGCTCAGGAAAATACCAGGCGCTTTGCGAACGTGAGCACGGTCGGAAAGCCTTGTAATGGCTGTGAAGATTAATCTGAAGTGCAGGCTTCGAGAGGGTACTTGCTGTTACCCAACTGATTTAATAAATTGTACAATGGATTTACATGACGCTTCTTTACGTCAAATTTTTGTGAGAAGGGAGCTAAACTACGCCTTATGCTTTGAAAATAACCAGTCTCAAACAACAGAACAAGCTCAATTTTACTAGATTTTAAGGCACCAATATCAGCTTTCAAAAAGGGCGTATTCTCCGCTTTTCAACGCTTCTAACCATAGTTTTAAAAGATTATTGGACCAATTTAGTACTTTTAGTTGCGTTCTCCGCCTCAAATCAATACACTTGAATAGGTCCAGTAACAAAGTACAAAAGTGGTAAGATGCCTTCTCGTGCATCTTAGGCCTTTGTTGAAACGGTGAAAAATACAACAGTTAATATGGCATAGACCCAATCGGTTACCTTTTCCTGCACGTAGAATGAAGGGAACACCATGCCAGCGATCATTTGAGATGTAGAGAACTGCACAGGCGTAAGTCGGTGTGATCGAATCTACAAGGCACCATGAGCAGTGGTTTAGTCTCTTCTTGTAGTGGATTGTCACAAAGCAAATAACAGCACATTTTAACGCAATTAGGAAACTTCTTTTCGTTTGTAATAATCAAAATAATGAATTTGGACAATCTATGTGTTTTTGAATTTCAAATATTGTGATCGTGCTGCTGAATGAGTAAACTTGCCACAGCAGCATAAATATTTGCTGATTTTTCCTTGACCGGATTAACTGTTTACATTATCCACAAGCTTTAGGTCAAATGCGTCAGTCCGACAATCGGCTTAGGCTGTCTGCTTTGTGATTTGGAATGATTAGGGTGTAAAATGTGGAACATTTATCACCTTTTATCTAGCACAAATACAGAAATACGCGATACATAAGGCGTAACTATTCTCAGAAATGGTGGATTGCTCAGCCGCACAAATCTACCTGGAAATACAAAGCTGAAAATTTGAAATCAGTCCCACAGGTGACATCGACTGGATTTGCGGAGTTAGATACGAGATAATTACCTTTAGGGACAGTGGGGTCGTCAAGATAGCCCCGCTTGCCCTCCTCATCTTCGGCGTCAGGGTTGCCGACGTACTGACCAACCACAAGATTGTCCAAAGTGAGGGGCTTAATGGAACGCAGAACCTTCACCTAAAATGCGGAACGCATGGATTTTAATCCGACGTGAGTAGCACTTCCAGTCAAAAGTCAACCTTCAATGAACAACTTTGAAGAAAGTCTGATACTCCTATGCGCAAAAAATAACGCATTTCTCAAGAGTTTAGCTTAACGAAAGTGGATTAGTGCTACTGCGACAAAGTAGTCAAATGGCTGAAACATTAATGATTCCCAAATGGAAAAGAATGACAATTGGGGAATTTCTTAACCTTTTCGCCGCGAATGTCTTCAGCACTCAGAGAAAGAGGCTTTTCCATGGCGAGGAGGGCAAGAACTTGGATGAGGTGATTCTGAAGTACGTCGCTAACAAAGGAGAAAGTCAGGTACACAAACTCATTAAATATTCTTATACCGTGGATTAAAGTGTATCAGAAAGGCTAGAGCAAAGCGTTAAGGCGGGGCTTTTTCAACAATGTTTATCTAAATACTTTCAAGGTGCTGCCTTTTCAAGGCATCCCAGTCCCATTAATAGCTTAGGAGCTTCAAAAGTGCGATACATAGCTATTTACATCCAATTTACCCAATGTCGTCATCGAGAGTCATGAAAAGGCTTACTTACTATGAATGTCTACGCAATACCAAATTTTTATAATGTTTCATCCTTCTATGGTTTCTAGATGTGTTCTTTATAATAGCAACAACCAGTTGTCAACAAATTGTTTAGCTAATGTCGCCAGTTCCTATCTGATTGAAATTATTGGAATATGTTGTTTACTAGTTTATCAGGTATCTGCTGATTGGATAGGTTGAGGTTGCCAGTGTCACCTTTAGCATGCTCAGCGTTAGTTATCCATTACTGAGACGTGTTTTGAAGGATTTCAGGCGGGAGTACGAAGACAAATGTCCAATTTCATCTGCACAACCCTGCATGCACTTGCGGACTACTTTGGAAGGATTTGTCACTGAAGTTACAGATTTGCTATATCTTTGAGAAATTCACCAAAATAAGTATGAAGCAAAGAAGGCAATTTGCTTGGATAAATCACTACCACGAGGGGGAGCCATGAAAGCAGAAAGGGAATTAGGGGAAAATAAGATGGGTTTCACAACTATACCACATTAGGGGGAGTTGAGAGAATACGTATTCGATCATTTTCCACGTAAAAGCATTCTCGTTGCCAGGATATGAGCCTTTCCAAAATAACATCGCCATTCAAATGTGTACAATGAGCGTAAACAGCTTTAACCATGGGCGACCGATCGGAGAAACAAAATAAAGTTAAAACAGAGCAAAAAAGCACGAGCCTCGTTTAAAATAAGGAAACAGTTTTAAGAGGACAGTTTACCGAATGACGCCGAAATCATCGAAATATCCACCGCGACCAGAGGTTCCAAAAGGTTCCTTGAAGGAGATCGTCACGTTGCTAATGTGATCACGGTTCCACAATGGGCTGAATATCATGTTTGCAAATCTAGAAGATTGAGAAAAAAACAAAACTTCAATGGGAAAGCAGGCGTTCAAATGTAAAAAATATGCTCAAAATTCCTGTGACGCCCAATCAACCTCAAGCACCTTGATGGACAAAAAGGTGTCATAAAGCACCACTTCTATTACAGCATTCAAAAATATTTTTTTGAATAAAAGGTAGATTTGAACAGATGATAAGGAAAAAAAGGGCTGATATTCATCCTGACAAACATCTATTTGTGGAAATATGAGCCAACCACATTTTCAGACTCTAGTCCAGCTGCCTATGAGTGGCATTGATCCACATTAGCTAAAATGCCAAACCCAGATTTTTCAAGACATTATGCTGTCTCAGGTATAATTTATTAAGTCTTAGACAAAGAGCACAAAATCAAGATGGCTAAAGCTGTATTCATTTTTTTTTCAATAGACAACAAGACAGATGAGTCAACCGGGAGGGACGCCAACCTAATGCTATTCTGTCGTAATCCACGGAAAGGACAAACCTTAGGATGAGTAAGTTTTGCACCATCTCCTTGCCCAGGTAGTGGTCAATACGAAAAATTTGCTGCTCTTGGAACAGGCCGGTCAGATGGGAGGAGAGCTTGCGTGCGGATTCCAAGTCTCGCCCGAAGGGCTTCTCAATGATTAAACGAGTCCAAACATCAGGGCTACAGATTCAGAAAATTGTACGAGGATTATGGCCAAGCGAATGATTTATACAACAGAGATCAGATGTCCAGTGCAGTTCTGCCTGCATACATAATTCCTCCGTACAAAGATTGCCTAATTTAAAAAGTTTTCCATGTATATCGCGCTAATGAGTAAACGCCTAGATAAGAAATTGTTTAAACGGTATCTACTGCATTTGGTGGGTGAAAGCCGAGCATTCAAATCATCAAAAGGTGCAAGAAATTCTTATTTTCATTAAAATTTCGCCCACTTCCACTGTTTCGAGTAACTGCAAAGTCGTACAGAGCGACAGTTCCCCAACAAAGAGCAAAGGAGTGAAGCCTAGTTAGTACATGAAGGGCGTTGCTGTCAAAGCAATTCTACCCCCAAAAGGCAATTTACAGACATTCAATAAGACCGATTTAGAGCTAGCAGTGGGTTCCCGCTAGAATACTTACCTGTAAAACGATAGACTTCAAGATCAACATAACTTAATTGTCATGTAGATACGATCGTACATTGAAGTTGCAAAAATTGAGGAAATTGCCCAGATTCCCTCCATAAATAACTAATAGTCATTTACCCAATGATTTGTTAAAGATGAAGCGTCTAACGTAACCAATTATCACTAAAAGTTTTCAGTGAATAAATAGGAAAAAAAAACGTACTACTGTGATACTTATCACTGAATGAGGTGAGTAAAACAGGTTCCAACAGCCGAAGAAACTATCATTTATGTTTTGATTTATTTAGGTCTTAAATAGACTGCACTAGTTTCGCACACGGGAATGTACCGACAAACCAATGTGGTGAATTGGGATACAACAGATCTAATATGCTTTGGACTGTTGAGCGCTGCAAAATGGGCTAAATGTGGCACCCAATAGTAAGGATCAGAGAGGTTTAAAATATTCCTAAGAATTTTCAGTTAAATAAGTGAGGAAATATCGTCATAAATAGGTAATTAGTAAAAAGGAGACATACTGTCGGCTTTTGCAGCATTTCGCCAAATGTGAGGATACAGACATGTAAGTTGAGGGCGGCAGGGCCAAATAGAAGATTCGGTTCACCAACTGACCATAGTTTGATACAATTGTTCTATCAAGTGCCTCGAAGTCCTTAGTCTCCGTGTAGCTGCCCCTTAAATACGTGTTGTCTTTCCAAAAACTGTTGAAACGATCCACCTCCTCTGTCTTGTTTTCATTCACCTATGAAACACAGGTATGCGATTTACAGGATTTGACACTGCTTACCTTCATGTATGGAGTCGACTTCTCCCTAATAGTATCAACAGTGATATCGGAACGAGCATAACCGATGAAAAAAGTTTTTTGGGGTAGAAGACGATCCCGGTAGAGCCACCACAATGTAGGGTAGATCTTCTTGCGCGCGAGATCGCCCGACGCGCCAAGGATCACGAAAACATGTGAGTGGACTTCGTCGCCATGGAAGCTAGATTTGATCAGATAGAGACACAATTTGTCCATCAGAAGGGCCAACCTGGGGAAACAGAGACAGATGCACTGAGATGACATTGACCCGGGGAAAGAACATCCCTTACACCGTAGGTAAATGTTATGGGAGGTTCCACCCCATCTACTGCATTAAATAGTCGTTTTCGCAGGGAAGGGTGTGGGAGGAATAAACAGACATGTGCATTATGGGCGTGGTTTTCTCTCAATAACTGATGTAACTTCCGATTATATATTGTTTAGGGTAACTAAAACCAGAACCTTAATAAGGAGGAAAATAAAATCGACATAGTCTTAAGTGATTTCCACACAAGCGCAACGCGCATTCAACAAAAGTAGGGGCGTTTCCACATATAGAGCTTTAAGAAGCAAAACTTCATTTAACTAAAAGCACACAAAAAAGTTACTGGTATTATGCCATAAAAGAGGTATCAAAGGATAAGATCAAGACAAAAGGAAGAAAAGGAAGTTACTTTCCAAATAAGACCAAGTACGAAAGATGCAAACCTCATAAGAACAACTCGTATGACATTGAGCTGATGGGCCGAATAAATTAAGGACAAGTAGACTAATTGTTCGGAAAAAAAACGAATTCCAAATACACATTAAGAGGAAATGTTTTAAGAATTGCTTAGCACGACTGGAGAAGAGTTAGCTCACCAGCGAACTATGTAACAAAGCCTTAAAGGTTGAAATTCACCAACTCATTAAGGAATAGCAATTTCATTGCTAAAAACCCGAGGGAACATTTCTTTAGTGGAAGTGGATGAATTGAGTTCAAATATATGGTTCCCCAAGATGGAGGAGAGCTATGACAATTACAATTAGGACAACGTAGAGATAAGTATAAGTGGCGAAAGGCCAACGCTTTTTGTTTCGCATTAAGACCCTAGAAATCTCGTTCAAATTGAAGCATAGGTTAGAGTGATTCCAAAGAGAATTATTAGCCGAAGTACAAATTGACCACAAAAAGGACAAATACAAATGTATATGTCAAATTTGCTTGTTCAAAAGATGCGAAAACACGCGTGTAACGCAAACACTAGGCAAAGAAGTGCATTAACACTAACACGCGGAAGAAGGGGAGCGCGAACACCCTCCAATCAGTAGTAGGTCGATGATATAATCTGGAAGAGAAAAACAATCTGAATGTTTCAGAATGATTATTGGTAATATTAAATAGGAGGTCGCTCTTTTAATTTGACTCTATTACTTTAATTGCAAGTCACGAATATGAGTTGTAACTCCCTCTACTATGATGAAACTACCTTAGACAAGTGCCGCATTAGTTTAATTTTCCTCCAATCATTACTGGCAAAATGGGTCTCCTTTAGTATCTAAAATAGATATGCGCCATGTTTGACTAATATTTTATGCCTTTTTTCCTACAAATGTGTAAGGGCAACTATGGATTCGTATTATAGTTTTAATTCGCTTAAAATACCCATCATGACAAAGTTTTCGGAATTAAAAGGGCACATATTTGCAGCTCCGGTATACATTTTTTATTTTGCTGATTGGGTTCCAGGAGGAGGTTATGCAACACAAATGAAATGAACAATTTATAGTGATAATGTTTGCATTTGTCAAGTGTCGAAAGCACACCCGCGACAGTTGATTACATTAGCATTATTGGATTCGGGTGCCTTAGGTCGTACATTTTCAATGCGAACTCGTAAGTTTTTATCTTCGTTACTACCCGTCATTCATTTTCTCCTCTGTCTTGCAACCGTTTTCATGCTCGACAAATTGGGGACCTTAAGTATATCCCTTTTTTGCTTTGGGTCCTTGGGGTATGTTTTTCTTTTTATTTCGCAGTTGTCGTCACTTCTCTTTATTTACCCGGGATGTTTACTAGTATTTCCTGGGCTTTAATGTGCATACGACCATTGGTGGTGCCAGAGGAACGTGTTCATGGGGTGAATTTAATCGTTTTTAGGGGGCCTGTTTTTTTCATGGAGGTTTTATTTGGTGTTTACGAACAGGCGCTGCACAGTTATATTCAGTTTACTATCTTAACTTGTCGTAAAGGTTCATCATTGCGACGATTAAGTCAACGAGGTCTTCCAAATATTTCTGATCTGATTGCTATCGGTTTACAACCAATTACGGTGGATGGTCGTCGATCATCTCCATTGAAGTCATCCGTCGCTTTGATGACTTCATTGCGGTCTAATTCAGGAGTCAGAGTCCGAAAGGGGGTTTTTGCGACCGCGTTGGAGAAAGAGAAGGCTCTTGAACCAGCTCCGAAAAAGAGGTATCAACGTATTCCCTATACGGATCAGGATGATTGGATCATTCTAAATTATATCATTACAAACGATCTTGTAAGGTAATTTGTTTTCAAACTGCCTGTTCTTCTCTTCTCTTGTTATTTTGCTTCGGATCTTTATTTAGAAGTGATTTTACTAATGTGCTTTCAATTACCACTGTTATGGCTGAGAAATTGCCTGGAATTCTTTTTTAACACCCCGATTTCTGATAGTATGCCGTTTTGGAAATGGTTTCTGAGATTATTTGCTATCTGTAGAGACTCTTGGTTTATGCACATAGGTAATACTTTATAATTTGGGCTGTTTTTAAACTCGGGCTAATGCGTTTGTCTTGCCTAGAAGTGTTGCATTGGTTAGCAATTGGTGGGTCTGCCCTGAATCTGGATTGGCTTTCCTAAACTGATGCCATTTCCCCCAGTAAGATCCGGAGCCATAGAACATGGATCCAACTAGAGACCGCTGGTGTGACCCTCCATTCTGCAGAGTCGATGCGTAGTCGTTTCATGCACAGTATCATCCACCATCTCGAAGAGGTACTGCATTCCACTTCGGAGGGGAGGCGCAAGTACGGCAATGCAAGCTTCGTAAATGGGCTCTACCGAATGTTTGCCAACGAGTCGAAGAGTCTGCAGCAGTCTGATACTCCCACTAGTGACAAGGAGTCGCCTGTCGTTTTATCTGATCTCTCTTATTTCACAAGTGATAATTCGGTGCATGATGGTGATCCGAATAGTTGTAAGTCATGAAAGTATAAGCTTCTTTTTCAAACCACGTAGCTCATGGCCTGATTAGACTTTTTGAAAGTAACTAAGTGGATTAGATTGTTGAATAGAAGTCGGAAGCTACTGAGAATCTAGTGTTTATCTGAATCTGCTAGCGTTCATATGAGGTAGACGGTTTGGCTGTGTTATTAAAATGATTATTTCCGATTCGTTGGCTCGTCTAAATCTTCAGAAGCACAGAAAGTCCTCACGAAGAATTCCTAGTTTTGAAGACGATGTGTCCTTACCCGTGGATGCCTCACTTTTATCTTGTTGATCTCTACTGTTACAGTTGATTGATTCGCCGCAAAAATATCACATTTTGTATTCGGCGTAGCTAGTTTTTCCCGCTTCCATTTCGTTGACTTTTTCGAAATGACCTTCGTATTTGATGTTGTTCTAGTTGCATCTCCAAGCCTTGCCCAACCACCTCTTAATGAGCAGTTCAGGTTGGTCGATTATGAGGATACGCAGTCCCAGCGGAGTGAAGAGAATCAGGGTAACGCGTCTCCTGAACTGTCCTCCAATCCAAATTCGCTTCAAAAAACCCTCACTGAACACAACCCTTCTGCGCGTCTCGATCGGCGTCTCTCATTGCGTTTGAATAATGGCCTCACGCGGGCCAGAAATCTTCGTTCCAGACGTATTTTCTCCAGGCCTCAAATCACCTCTACAAGAGTTTTGCGTTCTTCAGTTAATAATGTCCATGCACTAATTAGTGTGGATCCTCCTGCTACAGCAACATATGATCAGTCTGCGCAAGCACTACCCGAATCACTAAGGCCTTCTACAAAGCGAAAGTCAGATGGCATCTCAAGCGGTTCGGATAACGGAAGCGTAACGATTTTGAGTGATGAGACAAAAGGTCTGCATAAAGCAACGCTTGAAGAGTCTTATTTGGCTAAACCCTCAAAACAAATGGCTACCCGAGCTGTGAAAAAAAATACGATAGTATCGCGTTTCACGGATAATATTCAACAAGAGTCTGGGGAAGGGGATTATGGTTCAACTTTCACCAAAGCAGTTCGATCCGTGAGACCAGTTACTGGATCACCTAACTCTCTCGTGAATAATCATTCTGCTTCATTTGCTAGTGATGGTTCCGAAAGGCGATCGGAACGTGTGCTTCGTAGCAGCTTTGAAGCAGTTGACTTGGACTCCGTTCAATCGTCCTCTAGGGAAGTTGATTTCGACTCCAGTAAATTGTTAGATGGAATTCCTCTTAACGTTGAAATTATTCCGGATACCCTCTCAGCGAATAGTTTGGATCGTTTAGCAAATACTCGTGAGAGTCAGGGTCACTCTGACACATCAAGTTCTGCCTTCCTGAGAACTGGCAAACTTAATAATACCCCGCCAAAAGTGAGTGGCCCTCTTTTTTAGAAATGTTTTTTTTTTTGCCTTTTGCACAATTAATAATACAGTTTAATTGTCCTTTGGTTATTTGAAAGCTCTTATTACCTTTTTTTGTGGAGTTTCAATTGTTATCCCGACTTCTTCCTTGTTGTACATTTTGTATGTTGCATGAGTCGGAACATTGATCTTGATTCCATAGTTTGCCCTAGAAGTTACACTTGTATTTGATGAGATTTGCAAGTCGGAAAAATGTGTCGTAAATATAGCGTTTTCCTTCAAATTATTGGCATCTTTAGCATTCACTGGTTTGTTACTCAGAGCTTTGCTATACAGTTTTGAATTCAACCACAGTTATCATGTAGTCGAGATTTGAACAAGCCTAAAGTCGAAATAATTCGGCACTCAAGTACTCCAATTTACCCCAAATTGACGATTGTCTTATAAGTTGATTTCGTAAATTGGGGCTTGAAATTGCAATGTACCCGTAAATTTGTCAATACTGTTGGGCCTAGTTGATATTTGTACCCTAGTAACGCATTGTATTACTTGATTGCACCTTCAGAGCCAATATTTCTCTGTTTCGATATTGTGGACAAATTAATTAAAAGTAGCTTGAAATCCTCAATGATTGTGTGTTGGAAGCAGCATAGTGCCCATTAGTCTGACAAAAATGAGTAAATGTTCAAAATTGGAGAAACTAAGTTAAGTTTGCCCCAAAAAGTCATTTGCATTTATTAACTATTTCCCATAACTTATTCCCAACTTTTCGACATCCATAATCTATGCCATGATGATATCATCGTGTTTTAAGTTGCAATTTATACAATCAATATCATTTTCTTCAAAAATTCCGTTTCTTTACTCTGAAAAGAGTGGGTACGGAAGTGTTTCTAATATCGTATACTTTTTCACTCAGTTTCCACTCATGCAGCCAAGCCCGAGAGTCGACATACATGAAATCCTCTCCCGAGTAGCCAAATTCACTCGCCAACTTGACTCCTTCGCCCGCCGACACCGTCTCTCCTCCACCAATGCGGCCCTCCTTCTCCACGTTACTAGCGGTGACGTCGAGGCTGCTGATCGTGTGCTAACCGGAGCCAGTGCTAGTGCCGACAATAGCCCTTCCCTTTGGTTTCCTTCTGACGATGCCCGCCTTCTCTCCTTTTCCTCCACCGATCTTCATGCGGTATACCATAAATTTGGACCGAAAGAGGTCTCTAGACGCCTCGTGTACCTCGCTGACCAGTCCCTCTTTTCCTCCTCTCCCTCCTCCCTATCCTAATCACTTCCAGGTTCTTATTTATATGTAAAAAACTATAATTTTGTTGTTCGTGCTTGAAATTGTAATATGAATAAAGCACTCGATACTTTGGCACCTATTTTCGATACTATGATTTTATAATTCTCAACTAAGGTGTTATCCTGTTTATGCAGCGATGCCCTATGGAAGACCGGTATCACGCCGGCGTCGCAGAAGGTTTCAAGGAACAGATCCAGCGTCAGTAATGGTGGCGGCGAAGCGCGAGACCAGTAAAACGGCTCCTCGCGCCTCAACAGGGTCGGAAACCTCCGCTTCGCCCCACGATGCTCATCGCCACCATCACCGACAGAGGGCGGTTTCATCGGCAACGATGGTGCCGGTAGCAGTGCCTTCGCCCGAACTGCTGCGCGCTGGCCACAAGGCGGGGGTGTGGCCACTGCGTGAACGCCTCATTCTTGCCTCCGCCCTTCTCGATACCGACAATCAACAGCTCACCTGGCCGCCCATCTCTCGACGTCTGGCCAAATTCACTCCACCCGCCAGCTGCGGATTTGTCCGACCTCCAACTTGGTGTTCAGCCAGGGCTTGTGCTAAGCAGTACTCCCTCCTGTTGGATTCGGCTGAGATGTTTAGAAAACAACAGGTGTGTAAACGTATTTTTCCCCCCCACTATTTGCATGCTATTTGTCACATAAACACTGGTAATTCCATTAAAGTATTCATCAACCGAAATCTCCCTTTCATTACTTATGTTCGATGTGACTGTCTCGGCTTCCATGATTCTTGCTTCCGTACAATACAAATAACAATTCTGAGTCTACTCAAACTACTCAGTGGAATGGCCTATGCTGAAGCATTACTAAATTTTGACGCAGATTAAGGTGTAGGATGGTATCGTTTGCTTGATCTAGAGATGATGGTTTATTTAAGCTGTGTCATAAATGGAATTTTTTATGTTCCGATCTAACTGGCCTTCGATTACGTGCTGCCTGTGTATGGCTGTTCCACATAGCTTTAAACATTTTCGCGGTGAGGCTGTTACTAAGATGGTTCAATGCTACCCTTGCAATGCTAAATATTCCACCCGAGTAACTAATTGGCTGTTAGACTACCTGTCATTTCTTAATGCAGAATATATCTTATTTGATGAGCTTCGACGTTGGTTTCAACTTGCTTTACACCGTTTATTGGAGTGTTCCTAAAAACGTCTATTTCTATCAAAATAACAAACGCTCTTTCGATTGCAACTGGGTCCTAGTTATTGAAGGAATTCAATTAATTTAACTTTGCGTCCAGGTAGAAAGAGCGGACAGACGATGCGCACGACTGCGCATAGAAGCAACTGAAAGCGTTTTGGTAAAAAGCTAAGCCTTAAACCGTTATAAAATTCGACATGCCTTAAAGCTACTTCGTAAAACTTTTTGGAACCCGTAATCAACTCATGATGGGTGGCACAGCACTAAAAACGCATCGGCTAAGGCAATGTGTTAAAATTCTAACCGATCATTTACGAGTAAATGAACCAAAGTCATATGAACGACATGCTTAAATCATTATTAGTAGTTTCATCCACTTATGTGCGGTTTTTAGGTGGATGTGGAGAGGAGCGCGGAAGAGGGTCGGGTAGTGTTCCAGGCGCCAAGCGACGTAGCTGCCGCCACCGCCACTGTTGGTTTGAGTCTCGCCGAGTTCATTGTTAAACGCCTCACCGTGGAACGTGTTGAGGAGCTGCGCAGTCAGATTATCTCTGCTCGCCAGAAGTACAGGTATCTCCACTCCTCCTCTCCTCAATTCTTCCCCGCTTTTTGAATGCCGTCTACATAGATTTCGCCTGCTTGGGTGGTGGTGTTGTAGCGCCTTAGTCTTGTAGACTGCGTCAACCATGGGACAGGAACGAAAATGTATTACTTTCCAACATGGCTAGGCGAATTACGTGTTCAGCGAGTCTCAGTTTTTAACTGCATTGTAGGGAATGGATGATGTTTCACATCCCAATTGCTTTTATGGAAGTATTTGCATAGAACCAATTTGCATTAAATAGACACCGTACGAAGTACCTTCATAGGGTCACATTCTCTCAAGCGTTTCTTTACTTCTCAGCTGTACATTTGGGTGATTCTATACTTGCTACATTGGAATGTATCGAGTCAATTTTGGGGGCGATTTTCAAAGACTTTGTTTTCCTTAAATCATATTTAGCTCAATTACCGGCCATTATGCTGGATTTGTTATTGGCATGTTCACCGAAAATCGGTCCGGTTTCAATGCCCTCTTCGCTGTGGATCTCTGGAGACTTAATATCCAGTGCCGAACTTCTTCCTGTGACATTTAGGTGCAGTGTCTATAGAAATTGGGTTTTTTATTTGTGTGGAGCGGATTCAATCATTACTACCTCCTATGCAGCATCAGGGTTATCCTCGTAGGCGCTCTAAGGACCACTGTCAATAAATTGCTTCATTGTCAATGAGCAAAAATCCCAAAAGCCTGATAACATCCAATCAGCCTAATTGTTAAATCACCGGGTTACAAAAAACCTGTTTATTCTAATATAATATCAAATGTCTCCTCAGTCTAGTGGGCTGCTACTCAGCAGGTGGTGTGAACATGCCTGCTATCAGATGCATCTAGGACTTTTGTTTCATACCCAGGAGGCCTAGTGCAGCGGTATACCGGCTTTATTAAACAAATCAAAACGTTTATCCTCTTTGGCAGGCTCTAAAAGTGTTTGCAATTGCCTTATCGTGCTTGTTTATGGATACTTTGCCTTTCTCCATGCAACTGTTCTAGCATTTCGACCTCGAGCTGTTGTCGAACTTATCACTAAGATGGATGTTTGGACTACTAGCTAATGAGATAATAATCACAGTTGTCTATCACTTTACGGCTTCTGGTAGGTTGTTTGTTAACTAATAATATAGCTATGCCTTTGTAGGGTCTCCAGCTAAATGAATCAGGTGGAAATATCACTCGAGAAATACACAAGTTACACATACCATGTCAAGAGGTCTTCACGTGGAAACACAAAAAATTATTTTAAAGGCAAAAACATTACGGAAATGGCAGATGTTTTGGCAGTCTTGAATAAAGTTTTCCAGCCTATTGGTTAATTTTGCTCAAATACGTTTATGCTTCTTCCCAAAAGCACTGAATGGGAAATTGTGCATTAGTCACGTTCAACGAGTCATGTTGATAATAAATAGGGCCGCTGTAACAGCAAAATCATCACGTTTGATTGGATGGAATTAACCTTGTTGATCCATTGTGATTGTATTTTCATTGCATGACAATAGGGGATTTAATTAAATTACAAAATTTTTATTCAAGGCTGTTGGTCTGTTAATGATTTAGGTTTGAAAAATTCCTTTATTTGTAAATTGCATTTCACAAAAGCATTTCGTTGACAGCCAATTGGTTAATGAATATTCTATTTAAGAATGGCTGTGTGCGTAGCTACGATCAACGGAGTACTAGGCCAAGTACTCTTACCTTTAGGCTCTTCAAAGAGATGCTGGCAAAGGTGGAGAGCGGTGAGCTTGATAACTGTATGGACATCCTCTGGGCCAACATTCAATGCCAACACGAGGACCATTCCACTTCTGGGTCTGCTGAGCTCGCCGTGGACACACCGCCTGAGGTTGCGGAATTCGTTCGCGAACTGAACAGCTGGACGGACCCGTTCGACGTCCCTTACTCTGTATGGACGGTTTCTGGAGGCAGCGGCGCCGCTCTCCGCAGTGTACCCTCCATCGCCAAGGTCACCACTCCGAAGAAAATGCCTCCAGTTGCCAACAAACCGAAGTCGCCTCCAGAGAGAAGGCCCAGTGATTCCAGTCGAAGTATATTGAACTATATCTTCTGTAAACTTTGAAAAGACTGTATTGCTACGCAATATTGATTCATGAACTTTTTCAGCATCGATATGTCGTAAGTTGGCCAATTCTAGGACTTGATGTAAAGTAGTTTTCTTTATCATACCTAGATATTCCAAAAATGAGCCTGGGATTTTCATTCTGGACTCAAGTTGTTTTTGTCCATATGTATTGCAAGACACCCTACTTTAGATACCTGTGATGTAAACCCAATAAGAATATCTTGAACATTAATGTTATTTTGCATAGGTACATTTTGGTTACTTTATGTTCAATTTCCCATCCTGGAATAGCAAAGCACTTTCCCCTAGGTGTGCATGTGCGATACTACTTCAAGTATTTCTCATATTTTTCGCCGCAATTAATCGATGTCATAGGAGATGGAAATGTTATTCCCTTAGACTCAACCGCGGAGGCCGCTGAAGGCGAAGGAGAATGTGATGCAAGCGGTGAGAGAACTTCTACACCTTCGACAAGTGTCATGTCAGAGTCCGATCTGGATTATGGTGAGGACGCGTTGAAAGCGGAAAGTATCGATTCTGGCAGGCTGGAGGAGAAGGAGGAAGAGGAGTCAACAATACCTCTTTCCTCTCGTGGTGGCAGTCCCAAAACACAACCTAAGGTCACGAATTCCCCAGATTTTCAGTAAGTTCAGTACTCTGAGTCCTTTCGCTGATGACGAATTAGGTTCTATAACGAATTTGCTCTAAAGTGTTGTGAGACGATTAAAACCTTCACTCTAAGCCGCATATTACCTGTAATTTCCCCGATTTTCTCACCCAAGTCCTCACATACACGTGATGCGTGTTCCTTACTACATTATGGTAACTACCCGCGCGAATTCTTTTCACAGGTAGATTGCTTTCAAACCAATGAAGTGATTATTTTTGTTCGAGGGTAATTACATGTTAACTTTGCAAAGCATTTGAATTTATCAAAACTGGACGATAAGTGGTGTCTTGATTTTTTTTAAACGTTGCATAAGTCAGCTCCACCCACTTTTCGTTAGCATGGATCAGAAAGTATCATTCTTTTAGTAACCAGAAACCTCCAACGCAACGGAACAGTCATATTTAGCTTCTTGCAACATTATGCGTAATTTAGACTTGGACAGCTGATATTATCATTAGTATGACCCAAAATTGCAGCCGCAGAAGGCTTGAAACTTGATATTAAAAGTTGAAGTCCAATTGTCACTTCGTATACCAGCATTATGCCGGTAGTTTGGCTCAAGCTACATGTATTGGCACCAGACCCAGTACACCTTAGACCCATTTAATGACCTTGGTTTTGTTTTTGCAAAACAAATAATCGTAACCACCTAACGTAATTTTGAAAGGCTGGGTTTTTTAGTTCATTCGGCTCGATAAAACAATCACCTTGGCAGCTATGATCTTTGGTGATGTATACATCGTTATCACATGGCTATCATAAGAAAAGAAAGTTTGAAAAACCTCTTTTTTCCTTAGCAGTGACTTACTCTTTTTTAATGAGATACAGTAGATGATTGAATGCATGCAGTCAAAACACATAGGTCGAATCGCCAGTGATAATTTATGCACAATATCGGGGATTTTAGGTTTTGATTAAATTTGCTTAGTCTTTACTGAATGAAGGTGCTATAGTTTCGCGTTGGTAATTAGAACCCCAAAAGTGAAATTCTCTGACACAGGACGACTGACATATGGAGGCGAGTTACCGTATTGTTTTTCCACTTATCCTCAGGACGTTAACAAGAATACAGAAATCATAACAAGATCGCTTCTTTTCATTCAAATGTTGATCAAAACTGTTTACTAGGTCCATGAAGTTTATTACTAATGTGTAACATCGTTTAGTATTTTTAAGGATCGAAAACTTAATGACCGTCATTGGTCTCTGTAACTTCACATCACATACAATGAAATCCCAAGTTATTGGTCGTGTTGCATTTTAAAGTCAATTTTATCAAATATTTAACTTTTCTTTACATTTCTTGATGGATCGTGCTAATGTGTGATGCGTATCTTGCAGTCATGAGGAAGCTTTTAAACTACCTTATGTCATGCCTTTAAACCCCTTTTCGACTTCCCATAATTTGACTCCGTTTTTAGTCTAAAGAAATTTAAGTTCAGAACCATTTGCTGAAGGTGTGTCGATCGCAATTGTGCTATTAGCTATTGATACATGGGAATGTCAAATTTCGCTAATTGGTCACTTGTTTGTTTATTCCCCAAATCAAGGTCTTCCCCCACCGCTGCCCTCTCTCCACCACGTCTTGATGAAGAGATGTCGGAGGAGTGGAAAGAACCGAAGGCAGAAGGCGACATTCAAGAGGAAGAGAACATTCAGGAGGAAGAGAAAAAGAGAGAGGCGGAAAAAGAGGGTTCCTTCCAACCACGTAGCCTCCGTTTGCGTCTTAGTCGTCAGGATGATGGAAATCTCTCTGTGGTACCTGAGACCACTTCTTCTTCCGCCGCTGTTGCCCCTACTCCTCCCACCTCGCCTCTGCGTTTGCGTCTCTCTCTTGTTCCCCCCAAGGTGATGAAGGATCAGTGGTCTGCGGAAATTCTTGAGGAGGCCTTTCCCGACATAAAAATTGAGCAGTTTCACTCACCTCGGAAGAGATTACGCTCTTCTGGGTAGGTAACAACTTTCTTCCTTCGTCTGCTTTGCATCGTTGCAAACGAAACCCATCTCGGTTCATGCCTCTTCGGTTATACACAGTAGGACGATAATTTACTGTGGCGATTTCATTGGAGTAATGAAAGACGTGATCGTTGTAGTAGAGGGGAATGTCTTAACTGATTTTGGTGTTTACAAGATCATACGGTATCATGCAGAAATGCAAAACGTGGTAGTGGCAACAGAGTGGTTTTTAACGCGACTGATTTAAATGATGTTTATCATTACCTCGAAGGAGCGAGTTGGTGACAATCCTTGCGAAAACCCATAAAATGTGAGATATCATAGAGGATCACGAAGGATGCCTACCGTTGATTACTCTAACAATTGGTGTGCATTAGAGAGACTTTTGAAAGCATACCAGTGTTTTGTCTTCAAATCAGTAGAGTGACCTTTTTTATTTAGATGCAAAAATTTACCTGCATTCTCAGGCTAACGTGAATGGGGAGAAGTTTTTTCAATTGTCACAGACAGGTTCACTTATTTGCTTAAACAACTTATAGGAAGTTAGGTATCCGCTAACGAATTCGTCTCTTTAATGTCATGCATTGTAATGGCTTAGTTTTGTTTGAATTAGCTGATTGTGATGCTTTTCGGACATGATTAATGCAAATGACCTTTTGCCTTATTATTTGCCTGTCATGTATTGCGATTTATGAATTCAGTGGTCTACCTAGAAACGCTAATTGCTGTAAGGGAAGGGTTCGAAGAATTTGATTCGGATTCATGACTGCTCTTGACTAGGGTTAGGAGTGGGCTAGAATTCCTTTCCCAGCCACTTTACTTGATCGCACTTTGAAAAGTATTATTTAACAATGAAGACATTTTTGGAGAGGGATGTGAACCTAGGGAAGGGAGTTCTAGTAAACATGCGTGAAACCGATAAACTGTTATTCAAACGATCCGCAACATCCTCATCGAAATTGCTTGCTGGTTTGAATAGATCAGGTATCTACTGACAAACATTTGGCCTTCTTTTCTGATGTACCGCTGCGTAATGATTTCAAAGTTTAATGTCTCTCCTTTTAGTCGTATAACTGACACTGATTTGTACGAGGCAACCAAGTCGATTCTCACCGCAGCCGAGAAGAGGACGTGCGCAGTGGCGAGCGGCGAGAAATTGACGCAGCGCAAGAAGGTTTTTGTGCATTCAGTGCTCTCCCAACTCGCGGGAGCCGTCTACACCACCCCTGCATCCTCACTGCAACAGGACGGCGTCGTCATCTCGGTAGATGTGGCCAGAGCGGTGTACGCTCGTATTACCTCCATCCTGCAGCGTTTTGTGAGTACACAAAATTCCAGTGTTTTCAACTAGAAGTAGATTTGGATTTATTAAAAAGTGCTCACTCGAAATCAAGACGTTGATTTAATCATCGCACTGCCCGGGAGTCTTGTATAATCATGTTAACGCTAAGTTTTCGCGTCGGATGTTTGATTGAAGAGGAGGGACACTAATTGACTTCCAGTTGGATTCGAAAGACTTGGAGTCGGTGGTATCGTCGAATAAGGATTCCATAAACTGTTCTCTACTTGCATTGATAAGTCTTTCGTCCCATTTTTGAGTAACTCCACGCCTCGTATGAATGGATTAAATATTTCAACTTCTTAGTTTTTATTTGTCAAGCTTATGTGCAAAGCCTTTTCTTTAAAGAATTGAAAAGCGTGAAATAAATCTTATTTTAACTTTTCCTTGTAGTTGATGCAAATTTATTGGTCACTTCTGGAACAATTTAGACATGTCCGAGTGCTTCAACCATTTGTAGAATTTTTAAACAAAACCCCCTTGGACACTGGTATTCTAATCATTTACAACTTTCTTGCAAAATTGCCCATTTTTTCATAGATTAGTGGTTTCTATCTTTTAAGCGTGTTGGAAGGAAGATGCTCTTTTCGACCAAAAGGTTATTTATTTCGCTGTGATCTTCATTATTTTCGGTTTTTTTTCAGGCTGTGGACTGTGCAGCAGCCATTTTTTCTCAAACTAGATGTTTGGAGCCACGGCTACCCTCTTTTTCGTCAAGTTATCAGCGGAACAGACTGTCATTTCAGAACAAATTCACGATTTCACAAAATTAGTTTTCTTTTTTCGAATTCTTAATGCTAGCCTCGGGCAAAGTGCTGCCAATTACAGCCAGAATGCGGCATTTTCTTCCCTGGCATTTTCTGTTTCCATAGCGATGGAGTCTACCTTTATGCCTCTGCACAAAATTACCATCGGGCGGTTTAGCTATGAAATAAATTCCCCTCCTCTCATGAAGTAACAACTAGCTGAAACTAACGTTTCACCACACGTATTGTCCTTGTTCCAGGGGATGCTGTTTGAGTACCTTTACATTTTGAGGAAAGAGCGTTCCTCACTTGCACCAAGTATTTTGTAAATTCCCTTTTAACAAACACTTATTAATCCCCAATTTCTACTTTTTTTTAATAGTGGGAGCTCCGTTTTCTAACATAATCCTTGCAGGATCGACCGTCGCATTTTGCATCTATCCCATACTATCTTGCACCCTTAAAGACGGAGTTACTTTTATTTGTTCTGCTTTTCTTTTAGACCATTGAATCCTCGTTAAAAATTGAACAAAGCACAAAAAGCGGAAGTAGAAGATCCTCCAGGAAGAAATAGTTTAATCACCAATTCCACCTTATTTGTATTTGTAAATTTGGGCCAGAGAATACATCCTTCACCCATGTGTGCACGGTTTATGTTTGCATGTCATATTCTTCCGCTCTCACGTACCTGCTGACGAATCATTTGCCTCACTGAGAGCACTCAACGAACGTCAGTGTGCGACCATGACTCCGTAGACAGCCTGCCTCAATAAACGGGTACCAGTCCGTACATTTACCTAGATTCATAATGATATCAGAACACATTGAAGACAGCTGACAAAGTGGGGAGCTCGCCTCTCACCTACCTACCCCCCTCCCCCTCCGTGACTCATAATCACTCAAAAAGAGCGACTCTGCGAACAAAAAGCTTTTGACTGCGTTTTTATTATTCAGAGACCCACATCTGCTTGTGTGCCAGTGGTGATGAAAATAGCTGTTGAACACAATGTTTGGCTTCGTATTTTTACGTACGTGAGAATGGGTGAAGATGCAGGCAAGGCCAAGAGAGATCACAAATTGACAAATTTGTCCTGTTTTGGTTTGGAAACAGTCTCGGCCTCGGAATGCTGCACTGCCGGTGGGTGCTCCAAGTTCGGTGGAGGTTGGCTGAGCGCTACGGAACCGTTGGACAATTGAGTAGTGACCTAGGGGAGAAGCAAGAGGGATATCAGAGAGGAGGGTCTTTGAATGGTTGATCACTGATGTCGATATACTTATAGACAAAGACCACAAAGACGTCACGGTCGAATTTGTCCAAACAGGAATGTCGCTCTTGGGAAGAATTGGGGTTTTGTGATCCAAACAGTTCATGTATTTCAATCATTCCGTTAAAGATTAAGAACAAAGAAGTATTCTAAGGAGGCTAAAAGACATCGACTTAATCAATTCCCACCAGAGAATATGCAGAATCTTCTATATGAATGGCTCCTTTCGTGAAAGCGGAACGTTTATGATACTACACAACGATACAGCGCATGTGGACCTTCAAAAGTACACTTCTGAAAGAAATAAGCGAAATGGAAAATGAACAACAAGACTTAGCGCCTCGGATTATTTGGTTGGTGAGGATAAGGAATTCATATTTCTCTGATTATCTCTAAGTGCTAGGTCGTCAAAAGTGCGTTTGATTCACCTACAACAGCTTCTTATAGTGTAGATACTCTAGCATCACGTGAGGCAACCATAGTACAAAGGGCCTACCTATGTCTGAATCAAAACGCGCCCTCGATTATGATACAACGGATACGGCTTTCCCAAGTCTATGTGCATTTAGATGGAAAAATTCCACTCTTCGATAATGAAACAAAAAAGAGCCGAGAATGAGTCCTTCACCCACAGATGTAGGGTCTTTGAAAAGAAAAACATCGGAGGCATGAAATGGTCTCGTTTTTCAATTCCACGAAGTAAATGGGAGTGGTTAGGCGTCCATAGTGCTTGAGTTGAGACGTGAGCCAGCTAATGAAAGCACACACAAGAAGAAAATATGGATTGAAATGAAAATGCGTGTTAGAGAGGCGATCAACAAAACCCAAGTTCAATTGTGCGTAGGGTTAATCTGAGCGTCCTCAAGGGCGGTGGTGGTGAATGCCGATGGGGTGGGTACATGTGCCTACGTTAGCCTTACTTGTGCGTCGCTCCGAAGGGCAATGGGGTTGGCTGTCAGGGAGCTGTAGACGGGATACGGCTGCCCACCCTGCAATATCCTCACCAGACTCTGGTGTACCGCGCTCCGCTCCTACACGTATATGAAGGCACAAAATCCGCGGTAGAACACAATCTAGGATATCAAGGCCTCTGGCACCTGACACTTCGTGTTGAAGTGGGACTATGGAATGCATAGTCTTCCGCTTAGCGGTTTCATGACGCATAAACTAGAAGACACTATCATTTGTGGATGCTTTAACAGCAATCATAGCAACTGAAAGAAGCTTTCGCCTATAAAAATTTACTCAAAATAGCAATGTTCCAGATTCTTCTTTCGTGCGGCGGATGTCGAGTAACAATTCAGAAAAGTTAAGTGTTGCTTTCACTCAAATATAACTACTTCATTAAAACTTCGGTGTGGTAATGATGTGTGAACTAAAAGTGAGGAATGTGGATGTCACATGAAGTGGATCTCGGTTACTGATACATACACTATGGGAAGAGGTTAGTGATATACTCCAGTTTCCAGCCAATGACATTGCGGATTTGTGGGCTGGTTTCACCAGAAAGACGTTCATGTGAGCTAGCCAACTATGGGTAGGCATGAATTCCACAAAAAGGTTAAAATAGGAAAGTATTTGTGAAAATCGCAAATAAAAATGGACTCCTTTTGAGTAGGTTTGCAATTTTCATACACCGTGGTTGTACTTCGTAAAGTTTAACCGATATTTAACGCCAAATTCGTTCCAACTTAACAAAACGAGCCTTAAAAGCTTCAAATCTGGTAAAACCTAAAATGCCTTCAAATGAAGAACAGTGGTGTATTTTTTCCTGCTTGCTTTAAAAAAGTTTTGACAAATCAAAAACACTAAGATGTCTGTTCATCCAGTTAGAATACATCGTTCCCTAAACTGTTAAGTAACAAGTGAGAAACACAAGACTATGCTTGAACCATGCTTGATCCGACATGCAATAAACCACACAATCCCCAAGTGAACACAGTGACTTTATGTACCCACTGCCTTGGAATAAAAAATGACCGACACCTTTGGACAAGTGAAAAAAAGACTTGAGTCGAATAATGTAACGAGAATGGCCAGGGTATTGAAATGCCCACCCTTTGTGCATAAAACACAAAATAATTGAGATGGCGGCTCACTGAGCGTTGGCACCCAGGACGCCCACACTGCTATGAGGAGCACGAAGAATTAAATGGATTGCTTACGTAGGGCCAGGGTGGTGGGCGCAGAAGCGAGTAAGGATGAGTGAAGGGATACAAACTGTTGGTAGAGTGGATGAAAGACGGTTAGAGTGGTGTGTACAAGGCACATTTCATCACCTTTAATGCATTTACACATTGTTAGAAGTGAGTGCCAAACCGCATGATTTGTGCATTCGAGAATTGTAAAACAGGTGTCAAATGCATGCACAAGGATGTTTGCAGATCACTGACGATGAAATAACAAAATTTCATTTGAATTTTCGCACAGATAAAAGACAGCATAACTTGATTAGCGATGGAGATATTATCAAGACGACTAACTTAGAAGAAATATGAGTTTTCCATCAGTTCTACAGCCACATTTCATCAATAGCCAAATTCGAAATCTGATACTACGAAAGATGATTATTGGTACCTCACACCAGCGATTCCAAGCAGAGTTAAAAATGGGGGTTAGAAAGAGATTACGGCGTGAGTGTAAAAGGTCTGGTTTAGGAAATCAGTCTAGCTAGGATTTTAAAACTGTACATGCTCTAAATTTGCGGCAAAGTCGGAGTTCTTTTAGACGGAAAACAGTGCGTTTGTTAAGAGTTTTGCTGTAAGAATCATAAAGGGGTAATCTAACATGTACGATATTGTGCTGCACAGAAAGCCTTTGTGACGATAGACAAAGTGGATGAAATTTCAACTCCCAGACTACCACACCTTTTCTCTCCCTAGTGCCGTTTTAGTAGACGTAATTAGAGGGTAAATAAGAAGCAATGCTGCAAGTGTTACTTCTAAAATGGCGAGAGTTCTCAAATCTAATTGGGGAAAAAATTATTCCGAAAGTGTGAAAGTGATGCACAATGTCAAATAAGACAACCGTCGAATCATGTAAATGAGTAGAGATCGGGACTGACCTTTAGCGCAGCGGGTGAAATCGTGTTGGTTGGGAAGTCTTCTTGAACGGAGACAACATTTCCAAAGAGGATGTCTTCTTGACCCGAGTTGCCATGGTGCTGAGACATGGCGGCCTCCCGTTGGTCCACAGTTGTCAGCCAATCGGCGAGTGGGAGACAGCAACGAGGCAGCGTTTCCGACAGCAGCGGCCCACTGTGGGTCAGAAGAGGCTTCAAAATGCTGTCGCAGAAGAGGAAAAAGAGAGTGAAAGAAATTTCCTCGAGAATGTTAAGAAACTTCAACTCAGTTGATGCTAGCGAAGAGCGGCCCTCGCCTGATAACATCAAAACAACAAATCCAACTGCTGAGCCAACGACTTCATTTGCAAATAATTTTTCAAAACACACAACTTCTAGGACTTAATATTCAAAGCCAATTTTCCCACTGGAATAGCAAATAATCTGGGAATAACAGTCAAAGTTGACTTCTAATAAAATACTAAAAGGCAACATTATTAGCCCTATTTTCATAATCTTTATTGTTGACCACAAAAATGCAGCAAAAATGACAGGTTTTCCAGTAATTTCGTCTTCATAACTTATACATGACGTTACCCTTGAACAATTTTGCCTATCCCACTAGAAAAGTATAAATTCTGGGGTGAAATGCAATCAACGGATCCTCACTAAACAGTTATGGTGCGAATAGCAAGTCCAGCATTACACCAAATATCTGAGTTTACCACTTCCTAAAGCAATTGATCTTAACAACAGTGACAGTATTCAGGGAGGTGCCGAAAGGTAATCGGTAAGATAAAGAGCACGGGTCCCCAGAAAGTCGTACGTAAAGTAACCCGAATTAGTTTTATTCCTCCCGATTACTAACACACCAAACACGCCATCGGTAACCAAACCCAGTTTCGTACCTGTCGAAAGGCAGTTACTAATGCAACACACATTTGTCATACGATGACGAGATCGCAAACATGATGGGGTAAAGTGAAGGTCATTTCAATACGACCACCAATGGCCAATCAGCTACAAGTACTTCGATAGGCGCAACCTTGACGGCGCAGTGCTTTGACGCCCACAATCCACTTTATAACTTATACAGCTTGCAAGTAAAACTAATTTTTTCCCATCTCCTTTTTCATTGATGCTTTGGAATACCCATATTGGAGTGAACCTGCTTGGAAAACCTACCGTGAGTCGAATTTGAACCAACAGGAATTGTAATAGGACTTGAAACGTTTTTTGCGTGCATTGGTCTAAAAATAATAAGCATATAAACCAACAATTCACATCAAAACAAATAAATTGACTCACGAAATGCAGTCCTTTATGCTTAACTCGAATAGACATCGCTACCCGAGATCAATCTCAAATTTCAAAGTTGTGACTCGTACTGTACAAGCGAAAATGCTAAACTCCATAAACCTGGATATCAAAATCAACAAAATTACCCCAACAATATACCAAGTTTTTGACCTGTCCCGCATATTACCCATAACACTCGTGCGAACACGATTCAACGATAATACTTAGGGGTTATGTTTTTTGTAGTCCAATTTTATTAGTACTTAAATCCAATCGGCAGGTCAATCCACTGACTGCTAATGCTGACATTAAATGGAATAGATTCGCGACGGATAAAGAAGAAAATTCACTTATAATACACGGAAATTGGCACTATATCATGAATAAGGCAAAAACATAACTCACACTGTCGCCAGGGCTTCCATCTGCACCTTGGATGTAGATGCTAGAACGATAAACGAGATGATTGGCAAAATTTGAGAAGTTTACCTAAGTATAATGAGGCGAAATATTGGACGAGTGGGCGTTAGCACCATCGCACTAATACAAGAAGCTAGAGTATATGAACTATGAGATGCTAAAAGCAGCATTTGCAATCAGCATACTGCATCTTTATTTGCCATGAAACAAAAAAACACTTGCATATAAGCCTCAGGTCCGCCCATGCCTTGAAGGGAAAAGTGGTGTGGAAGACTAGTGTCAGGAATGGTACGAAATATGCAAGTATCGCTAAAATTGCTTCAGGATGAAACTGAGACCAAATAGCCTCAAAAAATGTCGCACAGGCCGCCTTTGAGGTGGATGAACTTCATTACCACCATTGATGCCAAGTATTAGGTTTCTCACCATCAGGTAACATTGTAGATATGAATTACGATCGTGCACTCAAACACAGCCAACGGATCAACACCAAGAAGTGTTTCTTGTACGACATGTGAATCGGTAATTTGAGTGATTAAAAACACCGCAAATCGCGAAGGGAACGAGTGGAAGAGTCATATAACGCCCGCGATACAAGAAAATTGCATGTTAGTATAAGGAACCTTAATGCAGGTAGTGAAGCCGACATTCTAAGAGAATCCTATTAAACCGGAGTTAAACATAGGTCTTGCATTGACTGTTCCGTGTTAACAGAGATACTCGTAGGCCCACAGACTTAATATATGAAAGACCTTAACAGACTTTTTAGAAAAAAAGTGACGGCTACGACACAAAATGTCCGTAACTAGAACAGTAAGATTGGCCTTGTAAATAACACTAAGATCATGTCAGGCGCTTAGATCCTATATAAATGACCAGAAAACTACACCGAAACCGCATGACCACCAACCAAGGGAACATTCAAACCATGCGAAATAGAAAATTCCACAATAGTAAACATACCCGAAAAGTGCATTGCAAAACGACTTTTATCTTAGATCTGCAAAAAATTAGTGGTAGGTCTCGCGGCAAAGGAATGCCCATTGAGGAAGAGACGGTAAATTCATAACAGAAAAATACCTTCAGTTATGCATAAAAGTCTAATTGTTATCCACAGATCTTCTCCATAAAAATTCGTGCAAATTGTGTGATGGAGTGAACCCGTATGTTACCATCATCTCCACAAGACGGCTTTGCTTAAAACAGAATGTGGATTAGTTTGAGAAATGGAGCGGATGGAAAATCCTAAGTAAATCAATCCCTTCACTTGAGTTCGGGACATTTTAAGTAAGAGTTCGGTTTCTGGCAAAATTTTAAGCAAATGCAAATTTTTACCGTACGATACATCTTTCCTCAGTTACACCGAAGTGTTGGTTAACATTTGGTAGCAAGGGTGCTTTCTTGGGACCGAATTGCATCGAAAAAGCTAGGCGAAGGTTGAAGTAAGACGCTAGGCAAATGACTAGGCTGAGCAATTCCGAAAATCAGGAAAATTCAGAAGTTCTTTTCAGCAGAAAAATATTACCCCAACATAGGAGTGATGAATTTTACCTGACAGTTTTATGTTGTATCTAACAATTTTGGGGGCAGTTTAACTTGTCAGCATAACTTCAGAATTGCAGCAATGTAAAATGGCTTCTGAGCAGAGGCGGGAAATAAAAAGCCGAAGAATCGTTTTAATTGCATCAGCACTGAGTCTGTTTTGTTTTAAGAAGCAACCAAAATTCCAAAACATACAACTCACGGAATTTTCAGCCACTGGAGCATTGGAATAGCGAGGCAGCCACCCAAGAGCACAGTGATAATAACTATGAAGATGGTGGTGGAGAAAAACATCTGTCTCACTTCGGTACTGGTGTTCCGTATAGAGAGGGAGAAGGCCATTGCACCTCGAAGGCCGCAGAACACAAGCATGTGCTGCCTATTCCAGCCAATGAGACCCTTCGGTTCGGGCACGTTGGCATCGCTGGTGGGGGGGGAGGGGGCGCTGGCGGGGGAGGAGTAAAAGCGCTGCCATCCAAAGACAGCGTTATCCGAGACATCTCCCTGGAGAGCTTTCCCCCCTGACAGCCCACGGGAACCTCGGCGACAGCAGCGGGGTGTACAGTGGCTACGACGGGCGCAATTGATCAGTCGCGAGAGCGGATAAACAGCACACATGCGGGCTACCACACAAGCCAGCATAGTGATGAGGATGAACCAAATATCCCAGTTGTGCGAGGGTGCGCTGAATGTCGACACTCCGATGTAGGCAAACACAAAGTTCTCAGCGAGGAAACTCAGCAACTCAAAGAACTGCAGTGGAAAATGGAAATAACTCACATACAATAATTGGATTATGTAGTGGAGCATAATAAAATTGGAAATAGTATTCTGATCAGGCATTCCATTTGGCCTCCTCAAGGTACAACTCGATTTACGTGACGCGAGGTGAAACGAGAGACGATGATTAACTTTTATTTGCATCAAGACAGCAACAATGGAAGGTATGACAGCGCACTTACTAATACTTTTCCGACACGATAGTATTTCCGAGTATAGTAATTAATATCTATCCACGAGTCACTCTAAATGCTGCTTTTAATATTTAATCACAGATTCTGTATTTAATAATTTAGAGCCTTCAAAGAGATTATTTGTACTAAACTTTTAGTAAAATAACATACAAACCTGCTTTGTCCACACTTGGGATTCGTGCGACAGGTTATTAAATGTGTAGTGAGCTTGTGTAACACCACAGAATAGAAGTGCAACGATACCTAAATGAAAAGTCAAAATAATGAGAAAACGCAGCATTAACCGCAGTAGCAGAATGGTTTCAGACCAACCGGCCTCATTAGTCGTGATGCAGTCAGCAGAAAAAAAGGCAAATATAAAAGCCAACATAAATGCACAAATGAATCTACACGTACCAGTTAGACCGACTGCTTCTGAGAGGAAAAATGTAGCGTAGGATAAGAGAACAAAGAGGACGGTTTCCAGTAGAGGATAGTCTCGAATGTACGTATATTTTGTCAACAAAGCTATAAAGCACCCAATTGACGAACCAAGGAGAAAGGAGCTCCCAAAGTTGGCGATGAAGCTCCATACGGCAGAAAATAAAGACCGATCCGTTAGCCCACCGTGAACTGCTGGGTCGAATCTATCGACTGTTCTGCAAAGTTAAACGTAAAACATGATTTTGTGGCCATATCTTTGTAGGATCAGAAATGAACAGCTTAGAATAATCAACAATAGCAGGATCACACACAGTAATAAGGTTGTATACCCTCACAATAAAACCCGTAAACAGAGAGAAAAGGTGAACCGACTCACTGAGATAACGAGATAGCGACGGCGTCATTGAGAACACTCTCCCCAAATACCAATGCATACATGTCAACATCAACATTCAAGTCATGAAAAATGGCCAAAACAGTAACTAGAAAAAAAATGAGCGGTGCCGAAGTAGAGTTACCAGGGTCAGTAGCAGATATGATAGACCCGAAAAATAAACAATCGCTAAAACGAAGGCCTGCGTTGAGATGTGGGATGAATCGTGACAGTCCAAAGCACAGAGATCTACAGGGGTGACTATGAATAAACCACGTACGCTGTAACAATGGACGCAAGGAACGTTCCAGCAAAAGCATATGTGGTGATTGCTCCAAAGTTGCTAAAAAAGTGTTTCTAAAAATATTACAAGTGAAAGGAATACTTGCTCTTTTCATACTATAACCAGCAGAAAATATGATCGGTGGTAATAAGACGTTGAAAAATATTTCTGGATTAAATGTCATCTAGGGATGTAAAATAACAAATCGCTTCCTTACTCTATAGTGTGCTCCCACGGTATCTCTGGACTCGAACTCCAGGTAGTAATGATAGTAGCGAGAGGTCACAGCTGGTTCAGTTACTGTAAGATTAATTATAGCGCGTTCCGGTGGTAGCGTCAATGAACAGCTATTAGAAGAAGCCGATGATAATCCACAGACTTGAGTTGTCATGATCCGTTCCGGGACTCCATACCTAAATATGGCACCAACGACAAGGCCTGGCCTATCATTAAAAAGACAAAAATGTACCATATATGACAGCAAGACCCGTTTCATGAATGTAGCGGAATCTTCTGTGCTTGAAAAGCCATATAGTGAGAACAGTGAATGCCATAAGTATTGTGTAGGTAAGCATATACACATTGTCAATACGATGTTCGTGCTCTATTCGTTCTTGTGTTTTACGACCAATCTCGTTAATATCGTCTGCTGTGCAAGTATTGGTAGCGTTCATACTTGCACACTACCCACTTACAAAAAACTGAGGCGGATGTTTAAACTGTGCGGGGAAGGAATGGACAACTAGAACGCACCGCCTAGGTTTCTGAAATGAAATAGTAAGATCTTTAAGTCAAAGAAGCGTTTTTTACGCAGTTAATCTAATTTTGTGTTTAAACCTTGAAATTAGGTAGCTTGTTGTTCTGCTACCAGCCAGAAATGGGTCATTTTGTTGTTTTACTACTATATCCACCCACTCTCGAAGTTCTACTAAAAGTAAATTCACTGATGGAATGTTCAGGCATTTTGGGCGCACTTTTAAAGTAAAATTTATATTATTTTCGCAATGTTGACCCTTGCAAAAGAACGATGTGGAGAGAGGATGCAATCATTTTCGTGGCACCATATCACTACTATGCGACCCCTTACATTTTCCTGAAAGTAAAAGAAGATGTATTGCTCAAACAGAATGTTTGTATATGTGTTCGATACACAGTAGGGCTTAGAGCTACTTGGATGGGCTGGAGGCCAGCCCAATTGTTCCTTTACAAAAACTGGGACTTAACCTACGTATCACAAACATGCATGGTATGCTCATATGTCCATACAGCACCTTTTCTTTTCGTCATAAATTTTGGTAACCACACAAAGTTTGCAAAAGTAAACCCATTTTGGACTAAAATGATCGTAGGTTCCAGCTCCCAAACAATGAAATATTAGCTGTCTCTCCATAACAATTAAACCAAAATCGTTGGAGGTACTCCAACATGCCAATGGCTGAGACACACTCAGGCTATATTCATCAAGCGGTAAACACTAGCGAGCGTCCAACGCAGATCGCATCTTCTGATACGGTTCCCTCTCCACTACTCATTTATTATTACTAAACTCTTCATCAACACAAATAACGGCAGGCAAACAACAGCGACCAGAACACAAATCGAGCACAGTTTACGTACATAAGTTGGAAGCACTAATTTTACCAGGCAAGAACAAATGATTACTAGAAGAGCAGAAACATTAAAAATCCCTGTTGACATCGAAATGCATACAAAGTGGTAAAACTCGTTAGACAAATCAAAATTTACGATGGGTGGGGACAGTTCGGGAGGAGGAAGATTTTCAAGTGGGGCAATGGAAGAGCAGAATGATTGTAGAGTAGAGAGAAGGAAAATAGAGGAAAGGTCATATCTTTACAAATCAGACACATCGATCACAATGAGGTCTTCCTGTTCCTCTTTGGTCTTGCAGTCCTTCTACAATGCCAAACAATAATGGTAAGCCAGCAAAACGCGAGTAAGCAGTCTATCGAGTTACTTCACCAAGCATACATGAATGACATAAGTTTAAAAGACCTTACAATACCAAAACAATCGAAATGGGAAATTAAGGGTCGCTGTAAGTATCAAAAGTGATTCATACGCAAAGCACAAAATCCACTTACAAGCATAACCCCCCATTAAGTTATAAATCCTTTTTTTATTAAAAATGCGGGGCCAAAGTTCGCAAGTGACTCACAACAAGCGGGTTTATCGGTGGATTGTGAAAATATGAAAGACGAAGATATGACCCGGCAGAGCGGCAATAGAGCATACATGGCCCTCGGTGTTTAAGCCAGAAAACACAAACTTAAATTGGATTTTGGGACCTCGGTGGCATTTACCACAAGCATGGATTACTGAGATAAATGGCGACAAAACATTAATTTTGAGGTTTACGTTAGCGAAAATGGAACGAACGAAAATGGAACGTAACGTCACCAAAGAAAAGTTTGCGAATGAGGTGAAATGAAGTTTGACTATCAGATTCTTTTGATAATCGCAAATACCTCTGAAGGAGCAAAATTACAGTTCTAAATAACTCATTATTGTTTTGGAAGCACGAAATATATTTACCATTAAAGTTAGTTTCAATGTAGACTTAAACAACCCAAGTGTCAACCCGTTTATTAAAAATAAAAGCGCAGAATGGTGCAGACCTTGATATACATGCTGATAAAATCCACTCAATCTCTGTTAAATTGCTTTGCTATAACAATAGGTCATCCCATGGATTGACGTTTGAGACGCCATGTCAGTGTGTATCCACCTCTTTCAGTAATTAGCGCATTCAGATCGACGATTCTGTTGCCGAAAGACTGGTGGATGAGAGACAAGTGACACTGCTTGAAAATAAAGCAGTCAAGAGTTTGTGCAGTCACCACTTTGCAATATGACGCAGTCAAATGAATGGTTCGAATCACGTCGCACCTCCGAGATATGCAAATGTGTGTTGTCCCGGATTTGCAGAGAGGACGAGAGGAAAAGTAGAAGCAAAAGATGGCCACTGGGTTACCACGGTTTTAAACGAAATACAGATTGCCCACTAATTGGGCGAAACAAGTATAGGCATTTTCTGCATCAGCATCATCTAAGAGTTCACGTCCGAGTTATTTTTAATCCCAAAAGCTTCAAATTGTTGCCTGACACATGTGTGACGTAATTATGATACGCTTTCTCTGACAGTTTATGATAACTGATTGCACCCAATCTTATCGCAAGCATAGTAGTTACGCAGAAAAAAAAAACAATAATAAAATAGGAGCAGTGCGTCTTTGGTTTGTGAATAATTGCATTAGTGTATTTTGAGTAGCAGTTGAGGTGACCAAGAAGAACCTAATGCAGCCTGTGACATATTGGAATAACAGAAATATCTGGACTGTACTGATCTGTTTTCTTCTGAGATTCTAGTATCGGACGTGCTAATCGTGATTGGGAGTTAGTCAAATAAGTAGATCCATTTTTAAAAGAGTATTTCTTAATACTGGTTTTTTTCAGATATCAAGACCCGCTTTATAAGAGAGTATCGCGAAACTCTTTACTTGAAGGCATGAGCTCGCAGACGGGAAATTCAAAATACCATGTGATGCCATTTTGGCTGAGGACTGTCGCACTAAAAAGGCATTAGTTCATACAAGTCAAGGATGTAAAAGTCGGTACTACTACAGCTTTTAACAAGTAACTCTGATTATGCAGTTGGATGAGTTAGCGACAATGGCGGTATTAATGTTTCACCTGGGGGAAGGCAGCCGGCACCCACGTCATGGGCCAATCCAGACATTGTTAATCGGAACGGCAGCCATGCGGAGAAGTGGGTGATGATGAACGAAGTTTCTTACTGAAGGTACAAAACCCGCATGTAGCTGGAGGATACTTCAAGCGCAGTATGTTGACGTGACTCAGCCACTCAGTAGCAAGACACTTGTATTGAGTAAACGTTTCAGAGACGGCTCCGCGTCTATTAGTGAGGATTCCGGCAGCATTTCTTGATTCATAGCAGTCACTTTTGTGAGCACTCAGCACATGCAACGTCAGGCCATCACAAAAACTTGTAAATTTGTACAAGAGGTGAATCCTCTTGCAAGTATATGCGAAACAAACATTCAGGAGTTTACACTCTTCGAAAAGTTAGTGTAGACTGTGTGCCAAGCCATTTTTTCCCTTTTGATCCCTGATGAGATAAAACCGAGTATCATGGGATGGAACAGTCGTACCAACAAAGGTCACTCTGCCGCAGCTTTCCAGCCAACTATTTAAAAGCCAGGACGAGGGTATAAATTGGGTAGAGGGTGAATGTAAATCCCTGGTCTGGAAAGGTATCATTTCCCACAGCAAATCCAAAAGTTGCAGTTCGATCCAAACGCTCCTCATGTTGAAACATTCAACCACCTGTCGCTCTGATTAACCGGCCTAACTTTGATAGTCCTCTCAGACAAAATTTTTGTGGTATTGTAGGGAGTATCTCGGATACCATAACAACTTGCACTAGTGCTGCCCATTGGAAGTAGTCAGTTGTGAAGCCAGTGGAACAAAAAGCCAATTCGCATACGAGGAACTCCAATGGCATAGGGTTCAAGGCAATTGCGAAACGGTAAGTCCATGAGGAAAAAGGGATGGTGAAATTAGAACTCCGAATGGATGACTATTTAATCAGCTCATTTGCATACCACACGACTAATGAAGCGAGGCGTTCATCGAAATGAGACGGCAAACAGTCCATTGTTGACCGTTCTGTGTTTGCGTATGTGCGCAAGCATTGTTTGCCTTTTCTGCGTCTTACCCACAGAGTAAACACAAGAAGTGGTAAAGAGGCCACGACTACTGATGCGTCGAAAAAAAGCAGTCGACATAACAGTGAGAAGCAATGAGTCAACAGCAGAAAGATGGAAACGAAGACCATCTACAACTTACCCCGCATCTTACACACACACACACGTGCGTCAGTGAAGGGATGACCTAGCTCAGTTGTGCGGGTAGGTTGATGGGTTTAGCTCAACAACAGCCCTTCGTGAGTAACAAGTTCGCTATCAGGATCTCAAAGGAAAAATTGACCACGACAAGTCAAGTATTTGTAGTGCTAAAATGATGCCTTTCGTCAACAATTTTTCAACCCATTTAGCTACTACTCAAAATCCAATTAGTGTCAAATCAAGGCCTTTATGAATCTTTTTTAATGTTTCAGACGCAAGCAACATATTTGTGATACGATTTGGTGCAATCGGTTATTATAGGATGATAAAGAGCGAGAGTTTTGATAAGAAAATCATAGCGTCACGCAAATGTGACAGTGGCACGGACGTTGATGGGGAATAATACGGGTTGTTGAGTGAACGTTTATACCCCATCAAAAGCATTCTTGTAATTACTCATTCCTATTTTTACAGCAAATATGGATTCATGGATCAGCCAGTTCTG